TGCTGCCCCTGAATTGGTAATTTTAAGGAAATTTTGCCGTTTTTGGTTATTATCTTGAATATTATTATAGATAGAGATAAACTGTAAACAGCAATAATGTTCAGCAAAGTAAGATCTACAAATAAGTCAACATGACCAAAATGGTCAGTTGACCCCTTAAGGAGTTATTGCCCTTTATAGTCAATTTTTAACCATTTTTCGTAAATTTTTGTAATTTTTTACAAAAATCTTCTCCTCTGAAACTACTAAGACAAATTTAACCAAACTTGTCCACAATCATCATTAGGGTATCTAGTTTAAAAAATGTGTCCGATGACCCCGCTCGCGAACCAAGATGGCCGACATGGCTAAAAAATAGTACATAGGGTAAAATGCAGTTTTTGGCTCATATCTCTGAAACCAAAGCATTTAGAGCAAATCTGATGAGGATAAAATTGTTCATTAGGTCAAGATCTATCTGCCCTGAAATTTTCAGACCAATCAGGCAACACGTTGTTGGGTTGCTGCCCCTGAATTGGTAATTTTAAGGAAATTTTGCCGTTTTTGGTTATTATCTTGAATATTATTATAGATAGAGATAAACTGTGAACAGCAATAATGTTCAGCAAAGTAAGATCTACAAATAAGTCAACATGACCAAAACGGTCAGTTGACCCCTTAAGGAGTTATTGCCCTTTATAGTCAATTTTTAACCATTTTTCGTAAATTTTTGTAATCTTTTACAAAAATCTTCTCCTCTGAAACTACTAAGACAAATTTAACCAAACTTGTCCACAATCATCATTAGGGTATTTAGTTTAAAACATGTGTCCGATGACCCCGCCCGCGAACCAAGATGGCCGACATGGCTAAAAAATAGTACATAGGGTAAAATGCAGTTTTTGGCTCATATCTCTGAAACCAAAGCATTTAGAGCAAATCTGATGAGGATAAAATTGTTCATTAGGTCAAGATCTATCTGCCCTGAAATTTTCAGACCAATCAGGCAACTCGTTGTTGGGTTGCTGCCCCTGAATTGGTAATTTTAAGGAAATTTTGCCGTTTTTGGTTATTATCTTGAATATTATTATAGATAGAGATAAACTGTAAACAGCAATAATGTTCAGCAAAGTAAGATCTACAAATAAGTCAACATGACCAAAATGGTCAGTTGACCCCTTAAGGAGTTATTGCCCTTTATAGTCAATTTTTAACCATTTTTCGTAAATTTTTGTAATTTTTTACAAAAATCTTCTCCTCTGAAACTACTAAGACAAATTTAACCAAACTTGTCCACAATCATCATTAGGGTATCTAGTTTAAAAAATGTGTCCGATGACCCCGCTCGCGAACCAAGATGGCTGACATGGCTAAAAAATAGTACATAGGGTAAAATGCAGTTTTTGGCTCATATCTCTGAAACCAAAGCATTTAGAGCAAATCTGATGAGGATAAAATTGTTCATTAGGTCAAGATCTATCTGCCCTGAAATTTTCAGACCAATCAGGCAACACGTTGTTGGGTTGCTGCCCCTGAATTGGTAATTTTAAGAAAATTTTGCAGCTTTTGGTTATTATCTTGAATATTATTATAGATAGAGATAAACTGTAAACAGCAATAATGTACAGCAAAGTTAGATCTACAAATAAGGCAACATGACCAAAATTGTCAATTGACCCCTTAAGGAGTTATTGCCCTTTATAGTCAATTTTTTACAATTTTCATAAATTTTGTAAATTTTTGTAAATTTTTACAAAGTATTTTCCACTGTAATTACCGGGCCAAGTTCATTATAGATAGAGATAGTAGTAAGGAGCAAGAATGTTCAGTAAAGTTAGATCTACAAACACATCACCATCACCAAAACACAATTTTGTCATGAATCCATCTGTGTCCTTTGTTTAATATGCACATAGACCAAGGTGAGCGATACAGGCTCTTTAGAGCCTCTAGTTGTCTATTTCCAAATGTTTTAAGCTAGTGTTATATATTCGTATTTCTGAGTATGATTCACAAAAGCCATGGAAATTTTGATTGTCAAACATATTTTTTTATTCAAACTCATTCAAGCGAACGTTGTAGTTGTAATGCCAACTCAAGATGAAATGGGGTAAAAAATTGTTAGCTGTTTAAAATAACTACACATCTGCTATTGACAAGATTTTTCACATCTTGGGTTCACCAGGTCCAGAAGCATTACCCTCACCATTGTAAGCTTAAGAATCAATTATTCACAACAAAAATTTTGAAAGTAAGAAAGAAGTGTGTTGTTTGTTGTGGGGAATATGAAATAGATATTTCAGATGGTGTTGGGTAAGTCAGATTTGATATATCTAAGGACTGCATTTAACTAGGAACTGTTGAAGTGGCTGCATGTAATGTTTGGTCTTAATTCATAGTAATTTATCTCAATATCAGTTTCAATTTCCGACAGTATTTATCAAGATTTTAAATGGCTAGCTTCCTGAATGGCTTCATACATCAACATTGAACTACTGAACCCTACATTTGATTCTTTTTGCTGTAACAGTTTCTTTTTCCGTATAATGATTGATTTTCCATAATGTTTTTCTAACCTACACTGCAGTTTGGTTGAAGCGAACATTGTTTTCAATTCACGAAGTTGGAAGCAGCAGTATTTTCCCAACAGAAAAGACATGACATAGCCATAGGCTTTTTGTGAGCAAGCAAGTCTTCATGGATGTTACCAATTAGGCTATGAGAATCCTTCTCATTAAATATTCAACTCGTCGTTTAATGTTTTTTTTTTACCGGAATGCTAAGAAAAAAATAACCATGCAAGTCTTGAAGTAAAGGGCCTATGTTTTAAATTCTTGTGACAAAGGAGTGATTTTATTTCTAAATGTCACTTTTTAGCTCACCTGGCCCGAAAGGCCAAGTGAGCTTTTCTCATCACTTGGCGTCCGTCGTCCGGCTTCGTCCGTCGTCGGTGTTAACTTTTTACATTTTGAACTTCTTCTAGAGAACCACTGAATGGAATGAAACCAAACATGGCATGAATGTTCCTTATGAGGTGCTGACCGAGTGTTGTTACTTTGTAGCCGATCCATCATCCAAGATGGCCGCCAGCGGGGGACTTAGTTTAACATAGGACCCTATGGGAAATGCATACAAATGACTTCTTTTAGAGAACCACTGAATGGAATGTAACAAAACATAGCATGAATGTTCCTTACAAGGTGCTGACCAAGTGTTGTTACTTTGTAGCTGTTCCATCATCCAAAATGGCCGCCAGTGAGGGACTTAGTTTAACATAGGACCCTATGGGAGATGCATACAAATGACTTCTTTTAGAGAACCACTGAATGGAATGAAACAAAACATAGCATGAATGTTCATTAGGAGGTGCTGACCAAGTGTTGTTACTTTGTAGCCGATCCATCATCCAAAATGGCCGCCAGCGGGGGACTTAGTTTAACATAGGACCCTATGGGAAATGCATACAAATGACTTCTTTTAGAGAACCACTGAATGGAATGTAATAAAACATAGCATGAATGTTCCTTACAAGGTGCTGACCAAGTGTTGTTACTTTGTAGCTGTTCCATCATCCAAAATGGCCGCCAGTGAAGGACTTAGTTTAACATAGGACCCTACGGGAAATGCATACAAATGACTTCTTTTAGAGAACCACTGAATGGAATGAAACAAAACATAGCATGAATGTTCATTAGGAGGTGCTGACCAAGTGTTGTTACTTTGTAGCCGATCCATCATCCAAGATGGCCGCCAGCGGGGGACTTAGTTTAACATAGGACCCTATGGGAAATGCATACAAATGACTTCTTTTAGAGAACCACTGAATGGAATGTAACAAAACATAGCATGAATGTTCCTTACAAGGTGCTGACCAAGTGTTGTTACTTTGTAGCTGTTCCATCATCCAAAATGGCCGCCAGTGAGGGACTTAGTTTAACATATATAGGACCCTATGGGAAATGCATACAAATGACTTCTTTTAGAGAACCACTGAATGGAATGAAACAAAACATAGCATGAATGTTCATTAGGAGGTGCTGACCAAGTGTTGTTACTTTGTAGCCGATCCATCATCCAAGATGGCCGCAATCGGGGGACTTAGTTTAACATAGGACCCTATGGGAAATGCATACAAATGACTTCTTTTAGAGAACCACTGAATGGAATGTAACAAAACATAGCATGAATGTTCCTTACAAGGTGCTGACCAAGTGTTGTTACTTTGTAGCTGTTCCATCATCCAAAATGGCCGCCAGTGAGGGACTTAGTTTAACATATATAGGACCCTATGGGAAATGCATACAAATGACTTCTTTTAGAGAACCACTGAATGGAATGAAACAAAACATAGCATGAATGTTCATTAGGAGGTGCTGACCAAGTGTTGTTACTTTGTAGCCGATCCATCATCCAAGATGGCCGCAATCGGGGGACTTAGTTTAACATAGGACCCTATGGGAAATGCATACAAATGACTTCTTTTAGAGAACCACTGAATGGAATGAAACAAAACATAGCATGAATGTTCATTAGGAGGTGCTGACCAAGTGTTGTTACTTTGTAGCCGATCCATCATCCAAGATAGCCGCCAGCGGGGGACTTAGTTTAACATAGGACCCTATGGGAAATGCATACAAATGACTTCTTTTAGAGAACCACTGAATGGAATGTAACAAAACATAGCATGAATGTTCCTTACAAGGTGCTGACCAAGTGTTGTTACTTTGTAGCTGTTCCATCATCCAAAATGGCCGCCAGTGAAGGACTTAGTTTAACATAGGACCCTATGGGAGATGCATACAAATGACTTCTTTTAGAGAACCACTGAATGGAATGAAACAAAACATAGCATGAATGTTCATTAGGAGGTGCTGACCAAGTGTTGTTACTTTGTAGCCGATCCATCATCCAAAATGGCCGCCAGCGGGGGACTTAGTTTAACATAGGACCCTATGGGAAATGCATACAAATGACTTCTTTTAGAGAACTACTGAATCGAATGTAATAAAACATAGCATGAATGTTCCTTACAAGGTGCTGACCAAGTGTTGTTACTTTGTAGCTGTTCCATCATCCAAAATGGCCGCCAGTGAAGGACTTAGTTTAACATAGGACCCTACGGGAAATGCATACAAATGACTTCTTTTAGAGAACCACTGAATGGAATGAAACAAAACATAGCATGAATGTTCATTAGGAGGTGCTGACCAAGTGTTGTTACTTTGTAGCCGATCCATCATCCAAGATGGCCGCCAGCGGGGGACTTAGTTTAACATAGGACCCTATGGGAAATGCATACAAATGACTTCTTTTAGAGAACCACTGAATGGAATGTAACAAAACATAGCATGAATGTTCCTTACAAGGTGCTGACCAAGTGTTGTTACTTTGTAGCTGTTCCATCATCCAAAATGGCCGCCAGTGAGGGACTTAGTTTAACATAGGACCCTATGGGAAATGCATACAAATGACTTCTTTTAGAGAACCACTGAATGGAATGAAACAAAACATAGCATGAATGTTCATTAGGAGGTGCTGACCAAGTGTTGTTACTTTGTAGCCGATCCATCATCCAAGATGGCCGCAATCGGGGGACTTAGTTTAACATAGGACCCTATCACTACACACCAGTAAAAGTCTGAAATGGCCTATATCTGTACTTGACTGTACTGATTTTTACTCGACCAGTCTGAATTGGTCTGAATTTTACTCGACATTACTCGACCCCAGTCTTAACCATACTCGACTGTACTGATTTGTACTTGACCCTTTTCTTTGCCATTGAAAATAGTCTGAACTATTACTCGACCAGTCTGAAACAGTCTTAACCCATTCTCGACCTGTACTCAACCTATTTTTTTCAGTCTAAACCATACTCGACCAAAGGTCTGAACAATACTCAACCAGTCTGAACCATACTTGACCAAATAACCTCTACTTTTTCTAAATTTTAACTGTTAAAATAAATTTCTTTTTAACTGACATGACAACCATGACAACAGCCACAATAAAATAAAGATATATTATAAAAACAGATTTTTACATTCTTACATGATTCTCAGATTTATCGAAAAGAGATAATTAAATCAAATTATCTTATATAATAATTTAATTATATTAATTTTAAAGTTTTAGAGTTTTGTTAAAAGAAGATTTTCTTTTACCTAAAAACCACACCTATACTGAGGGTAATTAAACCTTATTAAGGTGCTTCTTATTTGGCATGTGTTTTTTTTTAAAATTAATTTTCCTAAATTCTTAAATAAAAACTACATAGGTTTCGTGGTTACATACAAAAAATGTACAATAGTTATATAATTATCTTTTTAATGAGGTAACAACAGCCAACAAAATCACTGAAATTGTTTAACCTTATTTTAGAAATATATCTATTATTATAATTTGGGATATATTATATACAATATATATCAAAAAGGGATAAAAATTAAAGAAATTAATAAAATTGTTCTTCTGATTAGTGGTGAAGTATAAAGTAATACCTCCTGCTTGGGGCAAACTCATGAAAAAGATCACACTTGGTCAGAGAGTATTAAATTCTAAATAACATTCATTCAAAATTGCAACATCCTGTGAAACTTAAATCGCAAGGCCTTTTGAATTCACCAGATAAGTAATACAGTAATACACAAGTTTAAGAAAAATAGGGCTTTCTTTTTACCTGTAAAACACACATGTACTGAGGTAATTAAACCTTATTAAAGTGCTTCTTGAATGCCATGTCTTTAATTTTGACAAAAATTATTTAAATTTAATTGAAATAAATTTTTACTGCAACTTTGGAACACATTTCCTTTTTTAAAAGTTTATCACAGGATTACTATGGAAGTTCTATTATCATGATTATATTAAATTCTTGGTTTAACAAAACAAAGGTGTCATTTTTTAAATTTATTAAGTTGCTTTATATGCTATTTTATATATATTTTAATAAAAAAAAATGTTCACTGCATTATTAACTAAACTCAACTGACACCATAAATCTATATAAGGCTAAAGTTAATGGTGAAAATTGTCCAGTAACCATAAAATATATCTGAAACATTCAAAAAAATTTTGAATAACATTGAAAATATTAGTCACAATTCAGTTTTGAGATTATTTGATCAGCTTGTTTTATTCTTATTTTAAAGGTGATATATATGTATGTATATAAGTGTTGATGAATATGGTGATGAAGTTATATTATGTTTATTGTGAAATTTTGGTTTCAATCCTATATTGAATACATTTTTAATTTCAAATTGTTGTTTCAAATTTCTAGCCAGGGGAAATAGCTGTTGTTAAAAACAGTTCCTAAATTGATGAAATACAATAGATAGATACAAAAAATAGGTCTAGGTTGATTAAGACTTGGTCGAGTATGGTTCAGACTAGGTCGAGTATGGTTCAGACTAGGTCGAGCATGGTTCAGACTAGGTCGAGCATGGTTCAGACGCGTATAAAATGGTTAAGTACTGGTCGAGTAAGGGTCGAGTACAAGTTCAGACTGTTAAGTATGGTTCAGACTACAGTCGAGTATTATCAAGTATATTTCAGACCAATTCAGACTGGTCGAGTAAAAATCAGTACAGTCGAGTACAGATATAGGCCATTTCAGACTTTTACTGGTTTGTAGTGTATGGGAAATGCATACAAATGACTTCTTTTAGAGAACCACTGAATGGAATGTAACAAAACATAGCATGAATGTTCCTTACAAGGTGCTGACCAAGTGTTGTTACTTTGTAGCTGTTCCATCATCCAAAATGGCCGCCAGTGAGGGACTTAGTTTAACATATATAGGACCCTATGGGAAATGCATACAAATGACTTCTTTTAGAGAACCACTGAATGGAATGAAACAAAACATAGCATGAATGTTCATTAGGAGGTGCTGACCAAGTGTTGTTACTTTGTAGCCGATCCATCATCCAAGATGGCCGCAATCGGGGGACTTAGTTTAACATAGGACCCTATGGGAAATGCATACAAATGACTTCTTTTAGAGAACCACTGAATGGAATGAAACAAAACATAGCATGAATGTTCATTAGGAGGTGCTGACCAAGTGTTGTTACTTTGTAGCCGATCCATCATCCAAGATAGCCGCCAGCGGGGGACTTAGTTTAACATAGGACCCTATGGGAAATGCATACAAATGACTTCTTTTAGAGAACCACTGAATGGAATGAAACAAAACATAGCATGAATGTTCCTTACAAGGTGCTGACCAAGTGTTGTTACTTTGTAGCTGTTCCATCATCCAAAATGGCCGCCAGTGAAGGACTTAGCTTAGTTTAACATAGGACCCTACGGGAAATGCATACAAATGACTTCTTTTAGAGAACCACTGAATGGAATGAAACAAAACATAGCATGAATGTTCATTAGGACGTGCTGACCAAGTGTTGTTACTTTGTAGCCGATCCATCATCCAAGATGGCCGCAATCGGGGGACTTAGTTTAACATAGGACCCTATGGGAAATGCATACAAATGACTTCTTTTAGAGAACCACTGAATGGAATGTAACAAAACATAGCATGAATGTTCCTTACAAGGTGCTGACCAAGTGTTGTTACTTTGTAGCTGTTCCATCATCCAAAATGGCCGCCAGTGAGGGACTTAGTTTAACATAGGACCCTATGGGAAATGCATACAAATGACTTCTTTTAGAGAACCACTGAATGGAATGAAACAAAACATAGCATGAATGTTCATTAGGAGGTGCTGACCAAGTGTTGTTACTTTGTAGCCGATCCATCATCCAAGATGGCCGCCAGCGGGGGACTTAGTTTAACATAGGACCCTATGGGAAATGCATACAAATGACTTCTTTTAGAGAACCACTGAATGGAATGAAATAAAACATAGCATGAATGTTCCTTACAAGGTGCTGACCAAGTGTTGTAACTTTGCAGTCGGTCCATCATCCAAGATGGCCGCCAGAGGGGGACTTAGTTTAACATAGGACCCTACGGGAAATACATACAAATGTCTTCTTTTAGAGAACCACTGAATGGAATGAAACCAAACATGGCATGAACTTTCCTAATGAGGTGCTGACCAAGTGTTGTTACTTTGCAGTCGGTCCATCATCCAAGATGGCCGACAGCGGGGGACTTAGTTTAACATAGGACCCTACGGGAAATACATACAATTGTCTTCTTTTAGAGAACCACTGAATGGAATGGAACCAAACATGGCATGAATGTTCCTTATGAGGTGCTGACCAAGTGTTGTTACTTTGCAGTCGATCCATCATCCATGATGGCCGCTAGGGGGGGGGGCTTAGTTTAACATAGGACCCTATGGGAAATACATACAAATGTCTTCTTTTAGAGTACCACTGAATGGAATGAAACCAAACATGGCATGAATGTTCCTTATGAAGTGCTGACCAAGTGTTGCTACTTTGTTGCCGATTTACTGTTCAAGATGGCCACCAGGATATTTTATTAAATAACGGGACCAATATTAATCCAAATTTGGCCTCAATCATTATTTGGGTATCAGTTATGATTTTTATCTATCTTTACATGATTTCTAAAACCAAAGTAGAGTCAGGTGAGCGACACAGGCTCTTGAGAGCCTCTAGTTGTTCGATATAGCGTTTTGGAGTCCTTGGTCTGTTTCAGTATATCATAGATGTGTGTCCCGTTTCTACAATCTGTGCTTGCAGAAAATACTAGCAGTCCAGTCAAAGGCGTGGACATTGATCTGGTAAGAACAGACCAGGAACAACATGGTTGATCATCAGCTTGGAAAGTATCTGTATGATCATCTAAAATACCACGCTGTGTAAACTTTTCTGAATATACTATACTAGTGTATGATTTGTTACAAGATTTGTGATAATGATACCTATATATATATATGAACAGCATCAGGCGAACTATACTAACTTAATGTCATGGAGTCAGTGAAACACATCGTCTTTTCTTGTATTCACGGCATTATAAAAGGTTCCTTTTGCAGTTAGACATGAAAGTTTTTTTTGAAAATGCCAGTTCTTTGAAGCACGGCTTCTTTTAGCTTGCAAAGATGTCAGCATTAGTGGACTATTAAAAGTAGATATATCCTGGGAATAACACTTATGTGCTCCAATTTGACATTTACTGTTAGAAAAAATCTATTTTTAACTTTAGAAAAACACGATAAAATATCTTTTTGACCAAAATTTGTCAGTCAAAAAACTTTTTAAAACATTGTTCAATAAACCTACATGATACAAAAATATCAATTCTTACATATTCAATTGGCACAAACACGAACAATGGTATAATGCAGTGCTGAAGCGATTCGTCAATAAAAAGTTAATTTACTTCGTATTGGTAAAAGAAAAAATCCAGAAATTCACTGAATTAAAATGTCTATCAAAAGTATGTCGAAAAAAGTGAATTTATTAGAAAAACCGATACGGAGAGGTCTTATAACTTTACCAAATGAGGTTTTGTTACTTTTTAACACAAAACATTTGGAAGATATCGATGTAATATAAATTTACAAATGTTGTTACCACTCAGTGGAAATGAAACAGATTGTATATTCTTAAAACTTAGTGAAAACGAAAAAAATAAGGTTAAATATAAGGAATTATAGTTTTACCAAATCAAGAGTTTAAGGACTATAAATAAGAAACAAAAGTAAACATTTTGTCCAGTTGCATTTTGAATGAAAAAAATCAACATGTCTTTTTCTTCCCATTTTATGAAAAACTGCATCGTAGGAAATGTCTATGACTGGGCAAAAAAGTAAGATTAAGGTATTGGCTTTGCAAAAAAATCATTTTTTAGCCCCCATTTCTGCTGGTCCATTAAAGTCGTAAAATAAGCACCTTTTTCTTGATTTGTCACTCCACTATAGTAATCAATGAAAGGAGTTTAGGATTTACATCATTGAAACATAAACCCAACAGCTCAAAACCCATACAAATTAAGTCATCAACAAACTAAGAACGATTTGATAAATTTTGGTGAAATCAGGTAATGAGTGTCAACCTTCAGTTTCAATGGATCAAATAGAAAAAAAGCTTGTTACAATCATCAATAGGATAACAGTGATACATTCATGTATATTATTATGAAAATAAGCCAGATGAGAGATAAGTAATATAGCCATAAGTTGAGTGTGGGATAGATTTTCTTGCTTGATTTAGTTAAAATCAACTTAAATATAATTTGAATACACAATTCTTACATATAAAGTTAATGAAATAACTTATTTTCAGTCAAGACGGAGAGACCAGATGTTTTCTATTGCATATAGTAGCCAATAGTAAAGGTTAGTTGTCATCGTGTACATATGAGACTTGAAAGTTAAGGTGAGTTGAAAGTTTGTTCAGATGAGACTTGATAGTAAAGTTGAGTTGTCATTGTGTACATATGAGACTTGAAAGTAAGTTATGTAGAGTTGATATTGTGTACATGCGAGACTTGATAGTAAAGGTAAGTTGATATTGTGTACATGCGAGACTTGGTAGTATAGGTGAGTTGACATTGTGTGCATGTGAGACTTGATAGTAAAGGTAAGTTGATATTGTGTACATGTGAGACTTAATAGTAAAGGTAAGTTGACATTGTGTACATGTGAGACTTGATAGTAAAGGTGAGTTGATATTGTGTACATGTGAGACTTTATAGAAAGGTGAGTTGATATTGTGTACATATGAGACTTGATAGTAAAGGTAAGTTGATATTGTGTACATGCGAGACTTGATAGTAAAGGTAAGTTGATATTGTGCACATGTGAGACTTGATAGTAAAGGTAAGTTGATATTGTGTACATGTGAGACTTGATAGTAAAGGTAAGTTGATATTGTGTACATGCAAGACTTGATAGTAAAGGTAAGTTGATATTGTGTACATGTGAGACTTAATCTAAAGGTAAGTTGATATTGTGCACATGTGAGACTTGATAGTAAAGGTTAGTTGATATTGTGCACATGTGAGATTATTAGTAAAGATAAGTTGATATTGTGTACATGTGAGACTTGATAGTAAAGGTGAGTTGATATTGTGCACATGTGAGACTTTATAGAAAGGTGAGTTGATATTGTGCACATATGAGACTTGATAGTAATGGTGAGTTGATATTGTGTACATATGAGACTTTATAGAAAGGTGAGTTGATATTGTGTACCAATGAGACTTGATAGTAATGGTGAGTTGATATTGTGTACATGTGAGACTTGATAGTAAAGGTGAGTTGATATTGTGTACATATGAGACTTGATAGTAAAGGTGAGTTGATGTTGTGTACATGTGAGAGTTGATAGTAAAGGTGAGTTGATATTGTGTACATGTGAGACTTGATAGTAAAGGTGAGTTGATATTGTGTACATGTGAGACTTGATAGTAAAGGTGAGTTGATATTGTGAACATGTGAGACTTGATAGAGAAGGTTAGTTGCCATTATTTACAGGTAAGACTTGATAGTAAAGGTGAGTTGACATTGTGCACATGTTAGACTTAATAGTTAAGGTGAGTTGACATTGTGAATATATGAGATTTGAAAGTAGAGGTGAGTTGAAATTGTGTACATGTAAGACATGAAAGTAGAGGTGAGATAACATTGTGCACATGTTAGACTTTATAGTAAAGGTGAGTTGACATTGTGAACGTATGAGATTTGAATGTATAGGTGAGTTGAAATTGTGCACATGTGAGACTTGATAGTAAAGGTGAGTTGAAATTGTGCACATGTGAGACTTGATAGTAAAAGTGAGTTGAAATTGTGTACATGTGAGACTTGATAGTATAGGTGAGTTGACATTGTGTACATGTGAGACTTGATAGAAAAGGTGAGTTGACATTGTGTACATGTGCGACTTGATAGAAAAGGTTAGTTGTCATTGTTTGCAGGTGAGACTTGATAGTAAAAGTGAGTTGATATTGTGTACATGTGAGACTAAATAGTATATGTGAGTTGACATTGTGTACATGTGAGACTTAATAGTATAGGTGAGTTGATATTGTGTACATGTGAGACTTAATAGTATATGTGAGTTGACATTGTGTACATGTGAGACTTAATAGTATAGGTGAGTTGACATTGTGTACATGTGAGACTTAATAGTATATGTGAGTTGATATTGTGTACATGTGAGACTTAATAGTATAGGTGAGTTGACATTGTGTACATGTGAGACTTCATAGTATAGGTGAGTTGACATTGTGTACATGCAAGACTTAATTATATTGGTGACTTGATATTGTGATCATGTGAGACTTAATAGTATAGTTGAGTTGACATTGTTTGTAATTCCATGAATAGTAGTTATGTATCACTTATACATTGATACTATTGACTTATTTCAAATACATAGATTTTTCTTAAAAAACTATTTGTTGTTGATACATAAATTTCTGTTTTAATGATGTAAAATAATCATATGGTCGCTGACTTTGTTTTTGGTGTATTAAAAAATCTGTTACCTAGTTGTTAGAGAAAAATGTCAAAAATCAATGTTTTATAGCCTACAACACAATAATGTTACAATTGATTCGACTATTTTGTGGTACATTTTCACCTAGAACACCACTTTGAATGATGTATACTGTTCAAATGAAGATGGTGACTATTATTATTTTACATCATAAATATTAGAGTAGAAAATAATGTACCAACAACATATAGTTTTTTAAAGAAAAATCTATGTATTTGAAATTGAAGATTTTATGATTTTAAGACAAATTTAAGAATATTTTTCACCGATTTTAATGTGCTTTCTATTAAAATGTTAACCTATTTTGAAAGAATTCAATCAGTCATATTTCAGAAAATAAAAGAGATAAATGCATTATTTTTTCGATTTTCAGTTATAGTTCAACAAACCAAAACTGTATGCAAAATTTTACCAAAATCTGTGACATAGCCCTTTTACTGTAACTTGACATTAAAACAAAACCAATTCAGACCTAATAAAAAGAGTTCTATAATTATTTTAACTGACTGGATTTTGTTTTGTAGATCCCTGTTCATCAAATCCATGTCAGAATGGTGGTTTATGTGTTGCCTTGTCAGATGGTACACATTCATGTATCTGTAAATTAGGTTTCTATGGAAACAGTTGTGAAATAGGTATGGTGTGATATGAATTTACTATATTTCAGTCTTTTCTTTTAATGTTAGGTAATTAGGATCAGTAGATTTTCTCTAATATAAATGCAATAAAATTTTGAACACACATCAATTAGAAAGCAACCGATTAACAGAAAAGAAACGGAAAAAAAATCAATGAATAGTCTTCAACTATAGACGTGTTTATATCATATATGTCATATATCAAATTCTAAATCACACTCCTCTAGTGTCTAGAAAAGTTGTAACAATTTGAAAAAAGACTGCCATCCGTAACCATTAACAAACATAAGGTATTTTATTTCCTTCTATGATAAAATGAATGAGATAATCTGTTGAATGCTTCCATTGTGATTTCTGTGAGGCCAGTGATAGACTGCATCAAAGTTATAGTGTTTATATTAAGCATCTCATTGCAGATGTTTTGTGTACCCCACTACAGTATTAGTACAGTATAATCATTATCTAGGTGCAGAACCATAGCTCTTAGGTCCTTATGATATATTTTGACAATTTGCTGACCATAGATCTGCACAAATCAGAAAACATTATTAAATATGGACCTTTAGAGTTTTGCATTATAATATATTTGTTTAATTTATATATAGGTAGTTGTCCTGCCACAACATCTAATCAACAATATTGTCAAAATGATGGACATTGTCACACAGATAGTATCAAGAAAACATGTTTCTGTAGACTTGGAAGTATTGGCTCACAGTGTGGACACAGTCAGTATTTATCTTCTTCTTCTAGTAAACATATATATTATGCTTAGTACTCTCAACAAATGCATGATTTTAGAATGTAGTGTGCATTCACAATAGATATACCACAAAAAAACCTTTGGAAATCTACTTAAAACACAAGAAGAGGAATAACAAGTATATCTATTATGTACTGTTAGATGAAGGAAACTATGATAATATTAAAGGATCAAGAATGGAAACTTTTCAAAATGGTTCTGACTTCAAACAATTACACTTGTGGTGATCTAGTAGACTCAGTCAAGCATTGATGTGTATCAACCAAACAAACTATATTTCTATTGGAAAAAAAGATACAGATCGTTGTTCATATGGATAAAACCTAGAATACAATTAAATATGTGAAAAGCTAGTGGTAGTAGCTCTGTTATTGCTTATTTTAATGCAATTCTTATTAAGCAATTTTTTTCATTGGCTAAAATTTTCCCTTAAATCCAGATCTAGTTGACATGTTGTAACTAAGGAGTGAGCTGCCATATTGAATTGCTTGAATCAACAAATGTTCAATTAATACAATATCCAAAAATAAACAGCATCTACCTCAAAAACACTTTTGATTTGATATTACCCAAATTTGAATCGTAGAAGTAAAGTAATAACCTTCAGTCTGAAAGTTTTCATTTCTATGATGTCATGTTAAGCCATGACATTTATGCACCAAAATCATTCATGAAGTTTCACAGAATTAAGGTAAGGTTTGCGTACACAGGGAGATAACTCAAATTCAAATAATTAAAAAATGGAGGGACCCGCCATTTTAAATTGCTTTGATCAACCAATGTTCGATTACTACAATCTTACCGAAAATAAAACAACACCTACCTCAAAATTGGCGTTTTGATGTGATTTGATCAAAATTTGAATCGTAGAAGTAACGTTATGACCTTCAGTTTGTTAGTTTTCATTTATATGACGTCACGTTTAGCCATAGCGTCTTTGTGCAAAAACCATTCATGAAGTTTCGCGGAATTTTATTTTATTTCATAAATGTACATTTTTATGCCCCCGCCATAGCAAAGCGGGCATTGAGTTTTATTCTTGTCTGTTTGTACGTCCATCCGAATGTACGTATCATAGTGTACGTCCGTTTTTACAAAATTGGTTTCCGTTCTCTAACTTTTATTTGCCTCAACCAACTGATATGAAACTTATGCACAATGCTTATTACCACAAAAACACAGAACAAGTTTGAATTTTGATGTCGTCAGGTCGGACAGGGGGTACCTTTTTCCTTTCTCCCATGTCCCTTCTCTTGTCTCCCGCCGTAAAACCTTAAAAACTTATGTATGGGAAGCTCCTTTCAGAAGATAGAAGTGTGGTTTATTCTTTTTTAGCTCACCTGGCCCGAAGGGCCAAGTGAGCTTTTCTCATCACTTGGCGTCCGTCGTCCGTCGTCCGGCGTCGTCCGTCGTCGGCGTTAACTTTTTACATTTTGAACTTCTTCTAGAGAACCACTAAATGGAATGAAACCAAACATGGCATGAATGTTCCTTATGAGGTGCTGACCAAGTGTTGTTACTTTGTAGCTGATCCATCATCCAAGATGGCCGCCAGCGGGGGACTTAGTTTAACATAGGACCCTATGGGAAATGCATACAAATGACTTCTTTTAGAGAACCACTGAATGGAATGAAACCAAACATGGCATGAATGTTCCTTATGAGGTGCTGACCAAGTGTTGTTACTTTGTAGCCGATCCATCATCCAAGATGGCCGCCAGCGGGGGACTTAGTTTAACATAGGACCCTATGGGAAATGCATACAAATGACTTTTTTAGAGAACCACTGAATGGAATGAAACCAAACATGGCATGAATGTTCCTTATGAGGTGCTGACCAAGTGTTGTTACTTTGTAGCTGATCCATCATCCAAGATGGCCGCCATCGGGGAACTTAGTTTAACATAGGACCCTATGGGAAATACATACAAATGTCTTCTTTTAGAGAACCACTGAATGGAATGAAACCAAACATGGCATGAATGTTCCTTATGAGGTGCTGACCAAGTGTTGTTACTTTGTAGCTGATCCATCATCCAAGATGGCCGCCAGCGGAGGACTTAGTTTAACATAGGACCTTATGGGAAATGCATACAAATGACTTCTTTTAGAGAACCACTGAATGGAATGAAACCAAACATGGCATGAATGTTCCTTATGAGGTGCTGACCAAGTGTTGTTACTTTGTAGCCGATCCATCATCCAAGATGGCCGCCAGCAGGGGACTTAGTTTAACATAGGACCCTATGGGAAATGCATACAAATGACTTCTTTTAGAGAACCACTGAATGGAATGAAACCAAACATGGCATGAATGTTCCTTATGAGGTGCTGACCAAGTGTTGTTACTTTGTAGCCGATCCATCATCCAAGATGGCCGCCAGCGGAGGACTTAGTTTAACATAGGACCTTATGGGAAATACATAAAAATGTCTTCTTTTAGAGAACCACTGAATGGAATTGAACCAAACATGGCATGAATGTTCCTTATGAGATGCTGACCAAGTGTTGTTACTTTCCAGTTGGTCTATCATCCAAGATGGCCGCCAGCAGGGGACTTAGTTTAACATAGGACCCTATGGGAAATACATACAAATGCTTCTTTTAGAGAACCACTGAATGGAATGAAACCAAACATGGCATGAATGTCCCTTATGAGGTTTTGACCAAGTGTTGTTACTTTGTAGCCGATCCATCATCCAAGATGGCCGCCAGCGGGGGACTTAGTTTAACATAGGACCCTATGGGAAATACATACAAATGTCTTCTTTTAGAGAACCACTGAATGGAATGAAACCAAACATGGCATGAATGTTCCTTATGAGGTGCTGACCAAGTGTTGTTACTTTGCAGTCGGTCCATCATCCAAGATGGCCGACAGCAGGGGACTTAGTTTAACAAAGGACCTATGGGAAATACATACAAATGTCTTCTTTTAGCGAACCACTGAATGGAATGAAACCAAACATGGCATGAATGTTCCTTATGAGGTACTGACCAAGTGTTGTTACTTTGCAGTCGGTCCATCATCCAAGATGGCCGACAGCAGGGGACTTAGTTTAACAAATGACCTATGGGAAATACATACAAATGTCATCTTTTAGAGAACCACTGAATGGAATGAAACCAAACATGGCATGAATCTTCCTTATGAGATGCTGACCAAGTGTTGTTACTTTGTAGCCGATCCATCATCCAAGATGGCCGACAGCGGGGGACTTAGTTTAACATAGGACCCTATGGGAAATACATACAATTGTCTTCTTTTAGAGAACCACTGAATGGAATTGAACCAAACATGGCATGAATGTTCCTTATGAGTTGCTGACCAAGTGTTGTTACTTTGCAGTTGATCCATCATCCAAGATGGCCGCTAGGGGGGGGGGGGGGGGGGGGGGGGGGGGGGGGGCTTAGTTTAACATAGGACCCTATGGGAAATACATACAAATGTCTTCTTTTAGAGTACCACTGAATGGAATGAAACCAAACATGGCAGGAATGTTCCTTATGAAGTGCTGACCAAGTGTTGTTACTTTGTTGCCGATTTACTGTTCAAGATGGCCACCAGGATATTTTATTAAATAACGGGACCAATATTAATCAAAATTTGGCCTCAATCATTATTTGGGTATCTGTTATGATTTTTATCTATCTTTACATGATTTCTAAAACCAAAGTAGAGTCAGGTGAGCGACACAGGCTCTTGAGAGCCTCTAGTTTTTTTATGGATGCATTAAAAATGTGTCTTTCAGACACAACTATAGTATTGTGTCGTCCTTAACATGCCTGAACTATTTGCCACCGGACATTTTACAACCTCTTATCAAACAAACTTCTATGCATATCAGTCAACTTTGAAGCAATTTATCTAAAAGCAAGGATGGTAACATGTGTCTCTACACATGCACGGACTCACTATAAAATCCAGGAAATTGTTAGTTTTTAGTCTTTCTCCGTATATAAGAGCTCAAAATGAAGCTCGGGGTATTTTTATGAGGTCGATTTCTGAATTTTTCGTCTCTGTTCTAAACCTCTAGTTTGCTTCAACCAAATGTGATTCACGAGATGATTTTTTTGTCAATCACGATTCACAGAAAATAAATTTCCATGATCACGGATCACGAAAATATAAAAAAAAATAAATCTGTAGAAAAATGGATCACGATAGCGAAAATGCGCCGATCACAAAGAACGAAAATAACCCATCAGGCCCCTCATCATGTATAGGAGCATGTAGTTTGTTTGTTTGGTCAAAGACTCCAAATCTGAACATCATGTGTAACAATTGGACAAATCAGATTTAAATGAACGGAATAAACACGGCTGCTGTAAATGACTTTACTAGTCAAAACTGATGTTTTTTCATCCAATTTCTGCATACAAACAATTAACAAAACATGGGGCAATAAAGCAATTTTCATTACTTTTAATGGCAATTAGAATGCTATCCTAATATTCAAAATATTACAGTTTGAAGCACTGAAAGAAAATAAGTGTTTCCTTCAAAATCAGAGTCTTGTACATGTATTAATACAAAAGTATGACCAAAGTTTAACACTTCCCCTTCGACTGATAGTTATGGGCATAAAAGTCAATGGTAGACATCAAAAGTTCAATGTAGGATAAAAAAAAATTAATTCACATAGTTTTTTTATCCCCCCCCCCCCCCCCCCCCCCCCCCCCCCCCAAGCCCCAAACTATTTGTTACAAGACAAAATGATTCTTTGTAAGAAGATGCTATTAAAGATGACATTCTTCTTTGCAGATCAACAAAAAAAATATTTTTGTGTTTTTAGAAATGACAAGATGAAATGTGATGTGCACATTTCCGTAAAAAGAAATTCAGGGACATACCAATTTTATTAGCTCATTATAATGCAAATAGTTAAATACTTAAGTTCACAGTTTTTTACAAAAACGGTGGACCCGGAAAGGGGATATTTTTGGCTTTTTGTTGTCATGGCAACGGAATTTTTTTAACCCAAAAATTAAAAAATCTTGTTTTTAGGAACTTTTTTAAGAACTTTTGAATTAAAATTTATCATTAATGAATGGACCACAATTATTTATACATGTTTTATTCAGTTTTATTTTTTTATAGTCACTTGCATATATTATTATTTCAGAAGAATTTAAATACAATTTTCCCTAAAAAACGTCAAAAATTGCAATTTTGAGCTTTTCACTTGAAAAAAACGGGACGGGCGATTTTCGATTTTTTTTCATTAAATGATTGGGCACTCCTCCCTGAACAAAATGATGTATCATATTGGTATAATATCACTAAGAAAAAAATCCAGTTATCATGCAAACCTTACCTTAATATTTTTTAATTTTTTTGTCATTTGATAGAATTTATTTTATTTCAGATTTATACTTTTTTTCAAGCTCTAATGTATTATTACTGTTTTAATGCATTAGAATCGGAATAAAAGTACTGTGGTTGAAAAGTTGCCACTGACTGCCTTCAATTGGAATTTGACAGTCCAAAATTTCTGTTTCTCTTCATTTGTGACTGCCAAATCTCCATGGTTGCGACAACTCTTCAACTACAATACTGTTATTCCTTTAATTTTAATGCTATTATTATAATCCCTCAGTCATTTTTCATTTGATTGTCTCTCCATCTGCACCTTTTACTGACAACACCTCCTAAACCATAACTGGACTTCAATGAAACCCTCATAGAATCTCCAATATCTAATGGCATTGTATAACTATAATATTTTTCATGCCCCTGCCACTTAGTGTAACCATTGTCCTTTATCCCTTTGGAAATTTAATAAAAAAAAATTGTATGCCTGCTGATTTTTAGTGCATTTGTGTATAATGATGACTTATAGATCAAGTTTGTTCTAGTTTTCTTACTTTTCTCGGAATAAAGAGGGGCAAAAGGACCTTTTTTGTAAACCTCAGGACTGGGCGTTTATTTTGAAGGAATTCAGGATTTACGCTTATTGGGACTCGGGGAATTAATGTTTAAATTTTTTTAAACTGTGGAAGAATGCTTTTTTTTCAGGAAATTTCGAGATTCAGCATTTATTTTTTAGGGAATTTTGAAAGACACAGCCTACTACCTCCCTCAATATAGGACTTACTTGCAGGCCTATTTGTGTTTTGTTCTGTAACTGATTTTTTCCCTGATTAGACTGCAGGTGGGGGTTGTCCATGCTGACACTTACTACCTTAAATAATAGTATATATTTATTTTTATCGCTATTTTGTGTATTTTTCCTTTGATCTTTTTTTGTGATAATTTTTCATATCATGCTTCTTGCTTGAGATAAAAAATTATCGTCAGAAACTAAGAGTGCATGTGCCGTTGTCAATGTAAAAATTACTGATGTCATAGGCCAAATAAGGATAAACAGATTATCAAAGGTCTTTCAAATTCGAGGATGTTTCTCGGCCACATCTCATCTCAGGGCTGTGGCCCTTCGATGAGATTGTAGCTGAGAAACACCCTCTCGTTTGAAAAACCATCAATAATCTATAATTATCGCTAGAAATTAAGGGCGCCCATGCCGTTGTCAATGTAAACATCAATGTCGTCATAGGCAAAATAGTGATAAACAGATTATCATTGGTCATCTCAACTCGATTGCTTTTCTGACTTTCGCCGTACCGGAATCTCATTGCGATGACCAACAATAATCTATAAATACATGTTGTTTTATATTTCAGAGACCACAGAAAGTTTGACGAACCCTGCAACAAGTGGAGTAAGTACTTTTTATTCTTTTAATGTTTTCTAAATTTATATTTCATTAAATGTAAAATGGTTTCAAAGATGAAAGTTTCATAACTCTAAAATGAAGTTCGATATGGTGTGTGTATTTAAGTGTCTGTATCAATTTCATGTTTCTGTAATTTACTTTTGCAGGGACATCAGATAAAATGAAAGTGGGTTTAAAATACAAGAAATATACAATTAGGAAAAAAGACAGAAAACAAATGAACACAAATACCGCAAAAAAAAAAAAATCTTCTGTAAGAAATGTGTATGACAATGTATGTGACACTTGTTGTTTCATTTATATGTAGGCTAAGTTTATTGGATCATCATTACCAACAACAATTAAATGTCATCTTGGAGATCCATGTGATATACCATCTGTTTTGACTGGAGATCCTAATGTAAAGTAAGTCCTCTAATTCTTATTGGTACAAAATCCTTCAAAACCGTAGTATATTAGCTAAATCAATAATAACATGTATAAAAGATGCATTAGCCTTGATAGTAATAACTATATTGATGAGAGGAATTGAATTAGTGTGTTGTATAAGAGATGCATTAGCTTTGATGGTAATAACTATATTGGTGAGAGGGAATTGAATTGGTGTTTGTTGTATAAGAGATGCATTAGCCTTGATAGTAATAACTATATTGGTGAGAGGGAATTGAATTAGTGTTTGTTGTATAAGAGATGCATTAGCCTTGATAGTAATAACTATATTGGTGAGAGGAATTGAATTAGTGTTTGTTGTATAAGAGATGCATTACCCTTGATAGTAATAACTATATTGGTGAGAGGGAATTAAATTAGTGTTTGTTGTATAAAAGATGCATTAGCCTTGATAGTAATAACTATATTGGTGAGAGGGAATTAAATTAGTGTTTGTTGTATAAAAGATGCATTAGCCTTGATAGTAATAACTATATTGGTGAGAGGAATTGAATTAGTGTTTGTTGTATAAGAGATGCATTAGCCTTGATAGTAATAACTATATTGGTGAGAGGGAATTGAATTAGTGTTTGTTGTATAAGAGATGCATTAGCCTTGATAGTAATAACTATATTGGTGAGAGGAATTGAATTAGTGTTTGTTGTATAAGAGATGCATTAGCCTTGATAGTAATAACTATATTGGTGAGAGGAATTGAATTAGTGTTTGTTGTATAAGAGATGCATTAGCCTTGATAGTAATAACTATATTGGTGAGAGGAATTGAATTAGTGTTTGTTGTATAAGAGAAGCATTAGCCTTGATAGTAATAACTATATTGGTGAGAGGAATTGAATTAGTGTTTGTTGTATAAGAGATGCATTAGCCTTGATAGTAATAACTATATTGATGAGAGGGAATTGAATTAGTGTTTATTGTATAAGAGATGCATTAGCCTTGATAGTAATAACTATATTGGTGAGAGGGAATTGAACTAGTGTTTGTTGTATAAGAGATGCATTAGCCTTGATAGTAATAACTATATTGGTGAGAGGGAATTGAATTAGTGTTTGTTGTATAAGAGATGCATTAGCCTTGATAGTAATAACTATATTGGTGAGAGGGAATTGAACTAGTGTTTGTTGTATAAGAGATGCATTAGCCTTGATAGTAATAACTATATTGGTGAGAGGGAATTAAATTAGTGTTTGTTGTATAAAAGATGCATTAGCCTTGATAGTAATAACTATATTGGTGAGAGGAATTTAATTAGTGTTTGTTGTATAAGAGAAGCATTAGCCTTGATAGTAATAACTATATTGGTGAGAGGAATTGAATTAGTGTTTGTTTGTATAAGAGATGCATTAGCCTTGATAGTAATAACTATATTGATGAGAGGGAATTGAATTAGTGTTTGTTGTATAAGAGATGCATTAGCCTTGGCTTCACACCTGTATTTGGCCAATTCGATACAAATTCTACACATTAGCCTTTGTATCTTATCCCCCAAGTTTTAATTTTTATATTTATATGAAAAGGGGGATAACTCAATTTTAATTTCTAAAGTGTCAAACAGCTGTTAGTCCCCAGTTTTTCCAAGTTGTAATTTGTTTATGTAAATATGTATATATGTTGTTAGATTAGAATGCTTAGTTCATAATAAAATGTTTCTTTTATCCTATTGTTGTTAACATATATAGATTCAAAGTATGAGAGAGGTGCTGGTATAAATCCGTGAGACAGCAAAAACGAATAGAATCTTGTATACATGTTCTTAGAAGCAGCATCAGTTCAAACTTGGCAATAGTTTATTTAATACTACAGTATAGGACTTATAAGTTGGTATAGTTTGCTCAGGTCACAATGTTGTTGGTCTTTAAGTCATGCAAGAAATAGTAATAGGTTGGTAAAGTTCAAAAGATTGGCTTTCTTAATACATGTATCCAGTTTTGTTATTGTGGTATATGACATGAGACATTTACTAGTTTGTTCGTACATGTAGATATCTGTATATTGTCTTCATTTTACATTAGGAAATAACTGGTCTATAAACCTTGATAGTAATAACTATATTGGTGAGAGGGAATTGAACTAGTGTTTGTTGTATAAGAGATGCATTAGCCTTGATAGTAATAACTATATTGGTGAGAGGGAATTGAATTAGTGTTTGTTGTATAAGAGATGCATTAGCCTTGATAGTAATAACTATATTGGTGAGAGGGAATTGAATTAGTGTTTGTTGTATAAGAGATGCATTACCCTTGATAGTAATAACTATATTGGTGAGAGGAATTGAATTAGTGTTTGTTGTATAAGAGAAGCATTAGCTTTGATAGTAATAACTATATTGGTGAGAGGGAATTAAATTAGTGTTTGTTGTATAAAAGATGCATTAGCCTTGATAGTAATAACTATATTGGTGAGAGGATTTAAATTAGTGTTTGTTGTATAAAAGATGCATTAGCCTTGATAGTAATAACTATATTGGTGAGAGGAATTGAATTAGTGTTTGTTGTATAAGAGATGCATTAGCCTTGATAGTATAAATAACTATATCGGTGATAGGGAATTGAATTAGTGTTTGTTGTATAAGAGATGCATTAGCCTTGATAGTAATAACTATATTGGCGAGAGGGAATTGAATTAGTGTTAATTGTATAAAAGATGCATTAGCCTTGATAGTAATAACTATATTGGTGAGAGGAATTGAATTAGTGTTTGTTGTATAAGAGAAGCATTAGCCTTGATAGTAATAACTATATTGGTGAGAGGAATTGAATTAGTGTTTGTTGTATAAAAGATGCATTAGCCTTGATAGTAATAACTATATTGGTGAGAGGGAATTGAATTAGTGTTTGTTGTATAAGAGATGCATTAGCCTTGATAGTAATAACTATATTGGTGAGAGGGTATTGAATTAGTGTTTGTTTGTACAGTAATTACTCCTCATGGCACTTATATGGCTGGAAAAGTATACACATTCTTTATGTGCCTGTCCCAAGTCTGGAGCCTGTAGTTCAGTGGTTGTCATTGGTTCATGTCAGTCTGTCATATTTGTTTTTCATTAATTGTTTTGTTATAAGTTAGGCCGTTAGTTTTCTCAATTGAATTGTTTTATATTTTTCATGTTGAGGCCTTATATAGCAGACCATACGGTATGAGTTTTTCTCATTGTTGAAGGCCGTACGGTTGCCTATAATTGCTTACATTCACTTCATTTGAACTTTTTTGGGTAGTTGTCTCATTGACAATCATACTACATCTCCTTATTTTTATATATGTGGTAGTTAAAGGTCTAATCAAAAAGAGACTTTCTGAACTTATAAAATTGGTAAACCCATAATGTGCCTGGATCTGCCTCATCTCAACCAGACTCAAATTAAAAATGGCCAACAATTCAGAAAAATTCTTGTTTTGGATCTTATGGTAAGTGCGTTTTCCACTATTTTGTTTGAACCACTAAAATGTTATTGATAAGCTAATATATCTTTGATTTTTGTTAAACTAGCATGAAGGAATGTAAGCATTTTAGAAACTATAAAAACTCAACACTCATCTTTAATTGGATGACCTTTTTGTGAAATGCCAGGCAAGTTTTCATGTTTTATTTTTTTATATTTTCAGACCCTCAATGAAGAAAGGTTTTGTGGACTCCAGTGTTGAAGTTCAGGGCATGAATGTGACTCAGGATAAAAATAGCACACATGTATATCATACTGTTACTACTATATTGCCAAAACAAACAGGGAACCATAAAGTTTGTGTACAAAATGTGAATGCTGCTGGGTAAGTTTAGGAGAACCTGGGATGACCGTTTAATTTTCTGGGGGAGTGGCAAGGAGAATTTCAAGAGGACTCAATATTCAATTAAAAGGCTTATTGCAGGAATATTTGTACTTTTCTATTTACACAATTATATATTTGTAGGACAAAATATGCATTTTAATTCTTTAATAGGCAATTATTTATTTTCAGTTCTTACCAGGCTCTGTGTCGAATTATGCAATCTCATTAAAATGGTACAGCTGGTTTTATATTACAATTTTAAACAAGAAAATAATTGTTTTGAAGCGGCATGAGAATCAAGCTATATATAGGTTACTGTTAACTTTAGTTTGACTAAAACCAATTATCAAATACATCTCTTATGTTTTCAGTCAAACAGCAGATGAATTGTGTTATTCAATAGAAGTTACAGCTGGTAAGATCGATGTTTTCAATTTTCAAAAGATTTAATAAAAGTTTTATTATTATTTGAGAAAATTAGATAAATAATAAATTAATATAAAATGCTGTAAACAAGATGTCATTTTTTTTGTTGTTGAATATAATTAATATGGCTTATGGCTATAGAAAGAAAAATCTGGAGATCTCTTTTTAAAAAAATTTCAAGAGGCTTCTACAACATGTACATGTTATTGTTACAAGGGTTATGTCCCATTTTCATTTCTGGAAGGAGTAGGACATAAGCTACAAAGTAAAAGCTCAACTTACTTTCATTAATGATTCTTCAAATTGAAGCATTCATAATAAATGATATGTTTTACTTTCAGAATTACCCAAACCAGTTTCTGATGTAAGTTTGATACTCATTTGGTTCATAACTCATTATAAAGCCTGCATATAGATTAAATCTTTGACACAAGCTGCAATATTTTAAGCTGAAAATCCTTTTGGACCAACTGTTGTTGAAATGGTTCTATTTGTTCTCTTTAAGAATTATTGTATGACATGGCTACCAGAGCTATAATTGATTCCTATTGGGCCATTTAAAAAATTTCTGTGAAACTGCAAGGCAAAGTGTTTGGAAAATTTAGGAGATTGATGATGGAAAGCCATTTACAATTGATTGTAATTTTATATTAATCAGATGAAAAACATGGAATCGTTAGCAGATTTGTGAATGAAAACCCTCAACTAACAATCATCATTTAATGTTGACGGGGCTGCAAACATTAGGGGAATGGTGGCATATGCTTCTTATTGAAACCATATTGAAAAATCATCTTCTCTGAAACTGCTTGGCAAATTTTCATCTTCTAGTCTTTTAACAATTTGGTCACTTTTAATTTATTTTATTTTCTAAAGGTATTATTCAATAAAGCCAAATTTAGATATTTTCAACCTCAGTGTGGAAAACATTACCATCAAAATGAAAATAAATAACTAAAATTAAAAATTTCTTTAAACACATGTGTCTTAAACTCTCTCATATTCTTACTAGCATTAATGTGTTTTAAACAGACTTGAAAAATAAAGATAATTTATTGCAATAATGCCTAAAATTTCTTCAATGTAACTTTTTAGGTTGCTTAAGAAATAATGATTGTTAAGCATAATGTTCCCTAAAATTTCTTCAGTGGAACTTTTTAGGTTGACTTTGAATTTAAAACAAGTCAACAATTTTCTCTTTACATAATGGAAATTCTATCATTATTTGTTATTGTCATGTTAATTTGTTTTGTCTCTATAGAGAAGGCCACAGTTTATCTCCCCCACTCTACCAGATGGCAGTAGTATTGAATGTTCAGTAGGCGAAGCTTGTCATATGATTTTATGGATAAAGAGTCAAGTGTATAACCCAAACTGGTAATACTCTTTTAAGATTTCAATATTTTACAGGCTGTTGTGATGTAAAGGATATTCTTGCATCTGCATAGCAGGTTTTTTCCACAGGGTTCTTATTTTTGCATATTTGAAATAAAAAATGCTTTTAGAAATAAAACATTTTTTTATTTGGCAGAAGCATACCTTTGAATTTTAATTTAAAATACTTATTGCCATACTTATAACTTCATAAATGCAAGGCTTTCTATAGCCTATGTATTAAAGAGCATCACAGATAAAAGGTTCATTGAAATTTGCTAAATTTGATTTCAATTTTAGAGCTAGACAATGTAGGTTTACTGTTTATATATTTAAAAAAAAAAACCATTGAATTTAAAAAAAAAATATTTTCAGCCCATTAGTGGAGTCTGATATGAAAGCCCCAGATGGAATCTTTGTTTTCCAGTCAGATAAAGACCCAAGTCCATGTTCTACTGATGTATCAATACACACAGATATAGAAAGGACAATTAGTGTTTGTTTTACTTTAATTACTCCTCCTGAAAAAAATGCACATGGGTAAGATATATATTCAGTAAAATTGTATGCTCATCTTTATATATCTTCAAGTGTCATGACAAAATTACATTTCAATATAATGTGGTTACAACGCATGAATTGCATTACAGTAGGCTGTTTTTGTAAATATACCCTCACCCTAAAGGAGGGGGTACCGAATTCAGGCTTGTATAGTCCGCGGTTTCATTCTCCAAAATTGAACCTGCCAGACAGGGGTGCGGACTATAGAGTACAATAATCAAGAAATAAGAGAAATAATTTCGATTTCGCGATGTTCGTTTACGTTTTGCCATGTTTGTTATTGAAATGGTGGAGGGCGCTCTTATCATTTTCAAAACTAATAATTTTACCTAATCCATATTAATATGTACTTTTTATTCAATATCAAATATAAACTGATAAATTTCAAAATTAAATGCTTCACTACAAATTTCTCATTTCTTTTCACTGCATTGCTTAAAATAAACTGGAATCTGCTTGAATTTAAAGGAAAGAAAAAAGTGTAAAAGTCAACTGGGAACCAGCTTATGCATAACGATGTATAAACTACAAAACGTAATCGGTTATTAGTTCCGTTTTGGTGTTTCATACTGACTCATGTGTTTTGTTTTAGCTTAAGATCCTTCAAACATTAATGTGATAGATATGTTAAACATTATTTTACTCAAGAATGGAACTGTTTTACTTTCAAAGTCGTATTCTAGTGATATCTATTAAGTACGGATTTTCCATACACTCTCACTGTCTATTTATTTCTATTTACACGTGCTATTCGAACTTCCGGTTTAAACATACACAAGTTTCTAAATTGTTTTTTAACACTCGTGAAGATGATGGAAAACAGGTTTTTTTTCCATGAAAATATTGCAAACGATCAGACACTATTTGAAATTACCGGAGTTTTATTAGACATTTTCTAACAGTTAGAAAAAGTTTTTTTACCTGAATTCTCGTGGCGAGAAGGGGGGTGCGAACAATGTACCAGTGTGAACTATACAAAGCTGATTAAGGTATACTGTTTCACCCCTCTCTGTCTTTTGGTCTATCTATCCCATGAAATTTCTGTGGTATTTTTCTCAGAAAATACAAATCAGAGCTTCCTGAAATTTGTGATATGGCTTCATGTCTGCATGCTATACTCAGTGATGGGTTTTGGATTCATCGCTCATCAATTTCATGTATTCTGAATACCATATTTGGGTGTATCATACACACATTTATATACAACTGTAGACTGCAATGGCTAAAATACAGATAAATTGTATTTGATATATTTGTTAAGATTGTCAAATTTGAATCTTTATATAAACCAGAAAACTAATGATTCATTTTATATAAAATACCTTTTTGTTTTGTAGAGGAGAAGGGGAGAAAAGGTGTTACAGTATTATGATAACCAAAGAAACATTACATGGTACATATATTTTAGATGGCAACTTCTTTAGCCACTTGCCTTATAAAATTAACTAAGAGATGCAATATTACATCTACTCTATTGAACATAAAATGTTTTTAATTCTCTTTGACAACAATAAGTATAAAAAATTATAGAATTACTGTTTAATAAAGACAGTAGATTTTAATCATACCTGCCAACTTGTGAAAAGTTACATGGGATTTTGAGTGACAATATTTTTAAGGTTTACAATTTTTCCAACCTATTTGTTTGTATGTTTTTTCTCTCTAGAACTAGTGTCATATATTTGTTCTTATGGAATGTTGATAATGAATTCATGGGCCTTCTTTATTTAATTGCATGATTCTTGTACATTTTTATATGCCCGTTTACGGGACGTATTATGGTATTCCGTTGTCAACATGTCGGACAATAGCTCAAAAATGCTTTGAGCAGTTTTCATGAAACTTTGATGAACTGTTTATATCTATTGAGGTGAGCTCCCTTTCAATTTTTTTGAATTTTAGATTTTACGTTTCCGAGTTATGGGGTTTTATTCAATACAAAAGGGGGATTTTCCAGTTTTCGGACTATAACTCAAAAATGCTTTGAGCAGTTTTCATGAAACTTTGGTAAATTGTTAAAATCAATTGACGTGAGCTCCCTTTTGATTTTTATGAATTTTAGATTTTACCTTTCTGAGTTATGGGGTTTTATTCATTAAAAAAGGGGATTTTCCAGTTTTCGGACAATAACTCAAAAATGCATTGAACAGTTTTCATGAAACCTTGGTGAATTGTTTATATCTATTGACGTGAGCTCCCTTTCTATTATTATAAATTTTAGATTTTACTTTTCTGAATTATGGGGTTTTATTCATTAAAAAAGGGGGATTTTCCAGTTTTTGGACAATAACTCAAAAGTGCTTTGAGCAGTTTTCATTAAACTTTGGAGACTGGTTTATATTTATTAAAATAACCTCCCTTTAGTTTTTTTATAAATTTCTGATATGACATTGAGGAGTTATGGTACTTTATTCTTTGAAAAAGCGACAGTCGTATCATGCGCTCATGGCGCAGCTCTTTATTTTTTTTTGGGGGGGGGGAGAGTTGTTGGGGTTGTTTATATAACCTTAGCTAGATATTTTGTTGTGTAACAGCAACTGACACCATTGAGAAGGTACATTCCTAATCTTTGTCAGTAGAGAAAGTTAATGACAGACTTTGAAGGTGTTCTGAGCCTGGAAATACATGTGATGGAGAACAGTAATGCTTTGACACATAATTCAGGCAACCATGGTCAACTTTGAAGTCTCTTTTGCCAACTTCATAAGGCATGTGATATCCATTCAGTTGATTTGTCATTTACACATCACAGTCTCCCATGTATCATAGTAGCAGCACACAAGAACACATATTTTTTCTACATAAACTGTGTAAAAACAGTTTTGCAAGTGAACAATTGTCCAACATGATCACAACTTTTATAAATTATGTTGGGAGACTATTTGCAAAAGGGTTAAAAAGCTGTGATTTATTTGGTCTAGTTAACGTTTATTTTATTCCAGTAAATGTTCCATTTTTATTGGACCAGGAACCATTGAATTTTAACCTACGAGACATTGTTTTGTACATGTGTGAAATAAAATTAGGTTTTCTGCCTATGCCTCTCTTTGAGAACGCTCCCTGATATCTGCAAGTCTGCCCTGTATCATGTTGAAGTTTGGGTTTTAGGTTGTTTAACATGAATTTTTTTACCCATACACTAGTACTTTTTATGTAAATAGTTTATGAGCAAAATAACAATTTACATTTTATTGTTTTCTTATGATTTAGCTAGAGGACCATGTAGCAAACTGATCTGTATGAACCAAGGTTTCTGTAATGGCAAGGGAAACACAGGATTCTGTCAGTGTCCATCTGGATATTCTGGAACTACATGTCAAGTTGGTAAGTACAAGAATGTCATACATAAGAATTTAGAACAGATGAAATAAGTTAATCCTCCGGTTATAAAGGGGAATGATACTGTAAATACAGAAATTAGTTTATGCATTTATTATTGCGATTTTTGATAAATAGACAAAAAAGCAAGATTAATTATTGCGATTTCAGGAAAATCACCATACAGATAATGTATCCCACATCAGAATGTGAGTTCTTATTTTTATGATACTCAGGAAGTCGCATTAATAAAAACCTCACAATATTTTTTGAATTTACAGTAGTCTGATCGTTACACCATTAACTATTGTTCTAAAAATGTTTCTGACAGATTTCAGGAACAACAGCTGCTATGGTGTTTTTTTATCATAACTAATTTAAAATCATTTTGGTGCCTTGCCTTAGATATGGCTATCATGCTCGTAGATTTACCCTTAAATGTAAATATGTATCTCCAACCTTATTTGACTTAAGTTTCAATTTGTTTAAGTCTTAGGAAAGTATTGCCAATTATATTTCACCTCTGCAATCCTCTTAAGTTCAGCAAAACATAGTTGATCATCATAACATTCATTTTTTACTTGCCTGTATTTTTTATTTTAGTCAAAGTCCAACTGCCAGTTTTTTTTCTTCACAAAATCATTTCATGTCTCATTTTTTGCCATGGCATTGTCAGTTTGTTTTCGACTTATTAGTTTGAAGATATATCCCTTTGGTGTCTTTAGCCTCTCTTTGAATTACAAACACATCTGAAAGATATTCAAGTTTACTGCAAAACTACTGCCATTAATACGGATATGATAACATCTTGATATGTAAATTTGTCTTAAGAGTGAGACTTTGAGGTTATCTCTTAGTATTTTAAAGTGAAAAAATATGACATATATCTGAATATTTAATATTTTTTAGCTCATGGTAATTCACTCACAGCTCCACACTCACAGGTAAGTACATAACTTTTATTTCATTTTCATTGGTGGAAGCTAATGAATGCATCCAGTCTGTTTACTTTTATTTCATTTTCATTGGTGGAAGCTAATGAATGTTTCAAGTCTGTTTATGATCATTCCAATTTAGCTGAGAAAGTAATACAAGTATGTTGACTATTTTTGTCATGCCTTGACGGAGTCAAAAAGCGAGACATAGGTATGCTGTTTCCGGTAGCGGCGTCAACAATGTATTCGTTTGTGATTAGGTCTACTTTTTATGTTGAACATCTAGTGATAGGTCAATGACATTTGGTATGCAGTTGTATAAGCATTGGCATATCTTATTTCCATGGAGATTATTTGCCCCCCCCCCCCCCCTCAGTCATGGTCTATTGACTTTGAAATTTTGCTTAGTTTACATGGTTTAGTTTTGATTAGGTCAGTTTAAGGGGAACCATAAGTGGTAGACCAATGATGATTGGTATGCAGTTGTATAAGCTTTAGCACATCTCATTTCCATGGAGACTATTTGGTTCTTACCCCTCAGTCATGGTCAATTTACTTTGAAACTTTTGCTTAGTTTACATGTATTAGTTTGTGATTAGATCAGTTTTAGATGAATCACTAATATTAAGTCAATAATATTTGGTATGCAAATGTATTGGCATTCGCAAGTTTCATTTCCATGGAGATTATATAGCCCCACCCTCTCATCATGGTTCATGACTTTGAAACTTTTACATAGTTTACAAGTTAATGTTTGTGTTTAGGTTTGTTTAAAGGGAACACCTTATGATAAGTCAATGGTATTTGGTATGCAGTTGTATTAGCATTGGCACATCTCATTTCCATGGAGATTGTTTAGCCATTTATCTTCAGTCATGGTTTATTGACTCTGAATATTTGAATAACTTTACATGTGAAAGTATTGCTATTTTAATTAAAACATTTGCATTATCAAAATAACAAAAAGCGAGACATATCTCTGTGTTAACAGTTTATTTATCATTAAGAGTCACCCTTGACCGTCCTTCTTTCTGTCTTTCTGTCTTTCCATCCTTCCATCCTTCCGTCTTTCCGTCTTTCTGTCCGTCCGTCCCAGTGTCAGAGCTTGAGTGGGGGCTTTCATGTACTCAGACGCATTCTTATTTTACTTTATACTGGAATTGAAATTATAAATATAGTATTTCATAGTACTTGACTTACTCGTATACACTAGTCTCCAACCTAAAACATGTCACTTTGACCTACATTTTATGTTTCATTGACTTGTGTTAAATTTCACATAAAATCACAGTAATCAGATACTTGATATAACTTTGTGTATATTAATTTAGGCAACTAAAAGAGTATCTCATAAGGAGTTCAAGCTAACTCTTAGTTCACTTAGGTGAAGTTTAATTCTCTCATACTTGATGAGCTTCAGTCATAACTTGAAGGAAAGTAGACAATAGACAGTAACCCAATGACATAAATAATCAACAATCAATAGGTCTACAGCATGTCAAGCATAAATTACCATGTTTGCTAGTTACACAGATCTGTTTCAAAAATATATATTTTTGAAAGTACCAAGGGAGAATTTTAAGGCTTTTAATGTGTTAAATGACAGAATACATAAAGCAATATGATAAAATGCAAATCTGATTGTATGCTTCATCTGTATGTAAAAGATTGTAAAATTTGTTTCTTATATTAGAATTTGTAATTTCAGCCAGGTGCCAAGACAGGAGACCATGTATTACCACAGAAAGTAGTATGTGTTTTGCATGAGGAATGTTCTATCCCTTTTACAGTCACATCAAGTGCTCAGTAAGTAAGAGTAACACAAAGAAACACTGCATTTTTATAGCTGCATAGTTAAAATATCCAAACTATTTGAAAGGAGATTAGAAATGTTTCATTTATTGAAATGATTGGGCATTTATTTATGAATTCTATGGATTAATGTTTTGTTTCCTACTTTTATTTGGATTTCAGAGGGGGGAGCAGATTTTGGCTTTTAATGTCCAATAAAAAAGTTTAATTTTGTAATAGAATGTAAAACAAGACATTTTAGAATACTCAAATGCTCTAATTATTCTCTATCCCCAATTGTTGGTACCTGTATCAATGAATTTGTGACCTTTTCCTATTACAAATTTGATAAAGCAATAAATTGTGACACAAAAAGTAAAGAGATAAAAATAGACATTATATGAATTACAAATATTCACATTAATTTTACAGACCACCTTCAGTAAGACCTGGACATACTGAAGCAGGACTGTCATCAAAAGGACCAACAATAATACCAGATCCCAAAAATCCTGGTACCTTCCTATCTCACTTGAATGTTGTTGGTACTACACCTGGTGTACATAAAACCTGTGTACAAACAGGTGATACTAGAGAGTAGGTATTTTGATACAAATGCAGTCAGATAGTACTATGAGTTGCATAGTTTTTAAGAAGTGAAACCTTGGGGTCACTTTGAAGTTATTTTACTGCCGTCTGATGATCATTAGTTTATTTTAATGTCTTTGATTTATTTTTTATGTTGAATTTATGACACTGCAATAAATAAAAGCTTCGAAGAGTATGAAATCAATGAAAGTGCTGGTGTCTGAAAATATTTTTTATAGTTTCCTTAAGCTCGTAAAAATCTTAGTAGTATTTCAGATTTCCAGAAAACTGTAGGAAACATAATATTTGCTTTTGCAAGATACATTGTACTGGTAGTTAAAGGGGCATTAGCTACGAGATATATAAGAAATATAAAATATGATTTTTTTTGTTCAATCATTAATAAAAGTGAAATAGTGAAATAATATATCGCTTTTAGCAGCCAGTATGGTTCAATTTTGTCAAAATAAGCTAAGAAACATTGATTATGAATTATTCACTTGCAAGTGAATAATTCGACCTCATTGAATCAGTATTCATGTGAACTGCAATTTAACCCCTAAGCTAGAGATGGATAACGCATGAAACGTGCGTGCTGAGTTATTTAAAGGAAAAGAATGTCAACATTGAAAGTGAAACAAAGGTACATCATTTGATTGACTGATTCGATCCACAAATAAATCATTCTTATACAGGTAAAACGATGATTAATATATATTTTTAATCTATAATATGAAATATACAGACCTAGAAAAATCCAATTGCACGAATCCGGTTTCTATTTATATCTATATTTATGTTTATATTGCTTATAATATATGTCCATCGGAGGTATTCGGAGGTCAACTCGATAGTTAATAAGATGGTGTCTAGACTAAAAAACACACGAAACGAAGCTACATATTATCAAACCCATGCCCTGTAAATTGATTATTTTTGACTTTTTATAATTTGGATAAATGTTTTACATTGTTATAAAATAAATATGAGAATTTGAGTCAAATCGGTGAACAGGAATTTGACAGCTAGTGCCCCTTTAAGGAGAGACTATTGAAGAATATGATTTAAAAATAAGCAGATGTGATATGATTGCTAATGAGACAACTACCCACCAGAGGCCAAAGGACATGGTAAACAACTGTCAGTTGCTGTATTGCCTTTAACAAAAAGGAGATCCACACCGTAAAGCCAGCTTTAATGATAGATTTGATATACCAGGAGAGACATGAAGATAATTTCATTTCATCATATCAGGGAAAAGTTGAAGATAATTTCATTTCACCATCATATGAATATGTTAGATTGATTTGGTTCTACTAAGGGTAATTGCTGATAATAGATTGCAAACCTTATCAGGGTTAAGTTGACAGCTTTATATGATACATAACCTATCCACATCTACACAGTTCTTTTTCTGTTTTCAGGACAACTAGCGATGAATTTTGTTTTGAGGTTGAAGTAAAATCTCCAGGTAAATATCTGGCAATGCAATAACTAGTACATTTTTATTTTTCATGCTACAATGATATTAAAAAAGATCTGGATTTGTTAAAGGACTAGGTTCACCTTTTGCAAAATATGGCCTTGAATTTCAACTTTATCATAAAATACCAAAAAGGTCCAAATTTTGTTCAAAAGCATGATTCGTAAGTAAAACAAATCTTTACATATTATTACATTATAGGCTCTAAAGTCAGCACACTTTGGAGATCTTGCCAAAATATGATGATTCTGAGGATTTTTCAGATCTAAAAGTTTTAGGAAAATCTTGGCTGCAACCTATGATCCAAAATGTTTTGTTACAATTAGGTGCCAAGGTTAATGGTGAATCCCTAGACACAAACAAATTGTGGATTGGGGATGGTAGCAAAAGTAAATTATGCTAAAAACTGTTATAAATTGCGGAAAAATTGGACCAAGACTAATGTTTCAACACAAATCATGCACAATTAGGGGGTCATAACTTTATAATTTGTAATGTGAGGGGCCAAAAAGTAGGTTTTTTTTGTATAAATAGAAATATCACACCTAATTCTATGTAAAATTTGTAGTATTTTGGCCTGATTGTAAAATTAAATACATATTAGGGCCAATTTTAGCTGTTCGTGAACACCTTCTCCTTTTTTCCACCTTCAAAAAATATGGCTTAGACTTTGTCTGTTTTCATTTAACAACATTCTGTATGTCAATCTACATTTTGTTGAATGTAAAAGAAGTGTGCATGAGTTGTTTGACTTTGACTGTTTCCTGCCTAATGTAGCTAAAAGACACTAAGTGAATTCTGCTTCTCTGTGACCACATGGAAGAAGCTTTAATACTTAGTGATATTATTTGTTAACGTGTAGGTGACTTCATTTTACTGTCATTGTAATTTCACAATCTTTTGAGGGAGATTTGGAACTTTAACTATTTTTTGTCTACTGGAGCATAACTACAATTTAGACCTTTTGTATTTCTTCTACAACCTGAAATTGTCTGCCAATTTGGTCACCATTCTATAATTTCCCAAAAACGGTGAGAATTATGCCAGATTTTCATGATAGTCAAAAAATTTCATAATGGCTGCATTTTCCTTTCAAATGGCAACAGTTTTGGGAATTGATACAAAAACTCAAATGTGTGCAAAATGGTAAAGTTTTTTGTGTGAAGCTGCCTACTTTTGACCTGGTACATTTTGCTTTGATGTAGCAATCTTGTTGTTTTTGTCGAGGCCTGCGACTTTTGTCGCAGAAAGCTCGACATAGGGATAGTGATACGGCGGCGGCGTTAGCTAACTTCTTAAAAGCTTTATATTTTAGAAGCTAGAAGACCTGGATGCTTCATACTTTGTATATAGATGCCTTATGTTGCGAAGTTTCCGTCTGTCATATGTCCATTGTCCTTGACCTCATTTTCATGGTTCAGTGACTACTTGAAAAAAAAAAGTCAACATTTTTTGTAATGTTAATTTCTTTCTTGTTATGAGTAATAGGATAACTATATTTAGTATGTGCGTACCTTGCAAGGTCCTCATGCCCGTCAGACAATTTTCATTTGACCTCGACCTCATTTCATGGATCAGTGAACAAGGTTAAGTTTTCGTGGTCAAGTCCATATATCAGATACTATAAGCAGTAGGTCTACTATATTTGGTATATGGAATGATTGTAAGGTATACATGTCCAACTGGTAGGTGTCATCTGACCTTGACCTAATTTTCATGGTTCAGTGGTCAAAGTTAAGTTTTTGAGTTTTGGTCTTTTTTTCTAATACTATAGGCAATAGGTCAACTATATTTGGTGTATGGAAATATTTTATGATGTACATGTCAGTCTTGCAGGTTTTATTTGACCTTGACCTCATTTTCATGGTTTATTTCTCAGTGTTAAGTTTTTGTGTTTTGGTCTGTTTTTCTTCAACTATAAGCAATAGATCAACTATATTTGTTGTATGGAAGGATTGTAAGGTGTATATGTCTGTCTGGCAGATATCATCTGACCTTGACCTCATTTTCATTGTTCATTGGTCAATGTTAAGTTTTCATGGTTAAGTTTGTTTCTTAGATACTATAAGCAATAGGTCAACTATATTTAATGCATACATTGATTGTAAGGTGTACATGTCTGTCTGGCATGGTTCATCTGACCTTGACCTCATTTTCATGGTTCATTGGTCAATGTTAAGTTTTCTTGGTTAAGACTGTTTTTTAGAAACTATAAGCAATAGGTCAACTATGTTTGGTTTATTGAATGATTGTAAGGTATACATGTATTTCTGGTTTGGTTTATCTGACCTTGACCTCATTTTCTTGGATCATGTTAAGTTTATGTGTTACTTGTAGTAAAGCTTTATATTTAGGACTATCAACATAAAATCAATGGTTAGTAAAGAAGGCGAGACATTTCAGCGTGTGCACTCTTGTTGTTTGTAGGTTTATATTACAGCAGTGCATGGTGGTTTAATGTTATATTTAAAATAGTGTTTTCTAGATACAATACAATATATTCCGCCAATGGCAGTCAGCAGGGTTTAAGAACATCTGTTGTTCGACCTGCTAGTCAAATGCGTTTTGTTAAAATATACTTTTTCACTTTTTTGATCTTTTGGAAAATGTTGTTTGTGCTGTATTTAGACCCCTCTACCAAGAAATTTGTTTTGCATGCACACGTATAAAAATTGAGGTTTTTATCCAACGCAATCATAGGTTTGAACTTTGTTTTCAAATTAGACTTGTCAATACAATATATTTACACTTAATGGAAAACAAAAGGATATGGGGTATCCATCCTTGACACAAAATCATTACATGCACAGCAAAAAACCCAGTTTAGTCATTATTACCTATATTTATGTTATTATAAAGTTTTGTGTTAACATCTCTATTTTTTAGATGTCTTAATGAATCAGAAATATTTCAGATGTCTACCCTATTTGAAATTGAATGTTTTACATTGATTCTTGGTACTGCCAGACAATATAAAGTGATCAAAATATCTCAATGTTAACTATTTTTGTCGCAGTATGCGAGACATAGGTACTACTATCCGGCGGCAGCGGCGTAAACTATTTGTATAAAGCTTTATATTTCAGAAGGTAAAAGACCTGGATGCTTCAAACCTTGTATGCAGATACCGTATGTTACAAAGTTTCCATCTGTCATATGTCTATTGTCCTTGACCTCATTTTCATGGTTCAGTGACTGCTTGAAAAAAAATTACAGTTTTATTGTCATGTGAATTTCTCACTTATTATGAGTAATAGGATAACTATATTTTGTATATGGGTTCCTTGCATTGTTTACATGTCTGTCAAACAGGGTTAACCTAAGAATAAGAATAAGAATATTTATTGAATCCAATTAAAGGGCCCGTTTCCGAGCATATACATATATATATAGTATTAATTATACAGTAATCTTTAAGATATATATATACCAGATGGTGTTTGAAAATAAATAAAATAGAATATTAACCCTCTCTAATACATAAAAAATAAACTACATCATTACTACATGTATATTTAGTTTCTGGAATGCAAATTTTCTCTTATTTCAAAACAAGTACTAATAAATCTCGACATTGACATATTAACATTTTCAGACTCGCAGGACATCAACCAAATAAACTGTTTGTACTTTGAAATATAAGGGAAGTTTTTACATTGAATGCATGCTTCATTAAGAATAAAATTCCTTTCCTTTTCGTATGCAGTGCATTCCATTAACCTGACCTCGACCTCAATTCATGGATCAGTTATGTGATTAGGTCTGTTTCTCAGATACTACAAGCAGCAGGTCAACTATATGTTGTGTATGGAATGATTGTAAGGGGAACATTTCTGTCTGGCAGGTATTATCTGACCTTGACCTCATTTTCATGGTTCATTGGTCAATGTTAAGGTTTTGTGTTTTGGTCTATTTTTCAAGTACTATAAGCAATATGGCAACTATATTTGGTGTATGGAATGATTGTAAGTTGCACATGTCTGTCTACTAGTGTCATCTGACTTTGATCTCATTTTCATGGTTCATTGATCAATGTTAAGCTTTTGTGCTTTGGTCTATTTTCAAGTACTATAAGCAATAGGTCAAACATATTTGGTTTATGGAAAGATTGTAAGGTGTACATGTCTGTCTAGCCGGTGTCATCTGACCTTGACCTCATTTTCATGGTTCATTGGTCAATTTTAAGTTTTTGTGTTTTGGTCTGTTTTTCAATTACCATAGCAATAGGTGAACTATAATTGGTGTATGGAAAGATTGTAAGGTGTACATGTCTGTCTAACCAGTATCATCTTCATGGTTCATTGGTTTACATTATTTTTTGTGTTTTGGACTGTTTTCAATAACCATAAGCAATGGGTTAACTATAGTTGGCGTATGGAATGATTGTAAGGTGTACATGTCTGTGTGACAAGTTTTTATCTGACCTTGACCTCATTGTCATGGATCATTAAAAATGTTAAGTTTATGCAATACTTGTGGTAAAACCTCTATCTCAGACTTTCAACATAAAATCAATGGTCAGTAAAACAGGCAAGACATTTCAGCATGTGCACTCTTGTTATTATTCAGAATCTCTTTTGTTAATAAAGAAGTTCTTGTCTTTTGTAGATTCTTACCATCATGAGGTGAAGACAAGTCAGGTGTGTATGTGTGTGGATGGAAATTGCAATTTTGACTAAAATCCTACCTATTATCAGCTAATTGAAATAAGTTAAATGTGTCTCTGTTTTTGCTGTTTTGATAAATTTACAGGCCTTTTTAAAAACTTTTATAATACCAGGCTACCATACCCACACGTCTTTGACACAAATGTATTTGTGCCCCTCGTGTATCTGGCATTGACACAAAATGCTAACCTGTAAATGATACGAGAATGTAAAAATAACCTTGTGCTACCAGACCCCTAGTTTGTAATTTGTCATGGAAATGGGTAGAATGTTTATTTAGATTAAATTTCAGATAAATAAATGTGACTTCTGATGAAATTTCAAATAAATCTTTTTTTTTGCAGCCCTACTTTATAACACCAACAATACCACATGATTCTGTAACACAATGTGTACCAGGGAAATCTTGTCATGTCCTAATGTTTATGTCTGGTGGTGTTTACCCTGAATGGTAAGTTTTATACCAGGGAAATCTTGTCATGTTATCCTGTTTATGTCTGATGGTATTTAATCTGAATTGTTAAGTGTTTTATACCAGGAAAATCTTGTCATGTCCTCCTGTTTATGTCAGGTGACATTTACCCTGAATGGTAAGTGTTTATACCAGGGAAATCTTGACATGTCCTCCTGTTTATGTCTGGTGGTATTTACCCTCAATGGTAAGTGTTTATACCAGGGAAATCTTGTCATGTCCTCCTGTTTATGTCAGGTGGTATTTACCCTGAATGGTAAGTGTTATACCAGGGAAATCTTGTCATGTTGTCCTGTTTATGTCTGGTGGTATTTGATCTGAATTGTTAAGTGTTTTATATCATGGAAATCTTGTCATGTCCTCCTGTTTATGTCAGGTGGTATTTACCCTGAATGGTAAGTGTTTATACCAGGGAAATCTTGTCATGTCCTACTGTTTATGTCTGGTGGTATTTACCCTGAATGGTAAGTGTTTATATCAAGGAAATCTTGTCATGTCCTACTGTTTATGTCTTGCCGTGTTTACCTTGAATGGTAAGTGTTATACCAGGGAAATCTTGTCATGTTGTCCTGTTTATGTCTGGCGGTATTTAATCTGAATTGTTGAGTGTTTTATACCAGGGAAATCTTGTCAAGTCCTGTTTATGTCTGGTGGTATTTACCCTGAATGGTAAGTGTTTTATACCAGGAAAATCTTGTCATGTCCTACTGTTTATGTCCGGTGTATTTACCCTGAATGGTAAGTGTTTTATACCAGAGAAATCTTGTCATGTCCTCCTGTTTATGTCTGGTGGTTTTTACCAATAGAGGTAAGTGTTTTATACCAGGGAAATCTTCACATGTTTTGCTGTTTATGTCTGGTGCTATTTACCATGTATGGTAAAGTGTTTTATACCAAGAAATTTTTGTCATGTCATCCAGTTTATTTCCGGTGATATTTACCCTGAATGGTAAGTGTTTTTATACCAGGGAAATCTTGTCATGTCCTGGTGATTTTTTTCATGATCTGTAAGAGTTTTGTACTATAGAGAAATCTAGTCATGACCTCCTGTTAATGTCTTGTTATTTTTTTCATGGTCTGTGACTGTTGTATATTAGGGAAATGTTGTTTTAACTTTTGTTCAGAGTTAATGTCATGTGCTGATAAGCACTATTTGCAAGTGTTGTGTACCAGGCAAATTTTGTTATGCCCTCATGATGGTGTCTATCATGATTTGTGAGTGTTTTAGAGATCATTTCATGAGTGTGACTGTGTTATCCATATCTTCATTTCTGTTTCTTTAAACCATTCTTTTTTTACAATTACCACATTTCCCAAGTTTTCAATGTTTGTTATTTGTGGTATGTATAAGTTTATGCTGAGTTTGAAAACTGTAATAAATCCTGAACTTAATAAAAACAATTGTTTTTTTATCTGTAAATCTTATGGCATCAAAAAATGTATTACTATTTCAGTCCCTCTATAGAACAGACTCAAGGACCAACAGATGACCTCCATCTTTTTACATCTGCTGATAATTCTAAATTAATTGGTAACTGCACAGCAGACGTAACATTTACCCCGCCTTTAGGATCAACAGGAAAATACAGATTCTGTTTCAAAACATTTCTTCCAAAGTAGGTAATACTGAAGATAAAATATAATAGCTATCTGTTGATAATTAAGGTTTATTTTTGAAGACATAGTTGATACTACTTGCATAGAACACAAATTGGTACTAGCCAATTACTGGAAATTTAATATATCTAGACATATGTATTGGCTGATTAAATATTTTTTTTATTGCCATGAGTAAAAACTGTCCTGCTCTTTTCCTTCTGTCTGTCATAACAATTAATGAGAAATTTTACTTTGATTTCACTTTTGAAGTTAGAGTATATATCAACTTAGTAAAGGAGTACATAGTATTTACGTCTTACTACACACTTATTTTTAAGACCCACAACACACATACAGAGTTCGAATTTGGTCAGTGAGTCATTTAATGTTCTAGATTTATTCCCATTTTTAACTTGGAAAATTGCAAAGCTTCTGCAGGGCCATTCATGTCCTCAGACACATTTTTCTTTTATTTTTATGCCCGAGCTGCAGCGGAGGGGGCATTAAGTATCACCCTTGTCCGTCTGTCCATACATACGTCCCAAAATTAGTTTCCATTCTTAATGTTATAAAACTTATGCACAATGCTTATTACCACAAAACACAGATCAAGTTTGAATTTATGTGGAATCACTTTTACCATTCTAGAGTTATACCCCTTTACAAATGGAAAATTTGCTGAATTCTTCGTTTCCGTTCTTAAACTTAAGTTTGCCTCCACCAAATATTATGAAACTTATACACAATGCTTATTACCATAAAACACAGTTCAAGTTCAAATTTGAGTGGCATCACTTTTACAGTTCTCTATTTATGTCCCTTTATAATGTTATATGCAAGCAGGGGCATCATCTGTGTCCCATGGACATTTATTTTTGGTTATATTACATAGATTTTGTAAAAGAAGGAAGAGAAATGTGTTTGTTTAACAAGTTATTATGTATAAATGATAGCTTAAATGTTTTCTTCAGTAAACAATTGTCTATATTGATGCCAAGTTATGAATTTTATGTCTATAAAAAGTATCAAGGCATGAAAGTTATTAAAATATCTAAGGTAACAAAATAGTTTCATCTGGTAATCAGCTGATTGACGTTTTCATTTTTATGAAACCAGAAAGTTTATGACATTGTGATAAAATAATTCTTCAAATGTACCATGTCAATGAAGATGTATAAGTACATGTTTCCACTAAATTGTACCATTAGATATCAGATGTGAAAAAGGATGCATGGGTACCATATTTTGATATTGTTTAAAAGCTTTAAAAACATTTACAAATCAATTTTCTGGAAATTTGTATGACACATTATCAATACAAAGCTTTTATTGAATGTTTTTACTAAAACAAACTTCTTGAACTATATAAATTTATGAAATGCCACAAGATTCTTCATAGTAACAGACTACCATTGAAGATCAATGATTTTGGGTTTAATCTCAAAACTGATTAAACTTGAAAAATTTAGCAATTGCTCATATTTAAAAATTAAATTTTGAAAAGGTTTTCTGTTAAATTAACATCAAAAGCGATTAGTACAGTAACATGCTAGTGTCCCAAAAATACATTCATTGATTCCCATATCAGTGATGATCTCCTGTCAATCCTATATACTCATGGAATTTTGTAGGACATCTTCTATTACTTTTTCCTCCTGAAATGAACATTTAACATATCTTTTCAGTATACCAGGAGAAATTAGATGTTTTTATGTGAAATACATGGATTATACTGGTGAGTATGATAAAGTTAAGTAATATCATTGAGAATTTTTTGTCATAAAGTGTTCCACATCACCATTTAGATTTGGCAATTTTTGCAAGAGCTATGGGACTCTTTTTTTTAATGAATGAGTTGTTATAACATGTAATTTTTATTTTTTTTTTCTGACCTGATTGTACTCAAAATCGTCTTGCTTTAATTATTATTTTATATTACTGAGTTCAACATGATTGTTAAGTCGTGTGCGTCTGAGTAAGAATGAGTGAGTGATTGGATAGGTGTGAAGTTTACATCCTTATGTCTTGTCCTGCACATATTGTCTTGTCTTGTGTTAAACATGTTTGTAAAAAAATAAAACTCTGTTAATTGTGAATCTGTATATATCTATGTTGAGGAGACCCACACCTAGCTTCTGGCTGTTGGCAATCCTCTTTAAATGAATAAAGAATAAAATTAACATGTTATTGTTCTATAGCTTCAGTCTTTACCATTTATAATGCCTTCCTCGAAATTTCAAAAACGTCCAATCTATATACAGTTTTTGTTACTGTGTATATAACTGGCTCTGTTCTTTCAGAAGACCAATGTGTCTTATTCTTACTGTTTGTAGCTTCTTTTAACAATAAACTAACTGATTCATATGAAGCATCACTTCTGTAATGTACTGGTACTAAAAGTAAGGATTATTGAGATCTTCCTGTACACAAAGTATATGTAGTTGCAAAGTATATGTAGTTGCTAAAAGTAAGGATTATTGAGATCTTCCTGTACACAAAGTATATGTAGTTGCAAAAATGTACTGGGACCAGTTTTTGTCGAGCCTGCGACTTTTGTCGCAGAAAGCTCGACATAGGGATAGTGATCCGGCGGCGGCGGCGTTAGCTAACTTCTTAAATGGTTGATATTTTAGAAGGTGGAAGACCTGGATGCTTCATACTTTGTATATAGATGCCTTATGTTACGAAGTTTCCATCTGTCTCATGTCCATTGTCCTTGACCTCATTTTCATGGTTCAGACTACTTGAAAAAAAAGACAAAATTTTTTGTAATGTTAACTTCTCTCTTATTATGAGTAATAGGATAACTATATTTGGTATGTGCGTACCTTGCAAGGTCCTCATGCCTGTCTGACAGTTTTCACTTGACCTAGACCTCGTTTCATGGATCAGTGAACAAGGTTAAGTTTTGGTGGACAAGTCCATATCTCAGATACTAGAAGCAATAGGTCTAGCATATTCGGTGTATGGAAGGACTGTAAGGTGTATATGTCCAACTGGCAGGTGTCATCTGACCTTGACCTCATTTTCATGGTTCAGTGGTTATAGTTAAGTTTTTGTGTTTTGGTCTGTTTTTCTTATACTGTATGCAATAGGTCTACTATATTTGGTGTATGGAATGATTGTAAAGTGTACATGTCTAGCTAGCATGTGTCTTCTGACCTTGTCCTCATTTTCATGGTTCAGTGGTCAAAGTTAAGTTTTTTGAGTTTTGGTCTTTTTTTCTAATACTATATGCAATAGGTCATCTATATTTGGTGTATGGAAATATTTTATGATGTACATGTCAGTCTTGCAGGTTTTATTTGACCTTGACCTCATTTTCACGGTTCATTGCTCAGTGTTAAGTTTTTGTGTTTTGGTCTGTTTTTCTAATACTATAAGCAATAGGTCAACTATATTTGTTGTATGGAAGGATTGCAAGCTGTACATGTCTGCCTGTAATGGTTCATCTGACCTTGACCTCATTTTCATGGTTCATTGGTCAATGTTTAGTTTTCTTGGTTAAGTCTGTATCTTAGAAACTATAAACAATAGGTCAACTATATTTAGTGTATTGAATGATTGTAAGGTGTACATGTATTTCTTGTTTGGTTTATATGACCTTGATCTCATTTTCTTGGATCATGTCAAGTGTATGTGATAGTTGTTGTAAAGCTTTATATTTAGGACTATCAACATAATATCAATGATTAGTAAAGAAGGTGAGACATTTCAGGGTGTGCACTCTTGTTATAGTTTATGAGTTCTAACTACACGTATATTCAATGTCTGTTTAGCTCAGTCTCTTGTTGTAGAAAACTTTATTGTCAGTGTGAATGATTTCTAACTGTAATTTGTCTCCATTTAGCTCCAAGTCATTCTTGCATGGGGACCAGTTGTCTGGATGGCAGTGTTTGTGATGTTATAAATGGACAGCCAATGTGTATTTGTGCTTTGTTGCAGTCTGGACAAAATTGTCAGCAAGGTATTTATACAAATAAAAAGAATACCTAATTTTTGTTTTTGTTTTCTACTATACATGTGCTTTTATTTTAGAATTGAATTCTTTTCTTATATTCATTAAAAGTAATTCATTTTTATTCCCAATTTGACACTGTTTTCAAGGTGTGTGTTATACTGAAATTTGAATTGGTGTAAAATAATTAAATGAAAAGTTATTTTTGGTAAGGTAGGTATGCAACATTAATACTCCTGTATTTTCCATCCAATCAACAACAAACAAATAAGGTTTGTGCAGTCCAGTGAGCACAGGTTGGATGTGCTATCTTTTTACTTTTAACCTATAGATTTGAATTTGTCCTCTCAACATGCAGTACTCCTTGTGATCAAGTCACAGTACAATTCTAACATATTTCAGCTATCCCAATTTATAGTACACAAGTTGCAGCCATTAATATCTAATGTATGGAGATACAAATTGAAATAACAATTGGTTAAATAGTCAAAGATAAAGTTCAGAGATCAGTTGCAAAAATTTGCTTATTACATTTATGGTTTCAGATGTAAAAGTTTGTTTTCCCATCACAATGTTACCTCTCTTACTAAACACTGTTAATTCAGAAATTTTTGTTTGCATCCATTAGTTATTCCAATTGTTGAACTATGGACTCAAAGCAAAATAAACTATTGTAATTTTAGGCAATGCTGGGCGTCCAAATGGGTCTTTGCATCGGAATTAAACATATTTATTCTAAAACCAGTTGTTGGCATGACACGGGTTATGTTCTTCTCATATATTTTATGATGGTATGATACTAAACCCCTAACAGGAGGGATTGTGCCTGATATTCTTATGATGAAGACATAATCTTTCAATCAGTTTAATTGAGGTGTGGAGCTGGCATGTCAGGAACTTCTAGTAGTCTGTTGTTATTTATGTATTATTGTCATTTTGTTTATTTTCTTTTGTTTCCTATTCTGACATCGGACTCGGACTTCTCTTGGGCTGGGTTTTGCTGTGCGTACTGTTGTGCGTTTGTTTTTTCTACATTGGCTAGAGGTATGGGGGGAGGGGGGAGATCTCAAAAAACATGTTTAACCCCGCAACATTTTTGCGCCTGTCCCAAGTCAGGAGCCTCTGGCCTTTGTTAGTCTTGTATCATTTTTAATTTTAGTTTCTTGTGTATAATTTGGAGTTTAGTATGACGTCCATTATCACTGAACTAGTATACATATTTGTTTAGGGGCCAGCTGAAGGACGCCTCCGGGTGCAGGAGTTTCTTGCTGCATTGAAGACCCATTGGTGGCCTTCAGCTGTTGTCTGCTCTATGGTCGGGTTGTTGTCTCTTTGACACATTCCCCCATTTCCATTCTCAATTTTAATCCAAATTTTGATGTGTGAGCTTTTATTTTTTTGCAATACATATTCTGTCACTATATCGCAATAATAAAAACAGAATATGTATTGCCCTATTTACAGAACTGTTAATGCCATGTATGTGTCATAATTTTTCTGTTACAGCTGGTTCTTCTGGTAGCCCTCATACATCATCAACACCAACTATTACCGATTTACCTCTACCTAAAGTAATCAGATGTGAAGTTGGTACATTTTGTGTAATACCTATGTTAGTAAATGGAGACATAAACAATCCGTAAGTTGTTGTTATGAGAGATATCATGATGTATGTTATATTCAAGATATTATACATAATTCTGTGCATATTAAGTTTGCCACCATTCTAGTTGGGAGGGACTTATTGAGTATATGTGTGTTATTGAGCCTTTCCAGGACTAACATTTTGATGAATCAATAATCGTCTTTCTGTCCGTCCATTTTTCCGTCCTTCCCATTTCCGTTTCTGCACTCTAACTTAAGTTTGCCTCATGCAAATTTTAACTTTTGAAACTCACACACAATGCTAGGAACCAAAACTACAGAGTTCAAACTTTGGGCAGTGAGTCATTACCCGTTCTAGAGTTATGCCCCTTTATAACTTCAAAAATTTCAATTTTTTTTCGTTTTTGCTCTCTAACTTAAATTTGTCTTGTCCAAATTTTATGAAACTCCTACACAATGCTTATAATTACAACATGCAGGCAGAATTGGAATTTGGGCAGTGAGCCATTTACCATTCTAGAGTTATGCCTCTTTTTAACTTGGAAAATTGCAAAACTTGAGTGGGGGCACTTGTGTCCTCAGACACATTCTTCTTTTTATTTTACTGTTAACAATCAGATTCAGTCTGAGGTTAAAGTTTTTCAGTCATCAATAACTTATGTCAAATCTTCATGGAATTTTATGAAATTTGGACAGAAGCTTGTTTTTTAAGACCAAAAGACAGTAAGTATCCAGAGCAGGCAATTTGTTGAATTTTGTTTCAAAATTTCAATCATACTACAAAATAACTAGGTATTTTTAGTTATTTATACATGTATAATGCTTGTCAAAGTTAGGTATTTTATAAATTGCCTGAAAATTCAGTTATTTTTCAAAATGCCTAAATTTATTAAAAGTCGGCAACATATATAAGTTAATGATTCTTCAATTTTTTTACTTTCCACAGGCCAGTAGTAACAACACCTAGAAGTAATCCAAATATGATATCAGCTCCTCCATCTATCAAACCAGATAGCAAATATCCCAAAGGAACATACAAAGTTAATGGTTTAGTAAAAGTTACAAAAGAAGGAATATATGAACAGTGCATGATTATAAAGAATGGTGGGTAGGTATTGTACTAAAAACATTCTAAGTTAAACTATTTTTGTTTCGAGCCTGCAACTTCTGTCACAGAAAGCAAGATATAGGGAAAGTGATCCATAGATGCCTTATGTTATGAAGTTTCCGTCTGTCATATGCATGTCCATTGTCCTTGACCTCATTTGCATAGTTCAGTGACTACTAAAAAAAGATAATATTTTTTGTAATCTTAATTTCTCTCTTATTATGAGTAAGAGGATAACTATATTTGGTATGTGCGTACCTTGCAAGGTCCCCATGTTTGTCAAACAGTTTTCACCTGACCTCAACCTCATTTCATGGATCAGTGAACATGGTAAAGTTTTTGTGGTCAAGTCCATATCTCAGATACTATAAGCAATAGGTCTACTATATTTGGTGTATGGAATGATTGTAAGGTGTGCATGTCCAACTGACCTTGACCTCATTTTTATGGTTCAGTGGTTAAAGTTAAGTTTTTGTGTTTTGGTCTGTTTTCCTAATACTGTATGCAATAGTTCAATTATATTTGGTGTATGGAAATATTTTACAATGTACATGTCAGTCTGGCAGGTTTTATTTGACCTTGACCTCATTTTTATGGTTCATTGCTCAATTTTAAATTTTTGTGTTTTGGTCTGTTTTTCTTAACTATAAGCAATAGGTCAACTATATTTGGTGTATAGAATGATTGTAAAGTGAACATGTCTGTCTGGCAATTATCATCTGACCTTGACCTCATTTTCATGGGTCATTGGTCAATGTTAAGTTTTCCTGGTTAAATTTGTTTCTTAGATACTATATGAATAGCAACTATATTTAAAGTATGTAATGATTATAAGGTGTACATGTTTTTCTGGCTTGGTTCATCTGACCTTGACCTCATTTTCATAGTTCATGTTAAGTTAATGTGATACTTGTAGAAAAACTTTAAATTTAGGACTCTCGACATAAAATCAATGGTCAGTAAAGCAGGCGAGACATTTCAGCATGTGCACTCTTGTTTGTATGTTTTATGTTCATCTGTTTTTGAAGATTAGTTTTTGGCAGTCTTTTCATATCATAAACTGGTAAGTGCAGCATATAATTTACTTATGTGTATGCTAAAATAGTCATCCAGATGTTTAGATTTTTTTATCAATTTTGTATGTTACACTCCATGAATAGAGCATTAGAATTGAAACATTTCAAAACTCTGTGTTAAGGAAACCATATTGTTTATCAAACTTTTGTAATATATAACTTGAAATGTGTTGCTGTTGTATATCATCAATTATCAAATTTTGGTAATTAAAGTTAGACATATCAACTCAAACCGAAATAGTGTATAATATCTATTGTCTTCAACCTACACAATTTATAACATGTGCTAAATGACAAACTTTACACACACTACTATAAACCAACTTATTTTTGTGGATATATTTCTAGTAAACTTTATGATGATTTATTTTCTCTCATTTCTATTTCTTTTGATATTATCATGTTAGAAGATACGATTCAAGTTTGACATCTTTATGATGATTTAAATATGTATTATATTTCTAATCTCAATGTCGCTGAAAAATAAATGGCTTGTGAATATTAATTGGTTATTAGTACAGTCGAACCTCGTTGTGTCGAAAACTCGGATGAGTCGAAGTAATTTCTCGGTCCCGGTAAATTCCCGTTTGATCAATGCATAATTACCTCTGATGAGTCGAACTCGGTTGATTCGAATACTCGGTTAAGTCGAGTAGATTTTATAGTCCCGTCGAAGTAAAATTTATTTAATGTAAATTGACCCCGATGTCTCGAAGTTCCAAAGTAAGAATTTTCGAAAGATGCAGGCCTAATGATAAAAATTTAAATCGGATGTATTTCTTATGTCACCTAATCATTTTCAAAAGAGATTAAAGCTCAGTAAACATACTTGTATGTATAACAGTTAAAATGACATGTTTATGAAGACCGCTAATTAACACCTTTGTTGATCGTTCAAGCGGAATGTTAGTGTATTGAACATTTCTCACCTGAGATAAAAACGAAACGAATCTAAATGACCCAAACCGAGATTAAATGAAACGTTAGATTTAAAACATATTAATTACAATTACAATAAACAAAAGGATTAGGACAATTATAATAAATTCATGATAATTTAATGTAAAGCAGACGACCTTATCAGAGACCGTTCAGAACTTATTTCGTGCCGCGAGGGATTTCGTAATTTATATAGTGACTGACCTTTGTAAATATTTTTGTAGACTATTGATTTTATTTGTGCATGATTTGTATCTGTACTTGTGTGTTACGAAGGACCAAAATGGAGATTGAATACACAATCATAAAGTGTCATATAGAAAATAGGCACACTGTTCATTGTATCTAGTTTACACAAATATCATACCGTATTTCATGCATTCCAAATTTATGATGACACACTAGACCTCGGATGAGTCGAACCTCGGATGAGTCGAATACTTCGGTCCGGTCCCTTCGACTTCGACACAACGAGGTTCGACTGTATATAATATCTTACATTTCTCAAACCAGTACACTATTTAATGTTTAAAAAGTCTCAAAATAACCTACACACAAAATCGCTGAAAAGAATCACTCCTACCTACTTTATGACCTTCGACACTATATATCTCTCTAAAGACTCAAACCTCCACACTAAGTCTCAAACCTTTACACAGTATGACCTCTGAAGAGACTAATATATGCACATTATTTAACCTATATCAAATCTTAAACCTTCACAATATATGATAATTAATGAGTCGCCTAGATCATTTTTTCCCGGGTTTTCTGAATGAAATCATGTTTTTGATTTGGAGTTGTACAGTGAGTTGGTTGGCATGCAGGCTGACAGCCATAGTTGTTTCTGTGAAATAACATATGAACTTATGAACAATGCTTTTCATATTTAAGTCTCCCAAACGAAGTTTGGGAAGACTTATTGTTTTTGCTCAGTTCTTATTATTATTATTCTTCTAAAATGTTCTAAATGATAAAGCCCTTTAAATGAAATACAGGGTTAGTCCCCAGGGGTCACCCCACCCCCTGCCATTTAAAAAAGTTCTAATATCTTGTAAGTGGTCAAGATCCCCACCCCTAAACCATATATATTTTGGTTTGTCATGCTAAGATGGTTTGAATGATATACAGGGTTAGTCCCCAGGGGTCATCCCGACCCCCTGCCATTTGAGAAAGTTCTAATATCTTGTAAATGGTCGATATCCCCACCCTTAAACCATATATATTCTGGTTTGTCATGATAAAGCACATCAAATGTAATACAGAGTTAGTCCCCAGGGGTCACCCCCACCCCATGCCATTTAAAAAAGTTCTAATATCTTGTAAGTGGTCAAGATCCCCACCCCTAAACCATATATATTCTGGTTTGTCATGCTAAGATGGTTTGAATGATATACAGGGTTAGTCCCCAGGGGTCATCCCGACCCCCTGCCATTTGAGAAAGTTCTAATATCTTGTAAATGGTCGAGATCCCCACCCCTAAACCATATATATTCTGGTTTGTCATGATAAAGCACATCAAATGAAATACAGGGTTAGTCCCCAGGGGTCACCCCCACCCCATGCCATTTAAAAAAGTTCTAATATCTTGTAAGTGGTCAAGATCCCCACCCCTAAACCATATATATTCTAGTTTGTCATGCGAAGATGGTTTGAATGATATATGGGGTTAGTCCCCAGGGGTCATCCCGACCCCCTGCCATTTAAGAAATGTCTAATATCTTATAAATGGTCGAGATCCCCACCCCTAAACCATATATATTCTGGTTTGTCATGATAAAGCACATCAAATAAAATACAGGGTTAGTCCCCAGGGGTCACCCCCACCCCCTGCCATTTGAGAAAATTCTAATATCTTGTAAATGGTCGAGATCCCCACCCCTAAACCATATATATTCTGGTTTGTCAGGCCAAGATGATTTGAATGATATACAGGGTTAGTTCCCAGGCATCACTAATGCATATAACTTTACTGGACCAAACCAATTTTCATTGGACTTTGCCCAATTTCAGGCGACCATGGGAATTACAAATTATGGGAGCTTCGTTTGGGAGACTTCGTAACAGCATCCTGTTACAATCATTTCTTGTTTGATATGTTGTTACTGATGACAAAATGAAGGTCAATTTTAATATTGATGATTTTCACTTTTGACATTCAGGAGTAATGCGCCCTGATATGAACCGTCAAAGGAATGCTAAATGAACTTGATGATTGTTAATATCTGTTTTTTTTTCATTGTATTGTAATTTGTATGTGAGGGCTTCAAGGAAGATTAGTTTGTTGTAACTTACTGTTACTTTTAAATGAAGAATTTATTATACCCCTGCTTTAAAAAAGTGGGGGTATACTGTTTTACCTCTGTCTGTCCGTCCATCCATCCATCCATCAGTCCGTCCATCCATCCGTCCCATGAATATTTTTTGTCGCATCTTTCTCAGGAACTACATTACAAGGATTTCTGAAATTTGGTTTTAGGATTTATATAAGTCAGCCACACCGTTTGATGCGTTTTCAGATTCATCACTCAACAACTTTTTGTTTACTGTCAAGTATTTGGGCTGTGGGGTATCATCAGTGAGCAGTAGCTCGCAGTTTCAATTGTTATTATTAAATTATTATTCATGTAATGCTTTTTCAAATTTTAATATTTTGTGACTGTTAACAAAAGGAATTTTCATTTCACACTTCTTGCCCTCTTATTAAGTTCAAAATGGTTACTTCCAAAATACAGAAAACCTGGTTTGTTGTTAATTTGACAACTCATTTCTTGTTTTGGAATATTTGTAGAAAAAAATGTTTTAAGATAGAAGCCTTCAATAACAAAAACAGTACTCAAGCTACTTCAAATGTAAGTACAAATATTTTATCTTCAATTCATATGTTTATAAGACAACTTATTTCATATTACATATAACTATGGTTACATGATCTAATAATTTTAATTTATTATTTATTAACTATTAATTCCAGTGAAGTACATTAAGGTAAAGAGGGAAATATAAAAAGTGTAGTGAATGTCAGCTACATATGGTTTCAAGCACATTAATCGTCTCTTAATGACTTGCTTTCCTTCACATTAAACTATTAAGTATTAAGATAGGTACATGAGTATGGCGCCCTTTTTGCTCTGCGTTCTTTAGATGAAACTACTGGTTTAGAAAATGATCATGTTATTTTTTTTTTGGGTGGGGGGTGGGGGGGATATAGATCATATAGATTTAATAAAAGCATAAAGACAAGCTAAAAAGGTGACAGGTGTATTATGTGCTCATGGCACAGCTCTTTATTATACCCCACGCAACGATTGCGGAGGGTATAATGTTTTTGACCCGTCTGTCCGTCCGTCAGTCCGTCAGTCCTATTTCTTGTCATCGCAACTCCTCTCAAACCACACAACAGAATTTCAGGAAACCTTTTTAGATAATATGGACATACTATGTAGTTGTGCATATCGACAGGAAATTACGATTCAATTTTTTTTCTAGGAGTTACGCCCCTTTGAACTTATTTACTTTAATGTACTACTGCAACAGTTTGTCATCGCAACTCCTCTCAAACCACACTACAGAATTTTATGAAACCTTTTCAGATAATAAGGACATACTATGTAGATGTGCATATCGACAGGAAATTACGATTCAATTTTTTTTCCAGGAGTAACGACCCTTTGAACTTATTTGCCCAATATACTACTGCAACCTTTTGTCATCACAACTCCTCTCAAACCACACAACAGAATTTCATGAATCCCTTTCAGATAATAAGGACATACTACGTAGATGTGCATATCGACAGGAAATTACGATTCAATTTTTTTTCCAGGAGTTCCGCCCCTTTGAACTTATTTGCCCAATATACTACTGCAACCTTTTGTCATCGCAACTCCTCTCAAACCACACAACAGAATTTCATGAAACCTTTTCAGATAATAAGGACATACTACGTAGATGTGCATATCAACAGGAAATTACGATTCAATTTTTTTTCCAGGAGTTATGCCCCTTTGAACTTATTTGCCCAATATACTACTGCAACCTTTTGTCATCGCAACTCCTCTCAAACCACACAACAGAATTTCATGAAACCTTTTCGGATAATAAGGACATACTATGTAGATGTGCATATAGACAGGAAATTACGATTCAATTTTTTTTCAGGAGTTACGCCCCTTTGAACTTATTTGCCCAATATACTACTGCAACCTTTTGTCATCGCAACTCCTCCCAAACCACACAACAGAATTTCATGATACCTTTTCAGATAATAAGGACATACTACGTAGATGTGCATATCGACAGGAAATTACGATTCAATTTTTTTTCTAGGAGTTACGCCCCTTTGAACTTATTTACTTTAATGTACTACTGCAACAGTTTGTCATCGCAACTCCTCTCAAACCACACTACAGAATTTTATGAAACCTTTTCAGATAATAAGGACATACTATGTAGATGTGCATATCGACAGGAAATTACGATTCAATTTTTTTTCCAGGAGTAACGACCCTTTGAACTTATTTGCCCAATATACTACTGCAACCTTTTGTCATCACAACTCCTCTCAAACCACACAACAGAATTTCATGAATCCCTTTCAGATAATAAGGACATACTACGTAGATGTGCATATCGACAGGAAATTACGATTCAATTTTTTTTCCAGGAGTTCCGCCCCTTTGAACTTATTTGCCCAATATACTACTGCAACCTTTTGTCATCGCAACTCCTCTCAAACCACACAACAGAATTTCATGAAACCTTTTCAGATAATAAGGACATACTACGTAGATGTGCATATCAACAGGAAATTACGATTCAATTTTTTTTCCAGGAGTTATGCCCCTTTGAACTTATTTGCCCAATATACTACTGCAACCTTTTGTCATCGCAACTCCTCTCAAACCACACAACAGAATTTCATGAAACCTTTTCGGATAATAAGGACATACTATGTAGATGTACATATAGACAGGAAATTACGATTCAATTTTTTTTCAGGAGTTACGCCCCTTTGAACTTATTTGCCCAATATACTACTGCAACCTTTTGTCATCGCAACTCCTCCCAAACCACACAACAGAATTTCATGATACCTTTTCAGATAATAAGGACATACTACGTAGATGTGCATATCGACAGGAAATTACGATTCAATTTTTTTTCTAGGAGTTACGCCCCTTTGAACTTATTTGCCCAATATACTACTGCAACCTTTTGTCATCGCAACTCCTCTCAAACCACATAACAAAATTTCATGAAACCTTTTCAGATAATAAGGACATACTATGTAGATGTGCATATAGACAGGAAATTATGATTCAATTTTTTTTTCAGGAGTTACGCCCCTTTGAACTTATTTGCCCAATATACTACTGCAACCTTTTGTCATCGCAACTCCTCTCAAACCACACAACAGAATTTCATGAAACCTTTTCAGATAATAAGGACATACTACGTAGATGTGCATATCGACAGGAAATTACGATTCAATTTTTTTTCTAGGAGTTACGCCCCTTTGAACTTATTTGCCCAATATACTACTGCAACCTTTTGTCATCGCAACTCCTCTCAAACCACACAACAAAATTTCATGAAACCTTTTCAGATAATAAGGACATACTATGTAGATGTGCATATAGACAGGAAATTACGATTCAATTTTTTTTTCAGGAGTTACGCCCCTTTGAACTTATTTGCCCAATATGCTACTGCAACCTTTTGTCATCGCAACTCCTCTCAAACCACACAACAGAATTTCATGAAACCTTTTCAGATAATAAGGACATACTATGTAGATGTGCATATAGACAGGAAATTACGATTCAATTTTTCAGGAGTTACGCCCCTTTGAACTTATTTGCCCAATATACTACTGCAACCTTTTGTCATCGCAACTCCTCTCAAACCACACAACAGAATTTCATGAAACTGTGTAGATAATAAGGACATACTATGTAGATGTGCATATTGACAGGAAATTATGATTCAATTTTTTTATCTGATACAATTTTTTTTTCTTACACTTATTTTATTTCTCCAATGACAATGTGGGGACGACGGGTATGTGAGCGCGCTCACTAAGGTTCTTTCATTAAATCTATCTAGGGTTAACACTCTGAAAAATTTTGTTTATTGTTTTGTACATGAATCAGCCATTAGTTTCCTTTTTTGAATTGTGTTCCATTTGTCATTTCAGGGCATTTTATAGCTCGCATTATAATATAGGTTATGCTCATTGTTGAAAGCTGAATGGTGACCTATAGTTGCTTACTTCTACGTCATTTGGTTTCCGGACAATACTTTTAGTATAAGTGAATGGATCTCTATGAAATTTAACCACAAGGTTCTAAAGCACAAAAGGAAGGTTGCCAATGATTTTGGGGGTTATTGTCCCATCTGTTTTGGAATTAGGGGTCAAAAAGGGGCCAAAAAAGGCATTTTTCAAGTTTCTGGACAATAACTTGAATACAAGTGTATGGATCTCCATGAAATTGTTCCACAAGGTTCCATACCACAAAGGGAAAGTAAGGATTGACTTTGGAGGTTATGGCCAAAACGTTCAGGGATTTGGGGCAAAAAAAGTGGGGAAAAACAAGTTTTTTCTGGTTAATGGACAATTACTTAAATACTTAAATTACTTAAGTATTAGTCTATGGATTTCTATGAAATTAAAACACAAGGTACCATACCACAAAGGGAAGGTTGGGTTTGACTTTGGGGGTTATGGCTCAAACTGTTCAAAAATAAGGGGCAAAAAGGGGAGGGGGGAGGAACAAGGTTTTTCTGGTTTCCGGACAAATACTTAAGTATTAGTCAATGGATCTCTATGATATTGAATAATCAAATAAAAACTAATTGCAATTGCAGGTAGTTTAACAAATTTTCTGATTGCAATGATTGTTCTATAGAATAATGATATAAAAGATATGGAGTAAAAAATTTAAAGAACATACTAAAAAAACAGAATGTTAGATTGAACATGTAGAATATAAAGATAGAGAAACTTTATAAGTACAAGGGTACTATAAACATAATACATTGGATGGAAAGTAGAAGAAAACACACTTTAGAAGACAATTTTTACAGCACACGGTTACATTTACGACAAAATTTATGTCGATTAAAAACCTCCTGATCTGAGTCCTAATCTCCTGACCAAAATTTCCAAATCTCCTGATCTGAGTTTCACAGTCCATCACATGTATGACAACAGCATGAAATCTTCAATTGAAAATAAATACAAATCTTTTAACCAATTTCAATGAGGATTAATTTCAAAGTCATGAATTGTTTGAGGTTTTTACCATGTATTACTATATTGAATATTTGGACATTTTTGAATAGATCTACATTGAGGTCCAAAGGGTCCAAAATTATACTTTGTTTGATTTCATCAAAAACTGAATTCTGGTGTTTCTATGATATGCTGAGTCTAACTGTGCATTCAGATTTTTAATTTTGGGCCCTGTTTTCAAATTAGTCCATATTAAGGTCCAAAAGGTCCAAAATTAAACTTTGTTTGAATTCATGTTTTTTTTTACATTGGATGACAGTGAGGGCATTCCGGTGTATTGTTGCCACAGACATTTCTACCCACCTTTTTGACTGATAACAGAACACAAAATAACATTCCTTATCGCTTGTTATATATCAATTTCATCAAAAAATATTCATGAAAATAATTTTTTTAGAACATAGATAAATGATATGAAAATTTTTTGTCGTTAGAAATATATATATCAATAACAAATCAAGAAAATTTGTGTTAACGCATGTGTAAGAATATCTCAAGAACATTTTGCAGGAAAATCCAATCTATTAGAAAAATCGATTATTACAGAAGAGTGTCCACCATGCACTTGCACTGCACTATTATTAGAATAGTAGAATAGAATGATATACAAATGGATGAAAATTATATATACATGTAACTGTTATATACAAATATTAATATAATATTTAACAACAAACCAGAGTATACTGATTTGTATCACTACAATATAATAGTTATTACGGTGAGGTTGAATTCCCTGTCATTTATTCATCATCCATGCACAAACTTGTCTCAGAAAAAAATATATCTATATACCTTAACCTCACTTTAAGGTATAGAGATGTGATTTTTTTTTCTGAGACAAGTGCTTGTGACCATCCACAAGAACTTGCGGTCATCCGATGTTCAGTACTTCAGTACTTTGATTTTTTTATATGCTGAATCCAACCATGGAATTAGATTATGGATATTTGACCATTAAGTAGATTGTATGTCCCATTTCAAATTTTTAAGTTATCTGGCCACATTTATTCTGGGTCAGAAATCTATAATGTGTCAATTATTTAATCACTATCCAAATTCAGAGCTGTATCAAGCTTGAATATTGTGTCCATACTTGCCCCAACTGTTCAGAGTTCGACCTCTGTGGAGTGCATTTTTATGATTTTTATGACTTAGAAATAACATCTTAAGCAAAATTTTTATTTTTCTGAATTTAACTGATTGATGATAGCAATATTTACACTTTTACACTGATACCATCAAGACACAGGTTCCACGGAACCATTTAGGAAGGGAACTTTGTAACTAATTATTATCATTATGATTTTTTGTCATAGGTCAATCTGTCTGGTCTTGTTAGCACTCTCACATGTACAATTCTTTGCAGATTTTTATAAAACTTATATCATAGGTTTATATTATCAATGTCTCGGACAAGTTCAAAAATCAGTGCCGATCAATTATTTTTGAAAGAAATATGCCCCTTGGAAACATTAATTATATGGAAAATTGCATCATTAGCTCTCTCATGTGTACAATTTTTGCGCCTGATTTTTATAAAACTTATATTGTAGGTTTATATCAGTGATGTCTTGGACGAGGTGGAAAATCTGTGCTGATCAGTTATTTTTAGAAGAGTTATGCGCCTTGGAAATATTAATTATATGGAAAATTGCCTTGTGAGCGCTCTCATGTGTACAATTCTTGCCAGATTTTTATGAAATTCGTAATATAGGTTTATATCATCAATGTCTGAGATGAGTTCGAAAAACTTTGCGGATCAATTATTTTTAAAAGAGTTATGCCCCTTGGAAATATTAATTATATGGAAAATTGCCTTGTGAGCGCTCTCATCTGTACAATTCTTGCCAGCTTTTTAAGAAATTCGTATTATAGGTTTATATCATCAATGTCTTAGATGAGTTCGAAAATCTTTGCCGATCAATTATTTTTAAAGGAGTTATGCCCCTTGGAAATATTAAATATAGGGAAAATTGCATCGTTAGCACTCTCATGTGTACAATTTTTGCCAGAATTATATGAAATTTATGTCATAGGTTTATATCAGCAATGTCTTTGACGGTTTTGAAAATAAGTGCTGATCAAATATTTTTTACGAGTTATGCCCCTTTGAAATATTAATTATATTGGAAATCACATTAAATTTGCTCTGAAGCTAAGATATTATCAACAGTTTAAAGAACAAAAAAAGTGTTTTATTTTTAGTTATTGCCCTTGATCCTTGGATAGATGAAATATGTGCAACGAGGGGGACATTGGAACTCTGTTCTTTTATTGTTTTACAGGCTAATGGTCATTTTGAAAGCCCATCATTACCACCTGATTCAACAGTTGTGTGTAAACCAACAACTACATGTCATCTGATTTTGTATCAACGACCTAAAAATGGCAGATGGTATGTGGCATATTCTAATATCTGAATTTTGAGGATGCAAATATTTAATTTCATACAAGTTTGAGGTTTATTTAATGCTTCAAGTAATGAAAACTATTGACTACAAAAGTGTCATGGTTAACCTATAAATGTGACATATACTGTAAGTTTAAACAACAGATTACTAAAACTTTTTATCCAAAGTACCTCAGGAATCGGTTTCACAAAAAAACTTATGATTAAGATTGATCGTAAGTCATGAACAATTCAGTATACTTACAATCAATCTTAGTCACAATTTTTTTTGTGAAACTGACTCCAGGACTTGAATATCTGGGTAACAGGTGGTAACCAAGATGGTAAGAACAGAAACAGCACAAAAGTATAAGGTAAATTTTTGGATTTTTCTACCCTGTAACTTACTGAAAATAAAAAATGTTTGAAACCATTATTGGTACAAATTACTTTGTTTTAAGTTAAGGAAGAATGCCTTCCAGAAAATATAAATTACAAATTAACTGTGATGTCATTCAAGTGATATCTTTAAGGAGATTTTAACATTTTTAGCAAAAATAATCTTATTTCAGTAGAATTTTGGCTAAAGTAACACAGAGAAGAAACATTGACCAAAAATATTTTTTTTGTTAAGTGAATGAGTATAAACACTAAATACACTTCATGTGGGAATATCTATGGGGAAACGGTTCTGCTTTACATCAATGAAAATGGTATATTTCAAACAAAGTTACAATGTTTATATAAGTACAAAGTACATAGATTCAACTTTGATTTGCAAACAGAGACAATTTGATTTTCTGGCAAACAAATCTCCCAAATTTTATCCTCTCCTTTATCAAATGAAACATTGGTTTCGTAAGATTCATTGATAAAGTATAGAAGTAATGATTGGTATTTTAAATATTTGCATGGTAACATATCTGATATTCTGCTTTCTGTTTTAGTGTGCCTGCTGTTGGAGAAATTATACCTGGAGGTGCATATGTTGTTTCTCCATCTTCTCCTGATGATGTTGGAGTCTGTGAGACAGATATTGTTTACAAACCTACAACTGGAGCTAAGAGTCAGAAAGTGTGTGTCAGAGCTAAGGGAGCTAATAATAGGTAAGCTTTCTTTATATTCTTATAATATGGACTCATGATTATTCAGATAAACAGATTTTTACATAGACGTATTATTACTGAGGGTGAAATTCAGACTTCATGTGTCAGCTCCAAAGAAGAGAATGATAAATAGGCAAACGTTTATAAATGATTATTAAGTCTCCCAAACGAAGTTTGGGAAGACTTATTGTTTTTGCTCAGTTCTTATTATTATTATTATTCTTCTTCCTCTTCCTCTTCCGCCGCTTTTAAATTTGAACTTGTCCGCACCCGTTCTCCAAAACCGCTTGTCAGATTAACTTAGGGTTTCACAGTATGTTAGACTAACATGTCTAGTGGTGCAATCAGGGTTTTGTTTGTGCAATGGGGTTTATAAAGGGGTACTTTGAGGGGCAAAAACAAAAGAGGGTTTTACTATAGAACCCTATGGGGTTTTATTTTTTTAAATTTTCAAATGATTATAAATTGAAAACCGTTTGTGATAGACACAATCTTTTTAATTGAAAATGTTCTAAATGATAAAACCCATTAAATGAAATACAGGGTTAGTCCCCAGGGGTCACCCCCGCCCCCTGCTATTTAAGAAAGTTCTAATACCTTGTAAGTGGTCAAGATCCCCACCCCTAAACCATATATATTCTGGTTTGTCATGCTAAGATGGTTTGAATGATATACAGGGTTAGTCCCCAGGGGTCATCCCGACCCCCTGCCATTTGAGAAAGTTCTAATATCTTGTAAATGGTCGAGATCCCCACCCCTAAACCATATATATTCTGGTTTGTCATGCTAAGATGGTTTGAATGACATACAGGGTTAATCCCCAGGGGTCATCCCGACCCCCTGCCATTTGAGAAAGTTCTAATATCTTGTAAATGGTCGAGATCCCCACCCCTAAACCATATATATTCTGGTTTGTCATGCTAAGATGGTTTGAATGATATACAGGGTTAGTCCCCAGGGGTCATTCCGACCCCCTGCCATTTGAGAAAGTTCTAATATCTTGTAAATGGTCGAGATCCCCACCCCTAAACCATATATATTCTGGTTTGTCATGATAAAGCACATTAAATGAAATACAGGGTTAGTCCCCAGGGGTCACCCCCACCCCATGCCATTTAAGAAAGTTCTAATACCTTGTAAGTGGTCAAGATCCCCACCCCTAAACCATATATATTCTGGTTTGTCATGCTAAGATGGTTTGAATGATATACAGGGTTAGTCCCCAGGGGTCATCCCGACCCCCTGCCATTTGAGAAAGTTCTAATATCATGTAAATGGTCGAGATCCCAACCCCTAAACCATATATATTCTGGTTTTTCATGATAAGATGGTTTGAATGATATACAGGGTTAGTCCACAGGGGTCATTCCGACCCCCTGCCTTTTGAGAAAGTTCTAATATCTTGTAAATGGTCGAGATCCCCACCCCTAAACCATATATATTCTGGTTTTTCATGATAAAGCACATGAAATGAAATACAGGGTTAGTCCCCAAGGGTCCTCCCCACCCCATGCCATTTAAGAAAGTTCTAATACCTTGTAAGTGGTCAAGATCCCCACCCCTAAACCATATATATTCTGGTTTGTCATGCTAAGATGGTTTGAATGATATACAGGGTTAGTCCCCAGGGGTCATCCCGACCCCCTGCCATTTGAGAAAGTTCTAATATCTTGTAAATGGTCGAGATCCCCACCCCTAAACCATATTTATTCTGGTTTGTCATGATAAAGCAAATCAAATGAAATACAGGGTTAGTACCCAGGGGTCACCCCCACCCTATGCCATTTAAGAAAGTTCTAATATCTTGTAAGTGGTCAAGATCCCCACCCCTTGACCATATATATTCTTGTTTGTCATGCTAAGATGGTTTGAATGATATACAGGGTTAGTCCCCAGGGGTCATCCTGACCCCCTGCCATTTGAGAAAGTTCTAATATCTTGTAAATGGTCGAGATCCCCACCCCTAAACCATATATATTCTGGTTTGTCATGCTAAGATGGTTTGAATGATATACAGGGTTAGTCCCCTGGGGTCATCCCAACCCCCTGCCATTTGAGAAAGTTCTTATATCTTGTAAATGGTCGAGATCCCCACCCCTAAACCATATATATTCTGGTTTGTCATGCCAAGATGATTTGAATGATATACAGGGTTAGTCCCCAGGCATCACTAATGCATATAACTTTACTGGACCAAACCAATTTTCACTGGACTTTGCTCAATGTCAGGCGATCATGGGAATTACGAATTATGGGAGCTTCGTTTGGGAGACTTCGTAACAGCATCCTGTTACAATCATTTCTTGTTCCATTTACTGCTTATACTCTGGCCTATTTGAGACATATGTTTTGTCTATATACCTACAATGGCAGATTTAAGTCAAGACAGCCTGTTGGAAACCCAAAGGAAAAAATCTTTTCCTAGGTTCTATATTCTTATTTAATCTTAGATCCCAAATCATGAACCTTTTCAATTGTTGTCTTGACTTTATGCTTTGTTGAAGGGGGCATAAGTGTTATCCTTGTCCGTCTGTACGTCCCAAAATTAGTTCCCTTCTCTAACTTTAGTTTGCCTCAACCAAATGTTATGAACTAATACACAATGCTTATTAGCACAAAACACAGATCAAGTTTGAATTTTGGTGGCATCACTGTTAGTGTTCTAGAAAAAGAGAGGCGAGGGATACAAAAGGGACATTCAAACTCACAAGTCGAAAATAAACTGACAACACCATGGGGAAAAAGAAAAAAACAAACAAACAAAAGTACACAAAACACAACATAGAAAACTAAAGACTGAGCAACATGAACCACACCAAAAAAAGGGGTTGATCTCGGGTGCTTCGGAAGGGTAGGCAGATCCTGCTCCACATGTGGTGCCCTTCGTGTTGTTCATTTCAGTACAAATAGATCCTGCTCCACATGTGGTGCCCTTCGTGTTGCTCATGTCAGTACAAATCCAAGAGTTATGCCCCTTTATAAATTGAAAAATTGCTGAATTTTTCGTTCTGTTTGCCTCAACCAAATGTTATGAAACTTATACATAATGCTTTTTACCTTAAAACACTGATCGAGTTAGAATTTGGGTAGCGTCACTTTTATAGTTCTCTAGTTATGACCCTTTATAACGTTATATGTAAACGGGGGCATCATCTGTGTCCCATGAACCAATTCTCCATTTATTTGTTCTGTTTAAGGTCTTTTTTTTTCTTACTATGCAGAATGTTAGGAAATGTCTGATTTTCCTTTATTTGCAAAGATAAGTAAATATTACTATACCTTGTTATTGATGCTTACTGATTTAATTTAAGTAAGCTAATGTAAATGACCTGCAGGACTCAGGGATGGTGGTTTTTGTAGCTTGTAGAAGCCTACATAGTCAGTTGGCTGAAGTGAACAAGTGGTCGACAAAAATACTAAGCTTTGTAAGGAATACAGGTCTTGGTAAGGCAGTTTGCAGAAGACCATTCAGCAAAATAATACAACTATTTTTTTTTTTTCAATTTTGGCTGTATTACAACTTTGGACTTCAACCCACATCCAAAGCATAACCAATTTCAGCTCCAAACTTTTTGTGCTACAAACAGTTTATTTGTTAAACAAACCATTACTTTAAATTGCAGTGATGGAGAACTGAGATGTTTCAAAATTGATCCATCATTAAACGATGCAAATCCATGTCACACTGCAATGTGCCATACAGGGGATTGTGTCTCAACAGTGGATGATGATGTTGAATGTAAATGTCACATAGGAACAACAGGAAAAACATGTGATCAAGGTTTGTATAGACTATCGCATAATATCAGATAATTAAGTAACTTATGATAAACGTTTGTGTCATTTGACTTCTCTTGTCCTTGAAATTTCTAATTGTCTTGAAGGATAACACAATTTAAACATGAAATAAAGATAATATATAAACAACAGCTGCATGGGACCTTCCTCTCAAATATTGCTGTATTATGGCCTACTGACATCATATTCTACACCAAAACTGTCAATATTTATTAAAAGACCTTAATAATTGGACCCATGTGGTACAATATCTACCTTGTGTGCCTTCTATCATAAGAACATACCACATATCATGTGAGCTGAAAAGAAGCCATCAAATAGTATGGAAAGTTTTAAAACATACATTTTGTCGTTTAATTTAGAAGAAAGCAGATTTTTTGTGTTAAATCTCTTAGAAAACTTAGCTTTATATTACATGCTTCTGTAAAAAGTATATTTTCAGATACAAAGAATTTAATCACAGGACATACTGTGAGTGGAAAGGTAGGTTTAAATAATAATAAAATATACCATAAAACTTTTGTTTTATAGAAGCTTTTACAAGTCCAAGCTTAGGTCAAATACATTGAAAGCTTTAAACCTGAATGAACAGGATGGATGTGAAACTTTCAAACTTTATTGGAATAATGTGGATTTGTTTTTGCATCTCAGTGTTTTAGCAAATTATTTATGAACTTATTTATTTTTGTCCTATTGTGAGCATACTGTGTACTTTTTGTCTGCCTAACTCCTCAACAGTGTTTTAGGTAATAATAATACATAAAAACTTATAAAAATGATATTTATAATGTTTGACAGCCTGGTTTTGTGGACACAGTCAAACCGAAAAAGATTGTTTGTTATACCAGACAGCCATGTGGGATACCAGTAGCTGTGAACAGTAATGGTGGACAAAGGTAACTTTTAGATATACTAAGTATTTGTTACATCAGCAATATAATTTATCAATATAGTGAATTCTGGTTATAATAATTATATGTGCTTGAAATGAAAATATTGAGTCCCAGGAGTGACAGCTTACCCAGACATGAGGTCAGTGCTGTATTCAAGTGTAGGTCTATGTATGTTACACCAATAAGAATAAAGAAATAACATATATATGTTATGGTGAATAACATATATATGTTATGGTGATTGTAGAATTGAGCTTGTAAAGTAGACATGTCCATATTTAAGTATGTAGTGATGAGCTTGATAATCAAAGATGATAATGGGATATTTACCTGAAAATGTATGTCAAATACAAAATTGTTTACATTAGATGTGTCAATAATGAACAAAACTGTTAATATAATGACCCTTGTCTAAATTGAAAATACTTTGACCCTGTCTTAACTGAAAATACATTGAACCCTTTATAAACTGAACATACAAAAGTGAACCCTGTCCAAACTGAAAATACAGTGACCAAAGGTCTGGAAATTTTTGCCCACAATTTCAGTCATTTGTTTTGGACTAGAAAGTAGGAATTTATTCATTTCAAACTGTCAAATTCATACCAAACATCAACAATATAAATGGTTTGCTGTATGAATTGCATAAAATTTCATACCTTTTTTTTGTAAAAGTGTTTAAGATGACTATGTGGATTGTAGCAGTCTAAAACTACAATGATTTTAATGACTTATAACTGCAAATTTCTTAGGAATTAATCATGCTGCTTTCATTTTGGGGAAACCCGAAGTTTTGAAGCTGATTATAAATTTTGAATGAAATGAGATTTATGATACAGACTTTTCTTCTGGCTATCAAATGGCGGTAAATCGAAGCGTTTTAGGCTTGATATTTATGCTCATAAAATGTCTAATCTTAATTGTACTTAAAGCGGAGGACACTTGCACGCATGCAAAATGCATACTGAATATGAATGGCTGTCCCAAGTCAGGTTGTCATTTGTTCATGTCTTTCATATTTGTTTTTCGTAAATTGTTTTGTTACAAATTAAGCCGTTACTTTTCTCAATTGAATTGTTTCATATTTTTCTTGTTGGGGCCTTCTGTAGCTGACTATACGGTATGCCTATAATTGCTTAAATCCACTTCATTTGAACTTTGGTGGATAGTTGTCTCATTGGCAATCATACCACATCTCCTTATTTTTATAAGGGCATGTTTCACTGAACCTCAAGTTCTTTTTTAACTAAATTGTATAGAATGCTTTAATTTATATTATCGATAGCCTTTGCTGAAATTTTATTTCATAATAAAGTCTATTGTCTGTACTTGGTCAATATTTTCTGCTGTCAGGTCTAACACAGGTAAACATGACAAGCGAGCATTTACCCGATATCAACAAGTTCGTTGTTGACCCTGTAGGTTATCATAAAATACTGAGTGGATGTTTTATTACAAGAAAAGAATTGAATTCAAGATTTTGTAACTTGTAACGAAAAACACAATATCTGACAGAAGGGCCTTGATAATTATGTCCAATCAGCATAAATTTTCATTCAAAAATTCTTGATCTAAATCCAAAAAAATGTTGCATTTTGGTCAAGGACAAGGACCATGTAGAATTGGTCATGTCTTGAATTATGACATTTCTGGACTCTTGCATTGACCCCTGACTAAAGTGAAAATACTTTGACCCTATTTTAATTCAAAGACATTTACCCCTGTCTCAACTGACCATACAGTGACCCTGTCTTGAGTGAGATAGAAAAACAGGGACCCCTTACTAAACTGAAAAAGCTGTAGCCTCTTAAAACTACCATGACCCATGCTTAAGCTGAAAATACATTTACTCATTTCCATACTGAAAATATATTGACCTTATATCCAAACTGAGCAAAAGTGATTTTCTATCCAAACTGAAAAATAGTGACCCTCCATCCACAGTGATCCATTATTCAAACTAAAAATGATCCCTGTCTTAACTGAAAATAAAGTTACCCTTTATCCAAACTGAAAACAAACCATGTCTTCACTGAAAATACACTTACACCTTTCTGAAATTGAAAATATTTTATTCCTGTCTAGACTAATATATACAGTAAAACCTGAATTATCTAGCTAAATTATCCTTTTTTTAGCTCACCTGGCCAGAAGGGCCAAGTGAGCTTTTCTCATCACTTGGCGTCCGTCGTCAGCGTCGTCGTAATCCGTCTTAGTTAGCTTTTTACAAAAATCTTCTCCTCTGAAACCACTGGGCCAAATTTAACCAAACTTGGCCACAATCATCATTAGGGTATCTAGTTTAAAAATGTGTCCTTTGACCCCGCCAACCAACCAAGATGGCCGCCATGGCTAAAAATAGAACATAGGGGTAAAATGTAGATTTTGGCTTATATCTCTGAAACCAAAGCATTTAGAGTAAATCTGACTTGGGCAAAACTAATTATCAGGTCAAGATCTATCTGCTCTAAAATTTTCAGACAAATCCGACAACCGGTTGTTGGGTTGCTGCCCCTGAATTGGTAATTTTAAGGAAATTTTTGCAGTTTTTGGTTATTATCTTGAATATTATTATAGATAGAGATAAACTGTAAACAGCAATAATGTTCAGCAAAGTAAGATCTACAAATAAGTTGTCATGACCAAAATTGTCAGTCGACCCCTTTAGGAGTAATTGCCCTTAATAGTCAATTTTTAACAATTTTTTGTAAATTTTTGTAATCTTTTACAAAAATCTTCTTCTCTGAAACTACTGAGACAAATGTAACCATACTTGGCCATAATCATTATTATGGTATCTAGTTTAAAAAATTTGTCTGATGACCCCGCCTTCCAACCATCATGGCCGACTTGGTTAAAAATAGAACATAGGGGTAAAATGCAGTTTTTGGTTTATATCTCTGAAACTAAAGCATTTAGAGCAAATCTGACAGGTGGCAAAAATGTTCATCAGATTTAGATTTATCTGCCCTGAAATTTTCAGACTAATCCGACAACCCGTTGTTGGGTTGCTGCCCCTGAGTTAGTAATTTTACAAAAATTTTGCAGTTTTTTGTTATTATCTTAGATATCATAATAATATCTAATATCTAATACTTTTAATTATGATTTTAACCTTATTTTACATGATTTCCAAAGCATCAGTAAATACAGGTGAGCGACACAGGCTCTTGAGAGCCTCTAGTCCATCGTCGTCGTCCGTCCAGTGTAAACTATTTCCAACATCTTCTCCTCTGAAACTACTGAACCAATTCCAACCAAACTTAAGCTGAATGATCCTTAGGGTATCTAGAATAAAGTTTGTGTTTTATTTACTGTTTCTTCCAAAAACATGGCCGCCATGACTAAAAATAGAACTTAGCGATAAAATGCAGTTTTTGGCTTATATCTCAAAAACTAAAGCATTTAGAGCAAATCTGACATAGAGTATAAATGTTCATTAGGTCAGTTCTATCAGGCTTAAAATTTTCAGATGAATCTAACAACCCATTGTTGGGTTGCTGCCACTAAATTGGTAATTTTAAGGAAATTTTGCAGTTTTTGGTTATTATCTTGAATATTTTTATAGATAAAGATAAACTGTACAAAGCAAAAATGTTCAGCAAAGTAAGATCTACAAATAATTTTCACGACCAAAATTGTCAATTGACCCCTTCAGGAGTTATTGCCCTTTAAGGACAATTTTACACAATTTGTTATCATGTTTTCTAACTTTAAAAAATCTTCTTCTCTGAAACTACTGAACCAATTCCAACCAAACTTAAGCTGAATGATCCTTAGGGTATCTAGAATAAAGTTTGTGTTTTATTTTCTGTTTCGTCAAATTACATGGCCGCCATGGCTAAAAATAGAACATAGGGTAAAATGCAGTTTTTGACTTGTATCTCAAAAACTAAAGCCTTTAGAGCAAATCAGATCAGAAGTTAAAGAATTCATTAGGTCAATGTCTACCTGCCTTGAAATTATCAGCCAAATCGGGTATCTGATTTTTAGGTTATTGCTGTTGATAATTTTAAGAAAATTTTGCATTTTTCAATTATTATCTTGAATATTATTATAGATTAAGATAAACTGTAAACAGCAAAAATGTTCAGCAAAGTAAGATCTACAAATAAGTTTAATGACTAAAATTTTCAATTGACCCCTTAAGGAGTTATTGCCCTATAAAGACAATTTTTCACAATTTGTTCATCTAGTTTGCTTACTTTAAAAAATCTTTTCCTTTGAAACTGCTGAATCTGTTTCAGCCAAACTTGGGCTGAATGAGTTTCAGAGAATCTAGTATAAATTTGGTATTTTATTTCCTTGTACGTCAAGAAACATAGCCACTATGGCTAAAATGGAACATAGGGGTAAAATGCATTTTTTTGCTTTTAAAGAAAATATGACAGATACAAAGAACATTTAAATGGCATTTTTAAGCCACTCATTAATATATATTGAAAAGCAAAAATAATCATTGATGAAAGATTTAAGGAAAAAATTACATGTGAGCGATTCAGGCTCTTGAGAGCCTCTTGTTATAGTAAAAATACTTCAATCTCAGCCTAAATGTGTTACATAGGTGTCCAATATTCAGCTAAGACAGATATTGATATTTCTATGCACGTTTGTTTTGCTGTAGAAAGATTTTATTTTATGTTTCAGTACAAAAGTAAAAGTTAAAGTACCACCAAAAGACTTGACACTTACACCTATACCAGGCACCAACATATCACAAGCTGTAGTACAAATACAGTCTACCAACCCAACAAATCTGACAAAATGTGTTGCTGTTATTGAGTCAGGGTAAATATCATTAATGAAAATTTCTTTTTGCTATTTGTAGTGAACAGAAAATTGGTGATATTTCTGAAAAAGGGGGAAACTACTTAGTTTGAAAAGAAAAGTACAAATCACATAGTTGAATATAATTATCAATGAACAGTTTGAAAATTGTGGCCATAAGTAAGGGGCCTTCATAGAGAATGGCATTACATTTTTGAGCAAACAGCGATGTATTTGCATCAGGAGTGGCAAGATCACATCAAGTAATTACTAGACTCCATCTGTCCTTCTTTCAATATAAACATATAGTAGGTACCTAGTTTGTGTCATTTGGAACTCCCAACATTTGTCTTCAACAGTATTTAGACTTGCATAGGGATTGTGCACAGATAAAAAATGTGCACCTCACATTTTGGAATGATTTCAATTTTTTTGTCAGTTTTCCCTTGTGTGAAAATGAGTTATTTTTGTCAAAGAATGATATACAGTGTACTTACTTTGTGTCATCTTTAACTCTAAATAGTTTTCCTTCTAGATTCACACTGTATTTGTGGCCTAAATATACCCATTATTACTGTCTTGAGAATTTTGTTAACTCATTGGAGCTACGATATTTATACATTTTATTGTTATTGGTTGTATGAAATTCATAAACATTTCCATTCTTTATAGTGCTGAAGACTGCTCTTTAATTCACGACGCTACAACACAAGTTCAGACACTGTATTGGTCTTGTTTCATCTATGTTAGCTGGATTTAAACAGTCGAGTGTGAATATGTAAAATAAAATAAAAAATAATGTATTTAAAATCTTTTCCTGATATTTCAGGCAAGAAAAGGATACATTGTGTTACAATATTGAATTCAAGTCTGGTATGTATTAATCTGAGAATATACATGAGGATTAACTTTAATGAGGGTGGTAAAGGGTTATTTTCGTGCAACGTGTTTTGCCATTTTTATTTCACGTGCAGCCGTGAAAAAGGTTCGTTATTCACCGTGTTTCGTAAAATCGGTAAAAAGATCAACGTGCAAGAAATTTTTAATTGTTCATTCATAGTGAAATGGCAATTTTATTTCGCATTCTTCCGTGCAGATACCCCCCCTTTACGCCCCTCTTTAATAACAAGCTTAAGGTATTTTAGAAGAGAAAAACAAGTATTTTTTTATTGAATAAAAATACTTAATATGATTTATAGTTCAAAACCCCCTAATGGGCCTCAAAGTATGGAACACAATTAAGATATGCAATAAAAAAATCACTACAGAATTATTTTATCATGTTTCCAAGAATTGAATTTCATCAGATTTTCAGTGTTTGAAAATTGAGATTTTTACTCTTGAGAAGCTGTTTCTCAATGGACTCTGGGCAACTGCTGAAAATTTTATCTCACATGGTACCTGAATAGAACCACATATTTAACACCTTTGGGCTTAAAAACTAGCTATCATACACAGGCAAGTTTACAATAATTACAAAGAAATTGAACAAGGAGTATACATCATTGAGACAACAACTCAACTACACAAATATGTTAAAAATAATGTCTTCCTAAAAAAGATTATGAACATTGTTCAATGTGATAGTTAATATTTTTGTCTTGCTTATGACAATTGTTACAGAATGCAAGACAAAGGGCTGCTAATCCAACATCTGCATAAGATAAAGCTTTATAGAAAGTAAAAGACCTGGATACTTCATATCTTGTAGACAGATGCATATGTTACTAAGTTTTCGTCTGGTATTGCTATTTGTTCTTTACCTCACAGGCAGGGTTCATTTCGTGGATAAGTGATCAAGGTTTTTTCTTTGTCAAATCTGTTTCTCAGATACTATAAGCAATGGGTCAATTTTATTTGGTATACAGAAGGATTTAAAGTTGTACATGGCTGTCTGGCAGTTTTCATCTGTCCTTGATCTGATTTTCAGGGTTTGTTGTTCAGTATTAGGTTTTCATGGTAAATTCCATTTCTCAGATACTGTAAGCAATAGGTCGACTTTATTTTGTGTATCGAATGATTGTAAGGTGTAAATAATTATCTGATATGGCTCATCTGACCTTCACCTCCTAATTGATGTTAAGTTTATGTGTTACCTGTAATCATGACTTTCAACATCAAATTTGATCAGTAAAACAGTCATGACATTTCAGCATGTGCACTCTTGTTTAGTTTTTGTCTCGCAGTATGTGAGACATAGATATTACTATGCTACGGCAGCGGCGTAAACTATTTGGCATATGCCCATTGTCCTTGACCTCATTTTCATGGTTCAGTGACTGCTTGAAAAAAAATTACAGTTTTTTTGTCATGTGAATTTCTCACTTACTATGAGTAATAGGTTAACTATATTCGATATATGGGTTCCTTGCAACATTTACATGTCCATCAGACAGGGTTAACCTGACCTCGACCTCAATTCATGGATTAGTGATCAAGGTTACAGTTTCGTGATAAGGTCCGCTTCTCAGATACTACAAGCAGCAGGTCAACTATATGTTGTGTATGGAATGATTGTAAGGGGTACATGTCAGATTGGCAGGTTTCATCTGACCTTGACCTCATTTTCATGGTTCATTGGTCAATTTTAATTTTTTGTGTTTGGTCAATTTTTCAAGTACTGTAAGCATTAGGTCAACTATATTTGGTTTATGGAATGATTGTAAGGTGTACATGTCTGTCTAGCTGGTGTCATCTGACCTTGACCTCATTTTCATGGTTCAATAGCCATTGTTAAGTTTTTGTGTTTTGGTCTGTTCTTCAAATACTAATAGCAATAGGTCAACTATAATTGGTGTATGGAATGATTGGAAGGTGTACATGTCTGTCTAGTCAGTATCATCTGTCCTTGACCTCATTTTCATCGTTCATTGGTTAACGTTAAGTTTTTGAGTTTTGGTCTGTTTTTCAATTACCATAAGCAATGGGTCAACTATATTTGGTGTATGAAATAATTGTAATGTGTACATGTCTGTGTGACAGTTTTTATCTGACCTTGACCTCATTGTCATGGATCTATGAATCTGTTAAGTTTATGTTATATTTGTAGTAAAACCTTTATCTTTAAGACTTTCAACATAAAATCAATGCTCAGTAAAACAGGCGAGACATTTCAGCGTGTGCACTCTTGTCTAAATTAATATATTGAAGATTAACAAGACTGTTTTTTTATGCTCTAAAATTGTGTTTTTATGTTTAAGGTCCAGCACCATCTCAGGTAAGTTTGATTCTAAAGGCTTTTCTGTAATTAAATATGTGGGCAAGGAAGGTTTTGTGTTAACCTTTTTTTAACCAATCTCTTACAATAAAAAAAAATCAAAATTCTTTACTGGTTGAGGACCAGTTACCGTCACTAGGCATTTTTCATAATAATGGATGCCTTGCATTTTTGCTTCATATTTAAAAACCTTCTTTGTTTGATCCGATTAAGAAAATGAAATTCCAAGTTTTTTTCGTTTTTATAACACGTTGTGGGAAGATACACATGCAGGGATATAACGTCATTACTTAATGGCATCCTCGATTTGAGAAAGCTTACTGTTTTCAAATCTATTATATATCCAAGCCATCTTCAGAACACGCATTTCTATTATAAAATTAAGGACAGATTCATAAATTTAAAAATCATTTACAGTATATTTTATTGATCTCAAGTAACATAATTTATGACCTGTTCAGACTTTGCGAAAGGAAAAAAAGATAAAGAATATATGCAGACTTTATGACTTTGCACTTGGTTAATTTAGCAAAAAACCTTCTCGTCTTACCACAGAAAAACATTATATGACATAAATACTCATTCAAAGTGGAAATGTCTATCATTTAGTGAGTAGATTCTTAAATGATGGTAACTGGTCCTCGTAACCATAAAATTTCATGGCACCAGTATAACAAAGTATGTGGTGTTTAACCTAATTTTTGGTTACCTTTTTTATGTTAAAAGAATATTTTCAACTGGAGTGCCTGTAAAAAAATATTTGAGAAAAACTACAAATTTCGAAGGTAACTGGTACCGGACCAGTATAGTTTTTTCAAAGATTTCTTTAAAAAAAAACTTGTAATAATATCCATCATGATTTTAAGGACCTCTTGACACCCCATCAGATCTATATCTTTATTACATAACAACCCCAAGAAATTTTATGATTAATGCATACAGAAAAATATTAAAGAATGAAAAAAGAAAATCATTATAGAATGAAATAAAAAGTCTTGTTACCTTGTAAAAGTGTAGTAACAGTTATTAGGAATGTGGGCATTATTGAAAGTAAAATAGTTAAACATAAAACATTATTAACAAAGAAGTAATATGAAAGAATTTCTAAACTTGAAGATTCTTTGCTATTATAATCTATAATATAGATTTAAGTACATTCAGGATGAGTTATCCTTTTTGATTTTCTTTTATCTTTGTTTTCTTAGAATGGGTCAAAATTTACAGAAAACTCTCTTGGACCAAATTCTGAAGTATATTGTGAAACAGGTGTTGTTTGCCATCTTATAGTGGAGACTTCTCAACAGGGAGGGGTGTGGTAAGTCTGAAGTAAATTTTGAAACATGTGTTGTGTGCCATCTCATGGTGGAGACTTCTAAACAAGGAGGAGTGTGGTAAGTCTGAAGTATTTTGTGAAACAGGTGTTGTTTGCCATCTCATGGTGGAGACTTCTAAACAAGGAGGAGTGTGGTAAGTCTGAAGTATTTTGTGAAACAGGTGTTGTTTGCCATCTCATGGTGGAGACTTCTAAACAAGGAGGAGTGTGGTAAGTCTGAAGTATTTTGTGAAACAGGTGTTGTTTGCCATCTCATGGTGGAGACTTCTAAACAAGGAGGAGTGTGGTAAGTCTGAAGTATTTTGTGAAACAGGTGTTGTTTGCCATCTCATGGTGGAGACTTCTCAACAAGGAGGAGTGTGGTAAGTCAAAATATCAACATTTATAGCAAGTTTATAGGAAGAATTTTTGTCAAAAGAGATTTTAAATAAGTTTAGTTTCTAGAGTTAGAAAAGTTCTTAGTATAAAATCATTGAAGGTAGACATTGCAAACAAAAGATACTGATAGCTCTGAAGAGAGAGGAAAAATTATGCAAATATCAAAGATTGTGTAGATTTATTAAATAATAATGGTTCAGAATTCTTGATTGTTGGTTTTCTTCATAACATAGAATTTTCTTTTTTAGTCCAAACATTAAAAATACCAACCCCAGTGTTCAAGGAGACAAAATATCAGACGTTTATGTGTTTGATCCAAAAGAGTCAACTGCTAATTCTAAAATAAAGTGTACAACAGATGTAGCTATTAAACCCAGTACAACAGAGGCTGGAAGGAAAGAAGTCTGTGTCACAATTGAGAAAAGGTATAATGTTAGTTCTTGTCTTCCACACAACAAATATTGACAGAATGAGACAAAAATTACTTGATGCTGTCGTTGACAGTCCTGTGATTTATGCTTTATGTTGAGTTTCTTTTCCACATTTCATTAGAAGTGATATCCTTTACTGTAAGATATATGAGATCATTATTGCTCGCTTTGACTATGAAAATCATAATAATGACTGATTTTTTTCATAAATTTGAATATTTTTAACATCTGACAACAATAGCAAACATGCACAGATCAACACCTCACTCATAATTAAACATCTTCAAATATTAATTTCATTTTTAGTCCAATGGTGTGGGAACGCACCTTAGAAATCTTATTTATACAGCTAAGCTGGCTAAAACCTGGAATAATCTTACAATTTAAAAACACTTTCTTGCAGATTTTTACACCAGGGGTTGAATCAACTTGTGAAAATTAATCATGTTTTTCTCATATTTTTTTATTTTAGTTCAAGAAGTCAAAGTGATACAAGATGTTACAAAGTAATTGTTAAAAGAGGTACACTTGTTGTTAGGAACAAAAACAAAAATATCTTTGGACATATAAATACTTTATTCTAGCTTTCAGATTCTTTTGTGTATTGATTTTGTTTCTCAAGATACTTTTATTCTGTTAAAAATTTCTACAGAATATTTTCATCTTTTTCAGCTCACCTTCCCCAAAGGGCCAAGTGAGCTTTTCTCATCGCTTGTCATCCAGCACACGTTGTCGTCAGTCGCTAACTTTTACAAAAATCTTCTCTGAAACTACTGATCCAAATTTAACCAAACTTGGCCACAATCATCATGAGAGTATGTAGTTTTAAAAAATGTGTCCGATGACCCCGCCTGCCAATCAAGATGGCAGACATGGCTAAAAATAGAACATAGGGGTAAAATGCAAGTTTTGTCTATTATCTTGAAAACCACTATAAATAGAGAAAATCTGACAAGGGTAAATATGTTTGGAATGATGAGATCTACCTATTGCCCATTTACTTCTAAACTGTCAGAAGACTTTATATAGGAATTAATGCCCTTAAATGACGAATTTTACCAACTTTTTAAATCTTTGCCTATTATCTTGAAAGTTATATTAGAAAGAGAGAAACTTATAGCAAAAATGATCTACAAATAAGTCTGCATGGTTGAAATCGTCTGATGACCCCTTATTGGAGTTACTGCTCTTTTAACGATTTGTTTCGTTTCACAAGTACTTCTGTACTTTATATTTCCATATCTTTGTAAACATCAGATGTGTCAGTCTATTCAGTCTCATGTTTTAATGAAATAATTATTTTTTGATACTGCATGTACTGTCGATGCAATTGGATTTAAATATTATATATGTTTTCAACCATTTTATATCAGGCTGACAACACAAGGTACAATATTGAATATGTACAACATGATGAACTTGCGACCTCAGATGAGTGAAACCTTGAATGAGTCAAATAGTTATGTCATGTCCCTCCAACTTTGACTTATTGAGGTTCGACTGTATATGTTTCATTTTGTCTTGCCTTGACAAAATCGAAAAAGCAAGATTTAGGTATATTATATGATTTAATCATAGGCTCATAACTTTCACCTTTGGGTTTTTCATCATTCAAAGTTTAGGTGGGGTGTAAACATTCCCAGTAGCATCAAAGTTAATGGTACAAGTAATGTTGTAAATCCATAAACCACAACTATTTATACCCCCACACAACTTTGTTGCGTAACTTAGAATTTTGATCTAAATATACTACTGCAACAGTTTGTCAGCGCAAACCCTCTGAAACCACACAACAGAATTTCATGAAACTTTGCAGTTAATGAGGACATAATATGTAGATGTGCATATCAACAAGAATTGTTTATCAGTTGACTTTTGTAGGAGTTATGAGTTTTTGAACTTAGGAATCTGGTGAATTTTGTATGCCCAGTGAAAATATGGGGGCATGGGGTATGTAAGCGTGCTCATAAAGGTTCTTTAATTTTAGATGTTTTCCCCCTTTTTAAAAAACACTTATAGAATGGCTTATACATTAAAAATTGATAAGGATGAAATGAATGGTTTAGACTCTAACACTGTATTTTTACCCATTAGCATAAAACATGGCAAATATTTACAATAGAAAAATATATATTCATAAACTATCAAACATGTTGCTGGAACTTAATCATGTCTAATTTACATTTACTTTAGGTGATGCTTGCAAGCCAGTGGAATGTTTAAATGGAGGTATTTGTAAGAGTGTTGACAACTATGAAGGGATAGCAGTCTGTGTTTGTCCCTTAGGCTACTCAGGGAACAGATGTCAGAACAGTTAGTATCAATTTGTATGGAGTTTAAAACAGTTTTGCTATAAAAAGATAGATAAAGTTATGGGTTTTAGTACGTGTAATTGCTCTTGGCTACTTGAGTAACAGAGGAGTATAAAAATCAATTTACATGAATGTTTTCGTAAGGAGGTAGATAAAGATGAAGAGATAGACCAGCAAGTCCGCAACAGACCACTTAACTGTCTCTTCCTTCTCCCAAGACCAGCAGGTCAGCAACAGACCACTTAACTGTCTCTTCCTTCTCCCAAGACCAGCAGGTCAGCAACAGACCACTTAACTGTCTCTTCCTTCTCCCAAGACCAGCAGGTCATTAACAGACCACTTAACTGTCTCTTCCTTCTCCCAAGACCAGCTTGTCAGTGGCAGACCACTTCACTGTTGCTTCCTACTCCCCAGACCAGCTGGTCAGCTGCAGACCACTTCATTGTCTCTTCCTTCTCCCAAGACCAGCTGGTCAGTGGCAGGCCACTTCACTGTTGCTTTCTACTCCCAAGACCAGCTTGTCAGCGGCAGGCCACTTCATTGTCTCTTCCTACTCCCCAGATCAGCTTGTCAGCGGCAGGCCACTTCATTGTCTCTTCCTTCTCCCCAGACCACTTCATTGTCTCTTCCTACCCCCCAGATCAGCTTGTCAGCGGCAGGCCACTTCACTGTTGCTTTCTACTCCCAAGACCAGCTTGTCAGTGGCAGGCCACTTCATTGTCTCTTCCTTCTCCCAAGACCAGCTTGTCAGCGGCAGGCCACTTCATTGTCTCTTCCTTCTCCCAAGACCAGTTGGTCAGCGGCAGGCCACTTCATTGTCTCTTCCTTCTCCCAAGACCAGCTTGTCAGCGGCAGGCCACTTCATTGTCTCTTCCTTCTCCCAAGACCAGCTGGTCAGCGGCAGGCCACTTCATTGTCTCTTCCTTCTCCCAAGACCAGCTGGTAAAATTATTAAGGTGATAGCAGCAACTATACAAAATAACTTTCATTATAAAACAAATAAAGAAAGACAAACTTTTACACTAAAAAAAAAAAAATGACAACTGCATTCAATTTTGTAAATATTTCTTACAGAAAAAGACAATTCAGTGACACCATTCACAGAGGAAGAAATTCCAGTAAGTACTATAGATACCTTGGGAAATTTCTAAGTTAACTTTGTTCCTGTAATACCTGTCAACAAACCTGATTCTACAACACACTAATAATTTACTGTGCCTTCAGTGGTAATTACTCTCTAATATTACCTTGGTAGCAATGAAATACTGTGATGTCCCAGTTAAATAAAAACTGATAATTTCATGTGAAATAAATCTGATAATTTCACTCATCTGACATTATAAAACAATGGGTGTTGTCAAGACATTATCACTGATGTTATGTTAAAACAAAGTGTTGAAAAAGAATAGTTTCTTGTATTTTGTACTTTTTACATTGAAAAGCCCAGGGTCAATGTAATAAAAAGAATAACTAATGGAAGTAATCTAATATAAAAAAATATTCACTCGTGACCAAACAACCCTGATAATTAACTCCTGCACTATGCTCATTCTTCAATTAATGTGTTGTTCAGTCACTCATTAAATATATTTCTATATTTGAAATCCTCAATTAGTTATTCTATAAATATTAACAGTCCTTGAGAAATAGGACAATCTTCAATAATAGTTGTGCAATGACAAAATAAATTATGGGATATCAAAATATTTTAATTTTAGAATGCAGAAAAAACCAAAGGAGCCCCTAGATTTACAGCAACGTCCTTACCTGAGACAATTCATTGTGTGCTAGATCAATCCTGTCATCTACCAATGAGAGTTACAGATCCTACTGGAAATATGTAAGTTATATTTTCATGGAATGGATATTATTACGTGAGAGTTACAGATCCTACTGGAAATACGTAAGTTATATTTTCATGGAATGGATATTATTACCTGAGAGTAACAGATTCTATTTGAAAAAAGTTCACCTTATTTCAATCTTGTTTCCTATTTGAAGGTATACACAAATGTGCAACTAGAAGGGGTCACTTATTTGATGTGTTAAATGTGTCAATGCTGAATGGGTTGCAATTTCACCAAGCAATATATATTATGCTAATGGGTCATAAATGTTCATCCTTTGATTAGACGACTGTATAAACTGTACCCCACTCAAATGTTATATCAAATTGATATATATGACCCCATGTGGTAATCATCTATCTGCTGAAACTTTAATTGACAAAGTTAAATAGTCCTTTCAAATCAAATTAAGATGTCGCAGAAATATATCAATGGGTTATGATTTAGTCTTGAAATATAGACATATGGGTCTTGATTTTCACAAGACTTCAATATTTGAAAGGGGGAGTGTTTTTGAAATCCCAGCTGCGTGTCTGTACCCTAAATCCTGTGTTGCAATATATACATACATGTAATCATTGCACAAAATATAGCAATTCATACATAATCCTTGTACAAAATATAGTAAATTAATAAATACCACTTAAAAAGTAAAGTTGGTGAGATTTCAGTAAAAAATATTTTTCTAGTTGTTATTTGTGATTTTAGACCTGTGATAGGATTTGGACAAGTTGATCCAGGAATAATTACTTCTCCTCCCACAGTGACACCTAGTGGTAGTAATACATATACAACTGATGTGGTAGTTACTCCTACAGAACTGGGAAAAAGAAGAGTTTGTGTACAGACAAAGAACACAGAAAAGTAAGCTTTTTTATTTGGTACTAAATGATAAAATATATGTTAAAAGGGCATTGTTTTTCAGAATGAAGAACGATACTGTATTATTTGAGTGTGTTCTTGACCGTATGAGTATTTGGACCATATGTGTATATACTTATATGGTTCAACCATACCCGTATGGTCTAGGTAATTAAAATGATGAACGTTCATAAGTTTAAAAAGTCGTAAATTAAGAGTTTCTAATCAAAATTTTGACTTATTTAATCATATGGTAATCATTGTTCCATGATTAATGAAATAAAGCAAATTTTTCTCACATGCTCATTATCGATTTTTCCATACAGTTTAATGGTTAATTTAGATATTTCTTGAATTCATTTTAAGTCCACATAGAAGACAACTTTTTTGACTCACAGTCACTTGGGACATTGAACCCTCTTTATTTCTTTTTACCCTTGTTTTAGCTCACCTGGCCCAATGGGCCAAGTGTGCTTATCTCATCACTTGGCGTCTGTCGTCCGTCGTCGTCCGTTAACTTTTACAAAAATCTTCTCCTCTGAAACTACTGGGCCAAATTAAACCAAACTTGGCCACAATCATCATTAGGGTATCTAGTTTAGAAAATGTGTCCGATGACCCCGCCTGTCAACCAACATGGCTGACATGGCTAAAAATAGAACATATGGGTGTCAGGTTGAGATCTATCTGCCCTGAAATTTTCAGATGAATCAGACAACCTGTTGTTGGGTTGCTGCCCTTGAATTGGTAATTTTAAGGAAATTTTGCAGTTTTTGGTTATTATCTTGAATATTATTATAGATAGAAATAAACTGTAAACAGCAGTAATGTTCAGCAAAGTAAGATCTACAAATAAGTCATCATGACCAAAATTGTCAATTGACCCCTTAAGGAGTTATTGCCCTTTTATAGTCAATTTTTAACAATTTTTCGTAAATTTTTGTAATCTTTTACAAAAATCTTCTCCTCTGAAACTACTGAGCCAAATTTAACCAAACTTGGGCACAATCATCATTAGGGTATCTTGTTTAAAAAAATATGTCCGATGATCTCGCTTGCCAACCAACATGGTCAAATTGGCTATAAATAGAACATAGGGGTAAAATGTAAGTTTTGTCATAATATTTTGAAAACTGCTATAAATAAAGAAAATCTGACAGGGTAGAAATGTTCAAAATGTTGAGCTCTACCTATTATCTGTTTATGTCAAAACTGTCAGACAATTGCAGTAAAATGATGAATTTTACTATTTTTTTCATTTTGCCTGTTATCTTGGAAACTATAATAGATAAGACACGATCTTCAAATAAGTCAAATAGCGAAAACCGTCAATTAAGTCTTTATTAGAGTTATTGCCCTTTAATGACAATTTTTTCCATTTTTTTGGTGTTTTTGACTAAAATCTTAAAAAACTACAATAGCTAGATAGAACTTTTAACAGCATAAGCGATCAGCAAGACAAGATCTACAAATATGTCTTACAGCCAAATTCTTCATTTGACTGGTTATTGCAGTTATTGCTCTTTAATGAAGATTTCTACCAATTTTTGGTGTTCTTGAAAACTATAAAAGATAGATAGAAATTTTAAATAACAAAAATGATCAGCAAGACAAAATCTACAATCAGGTCAAATTCTGCCAAAAAAGTTAGTAGATAGGAGTGATATACAGTGATTGTCCTTGAAATGACGATTTTATTTTACCCTCTTTTGGTTTTTTTTTGCAAAAAATAAATTAGATAGAGAAAAACTGTAAAACAGTAGTCTACAATGTTGAAGATGTACATAGACCTAGGTGAGCGACACAGGCTCTTTAGAACCTCTATTTCAATTAATTCTAATTTGCAACTGTACTTTTTATTGCAGTGTTAATATGGATGAAGTATGCTACAACATTGAAACAAGCGGTAAGACTTTCCTTTCACAAATAAGAATATTTTTATGCACTGACTACAGTACTTAGAAATAGAAGACAGGCTTTAAGTTAATGAAAGTAAATAGTCAGTTTTTTAAGATTCGTTGCCTTTTAACCAATATAAAGGTGCCTATGTTTACCTGTTTACTGTAATAATTGAATTATTTAATAATGCACAGTTCTCATATAATGTTAACTGAAACTGTCTATCCATCTATAGCTTCGACCAGCCTGATGATTTAAGAGATCTGAGGAATAGAACATTACTTGACAGAATTCCTTTCCACCATATATGGTATACTGTGCACCTCCATTCATATTTTCTTTTTCATAATTTTTAACCAAGATTTCAAAAGGAAAAATTACTCTTTGAGGACATCACATGCACATAAATTTAACTTTTTCACGGGAGACTTCATCTGGTGATATATAAATTATGGTATTTAATTTTATAAAATAGTAAACTGTTTGTTGTATCTTTAAGAATTTATAGCTATGTTTAAAGATGTGTATAATGATAGATGATAAAAATACGAATTATACAGTCTCTAAGAAAACCTTTTAAGATATCTGTCACTTTTTATGCAAATTGGCCGTCCTGAACATGCATGAAATATTTGCCACTGGACGTTAAGCAACCAACAATCAATCAATTATGCAAATTGGGTATGCGGTCTAATTTGGGAACTGTTATATTAGATAAACAATGTCTGTATCAAGGTTGAAAATGAAGTCTTTTTGGAAATTTTAATGGGAAATATTACCCTTGGAAATGTAAATTGTTGTAAAATTGCCTTGAATTGCTTTCTTGCTCTGACACAATAACTTCTGTGTTAAGCAGGAAACATTTAAGGCATATCTTGTTTCCATAAATGAACTCCAGCAGGGTACATGGTTACCCTGTTATGTTAGATTTGAATGTTCACAGGTCTATGGTATTGAGGTTGTACAAATTGATATTTCAGAAAAGAATTCTCCAGGTCAAGGATCAGTAAGTATTTCTAAGTGAGATTTATGAATACAAAGTTTAGGAACATTTAAACGGTGAAGCTAATGTTTTAAATAAGGTATACTTTTTACACAGCATAATGGAAAAGTAACAGATTGTGTGACAAATAAAAAATGCATGAATGTTATTTACTCTAACTTGTGAATATTTTATGAATTTTCATTCATCTTTTATTTACTTTAAAAAGACATTGCTGTAAGTAAGCTGTTTGGAAAAATTCCATACTGTAAACAAAAAGAATAAAGAGCTATCATTGTAACATGTTTGACAAAGATCTTACTCCATTAGGAAAAAAGGATATTTGAATAAATTTTTTGAATATATCCTATATTTTATACATTTGTATTTGTAAAAATCAATTGTGGTTTCTTCATCAATATGTTACCATTGTTTGATAGTAAGTATTGTATTCCTTCTGGTGTACATTAAAAGATCCAACCCAATTGTAGTTAATGTCCTGAATCAAATTTTTCAATTCGGTTAAAAAAATTATCAGACCACTTTCAACAAGACACAGTTAAGGCATCAATGTCAACACTTTTGTTCTCACTGAAGACATGTTAAAAATGTAAAACAAATGGGTACTAATCTGGTGATGGCAGCATGGTCAGCTTTTTTGTTAGCTTTTTTCAGAAGGTAGATGGATACTATCTAATCAATGTGTAGTTTATCAAAAAATCATTTACTACCAGTTCAATGTGACTTCAATATTCAGTATTGGTAGAGAAATTAGAATTTGTAAACATGTTTTATCTTTTCACTTGCTCTTTTAACATTTATGATTTGGCTGTGACTCTTCTAGAGCAGTTACGTTTGATGATATTTAATGTTTTTTGTGTCTGATTTTTTAATGGCAAAAAGTGAAACACTTGCAATCAAGTCATCATGATTTGAGATTTTCCTCAATTATTCCAAGAATCTAACAAATTCCAACTACATATTTACAATCTCATAATTGGAAACTACTGTACTTCTGTTTATAAATTTCCAGCCAAAGTTTACAGAGCCCACTGTCAGTGAGAATTCTGTTGTTGTTTGTCAACCAGGACAAACCTGTCACATACCACTGACGTATGAGACATCCAATAATAACTGGTAAGATAGGATATGAATGAAAATTAAGAGAATTGGCAGATTAAGTAAATGTATAACTTTTTTATAACAAATTGAGAATTTGTGCACTTAACATAGCAAAATGAATATTTGTGTAACCTGTATATATAAATATGTATTGAAAATCTACATAGTGGACAAATAACCCTTAAGCTCACTGGAAATTAATGATAAATAATGAAAAAAGAAAAAAATTGTGTCACATTTATAAGAAAATACAAGTATTTAATCACATCAAGTCACAATGATTTTTTGATAAGGCACTACCAAAAATTATGCCATATTTATAAAGTGTCTCCAGACAATTCTGATTGAATTAATTCTTTTTAAGATAGCTATACTTCATGTTTGTTAACCTTTGAATATTAAAGATAATTCAATTTTCATTTCAGTGAAAAAGTTACTGAAACAAGTTATATCACAGGAGTTCATATCTTCCAAGGTAGTTCTTCAGTGGGCCAGACATGTGCTGTAGATGTAGGTTTTACACCAACCCCTGATGCTGGTGGTACACAACATATGTGCTTCAAATCTGGGTAAGTTTGACTGATCTCCAGTTGGCAGCATATGTGTTGTAGATGTAGGTTTTACACCAACCCCTGATGCTGGTGGTACACAACATATGTGCTTCAAACCTGGGTAAGTTTGACTGATCTCCAGTTGGCAGCACATGTGTTGTAGATGTAGGTTTTACACCAACCCCTGATGCTGGTGGTACACAACATATGTGCTTCAAACCTGGGTAAGTTTGACTGATCTCCAGTTGGCAGCACATGTGTTGTAGATGTAGGTTTTACACCAACCCCTGATGCTGGTGGTACACAACATATGTGCTTCAAACCTGGGTAAGTTTGACTGATCTCCAGTTGGCAGCACATGTGTTGTAGATGTAGGTTTTACACCAACCCCTGATGCTGGTGGTACACAACATATGTGCTTCAAACCTGGGTTAGTATGACTGATCTCCAGTTGGCAGCACATGTGTTGTTGATGTAGGTTTTACACAAACCCATGTGTTGGTACACAACAAATGTGCTTCAAACCTGGGTAAGTATGATTGATCTCCAGTTGGCAGCACATGTGTTGTAGATGTAGGTTTTACACCAACCCCTGATGCTGGTGGTACACAACATATGTGCTTCAAACCTGGGTAAGTATGACTGATCTCCAGTTGGCAGCACATGTGTTGTAGATGTAGGTTTTACAACAACCCCTGATGCTGGTGGTACACAACATATTGCTTCAAACCTGGGTAAGTTTGACTGATCTCCAGTTGGCCACCAAGTTTTAAGCAGGATTTTTTTAACCTGTTGTAGATCCTTTTGTCACAAAAACATCAGTTCATTCTGTAATTCCATAAACTCAATATGAACACCAAAAAGAATGTACTGACCAGTTAGAAATAATAAGCTGTTAGAAAATAATTTCAATTATAATTTAGATTTTCTTTTTATGTAAACTTTATTTTTTAAATGTGAATAAGTATGGACATATTTAAACTGATCACAACAGCTATTTAAACAGATTATTAAAGTATTACTATAGGTTTTTATTATCACCTCTAAAACCTACATCTACAGCACATGTGTGGCCCATTAGAGATCTGTAAAACTTACCCAGGTTTGCAGCACATATGTTGTGTACCACCAGCATCAGGCGTCGATGTAAAACCTAAATCTAGAAAATAATTTTAATTATAATTTCAGAAGTAATGGAGAAAAGAGATGTATAATGGTGAAGATTCAAGACACATCATCGTGTACGTATTTCATGCCATAAGGTCTTCTACCAAACAAGGCCCGGCAAATATATTATAGAGGTGATAATAAAAACCTATAGTAATACTTTAATAATCTGTTTAAATAGCTGTTGTGATCAGTTTAAATATGTCCATACTTATTCACATTTAAAAAATAAAGTTTACATAAAAAGTATGAAAGGCTCGCTTCAGTACCTTTTAAAAAAATATAGGTTTATTTGAATATATATTTGATTATATACTAGGTTAGAGACAAAAAGCAAAAAGGAAATTGATTTGTTACATTTTGAGTATAAGATTTTAATTAGTGATCATTTTACTAACTCTATCAGAGAAAAAAACATCTCTTTCAATGCTGAGACTATTTCTTGAAGTTATAACAAAAAATTTCAATATCAATATTTACAATCTTATTAGGAATCAAGGGTTGTGTATACATGATAAGCTATTTGCTTTTACAGTAAGTTCAACACCTTGTCAGGTCCATCATTGTCACAGAGATGGATTTTGTTCAGTTCCATCGGGGACACAAGCTGCTTGTACCTGTCGTTTAGGATCTACTGGACCTAGATGTCAAACAGGTGAGCAGTAATAAAAGCTTAATCAGTACCAGTTTTATGTAATTTAATACATTTTAAACCTATGGAATTACCACAATTTAAAAAATTGAATCAGGAAAAATTTACTGCTGTTGTTGTGTTCAATGTATATTTCTCAGCTCCAATGGATAAACAAAGAATTTACTCCTTTCAAAAGTTAATACTTTATTAATTTTTGAAAATATGTGAATTTAAACAAAAAAATTGTAAATAAATTTTATCCTGTTATCGGATGTCTATCAACATTTGAAGATATTCGTTTTTATTTTATTTCTGAATCAGCAGAGATGTCATATTGATACTGTTCATAACTCTCTGAAAGACAGCAATATTTTCCCCCCTGCTTAACTGTCATAAGAACTGATATGATGGTCTTCATTGCATAATAATAAAGCAAAATATGCATGTACCTTTTAAATTTCAAACTTCACCAAACATTTTGAAATTCTAAGATAATATTTCTATCGTACTTTTTAGTGCGAATTTGGTACAATAATAGCTTAGCCATTCTGTCTGGTACCAGCAATAGGAGTTGAGGACAAATTTCAGTAGCTTATCTTTAACGTTGAATGCAATATAAATTTTATTTCTTGTTTCAGATTCAACCTCATCTGTTGTTCCAGTAACAGGAAGTGCCAGTCAGGAGGTTAGTAATGTAACGGCCTGTCAGTCATTAGATAATAATATCGCATGGTAAATTAATATACTAAATTTATGATCACAAAAACTGTCACATGGTGACAACTTTTGTACACTGAATTTTTCACCTGATTGACTGTCTACTTTCATTTAGGATTGGAATATGGACACACCTTTGTATGGAAGTAAAAATATTTCGTAACTAAAATTTCAGATTCCAATTCAGTAGTGAAACTCTTGCCATACCTTTATTGAAATTATTATATTGGATTGTCATATATGTGAGGAAGGAAATCAATTAATTATGATTAAGTGTAATCATGAAATGGTTGTTTTTCTTTGTAGCCTAATTTTGTTGATACAGTTGTACCAAGAGAAGTGAAATGTTACAAGGGCAGAGAATGCTTGATTCCATTTGCTGTCAAGGGGAAGTAAGCATAAGGATAATTATTTAGGCAGTAAAATATGTTTATAATTTGTTCTCAAAAATATAATATGGAATTTTTGTATTCCCCACTACTAAAATGCCAGTTGTATTTCAGTTGATAATATAAACATTTTTGCCAAACAGAATATTTAAGTGTTTCAATAGTAATTAATGCCAATTACTTTAATTTTCACAAATTATTAAAAGAGTTGTTTTTCTGCTGCAAATTTTTGGCTAGTTGACTCAGAATGCCTAATGAAATACACTAATGATTGACACAGTGATAGCTATGATAGTGGAACATCTTTTGAGCAGCATTGGGAATTTTCTTCCCAAGACAGTTTTTGTGCAAATTTTACATTTGCTGCAAATGAAGTAGTGTTTCCATAAAATATTGTATGCACATGAAGGAGGAGATATGAGGTATATGTCAATAAGAACAAACATAATCAAAGTACATTTAGTCATTCTTACAGTCTTCATCAATAGACAGATTTTTATACAATAAGTCAAGCTCTAAATGGTCCCGAGTAAAAAAAAAGATATGAATGTAGGATTTTTGAGATCTGAACCTCCCCCCTTATTTAATCTTGTGCACTAACAAAAGGTACATACAAGAACATATAATTAAAACTAGGAGGAAATGTACCTAACTTTACAGTAATGGATTAAGAGATAACAAAAGGTACAAATAAAACATGAATAGCTTATACTGTACCAAAGAGTTTTCACCATTACTGAAAGTAAGCTCAAAGTTCTTAAAACCTGCTGATATTCTGTACCACATCAATTTTATTTCAAAATTGTTCTTATTGTAATTATGTTATTATTCCTACATTTTATAATGCACTGCATTCTATTTATTTTTTATTATTAGTAGTCAGTCAGTTGAAGTCGGAGATCATGACAATGGAATGAACCCAATGATCAAACCTGGTACAAAAATAACTTCTACTGATGGTGTGTACGAACATATTCTCTCTGTTACACCTCAAACATCAGAGGGGAAGAAAGAGATGTGTGTCAAAACAAAAACTGGGTAAGTGTTTTAGCTATAGATTTACATTTCAGGGACTTGGTTATAGCCCACGTTTTTAATCCTGAAAAGTATGTGTGGTTTAAATTGCTAGGGTAAATATATTGAAAAAAACTAAAGATTCCATGTTAAAAAGTAAAATAACAAAAAAAGTGAACTCCAAGGAAAACTCAAAATGAAAAGTCCCTTAACAAATTGCAAAATCAAAATCTCAAACAAATGGAGAACAACTGTCATATTCCTGACTTGGTACAGGCATTTCTTTATGTAGAAAATGGTGGATTAAACCTGGTCTTATAGCTAGCTATAAAAGATAATGCTGGTTGCTTGAATCAGAACTTTCTAAAATTTGGTATCAATCTTCATGTGAGTATGCTATATTGTGTGATGCTTACGGCAGTGTATCTTAAGTTTGCAATAGCTCCCAGTTCAACTTATTATTTATTCTATTTTCTATGATATTGTTTCAAATTATTGAGTATTTAAGAGCTGGATACTAGTAGAGGTTAAAGTATTTATCCATCATGTAAAATTTATACCATAAAAATCTAGTTCATTTCCAAAATCTTTACCCGCACAGACATGTTATGTTGCAGTTAGAAGCAAATATTTATTGTTTCTTCAATAACAAAACATAACTATAAACAAACTCAACTGGATTTTAACAAAGATTCCTGACGGATTAATTTTTTTTCTGCCATGCTTAATACTTATTATCCTGAAAAATAGAATTGCAGTTAAAACTACCATTTGAGTTTCTTTTTCATTGGTAAAATAGTGAAAGCAAAATTAAGATGATAGTTGATTTTGTGGTAAAATTTAGTAGCGGTAAGATTGTTTGTCTGTTGGTGTTTAAGGTTCGCTTTCAGCAACCTTGGCTTTATCATGCAAATATGGCAGCCAGTTTTCTTTTGGTGGAGGAAGCCAGAGTAGCCAGAGATAACATTGAACTGTGACAGGAAAATAAATTTATTTGAACATAAATCTGAAATTATTTTGCGTCATACTGGACTTTTATTCGTGAAAACAACTTCAATTTAGATTGAACATAGATCTGAGTCCATATATAATATGGATGATATTTTTTATCCTGCAATAGACCTTTCTACTATACAAATACAGGTTGACAAATAACACGAAGCGATAAATGTATAGTACCGGTAAATGTTTATAGTCTCCTGGTATCCCGTTTCTGTTGTGAGCGACCACTTATATTCAAATTACTGTTTACGTCCCAGTTTAATTTGGGGGTCCTCATTGCAGTTCGCGTTCATGTCAATTGATTTCATAAAAGAAAAAAACAAATCCACCGGTAAGAAAGTAAATAAAAAAGCTATATGTTTTAGTGGCAATTTTCGTACATTTTAAGAAAATATCAAATGTATTTGTACTAGTTATGAATCAGGATAAAAGCTCGGTCAGACTGGTTTTTCTCTCTGTGTCTAAAGCTGGTACAAATAAATTTTATATTTTCCTGCAATGTATGAATGTTGTCTATATATTCAACACTATGACAAACAATTTCTATAAACAGAGACTAGTCATGGTTCATTTTCTTGACTGAAATATGAATTAAGTAACTAAATTGAAAAAAGAACTGGATGTGTAAGTTAGACCTTAAAATTTGTTATCTTTTTTACAGAAAAGAGGACCAGATATGTTTTACAGTTGATGTAGTTGGTAAGTTTATGATACAGCAATTAATATCTTATTTGGTATTGAACACTATTGAGAGATATTGTACATGTATATGCAAAATAAACTTTATATTTTATTTACCAGAAGATTTTTACAAAAATTTAGTCACCACAAGATTACAATTAATTGCAAAAATAAATCAAAATGTTGAAAAAAGAAACAATACAATACCAAGAATTCAAAAGTGATATAAGACTAGCATACATCCCAAGGCATGATCAAGAAATCCAAAGAAAACAAAACAAGCAAGCTATCACAAAAACATGACAGACAAATTCCATAGGAAACAAAATTAGGCAAGCAATTTAATACACATGAATAAAAATATAAGGCAAGTAAAGACTGGCACAGAATCACAAGTTCATGACTTTAAATTCAAAGAGAACATAAGAGTAGCTTACAATCATGAAGACTGGACTAAAAAATCCCAAAAGCAATTAATACTAGTGCACAAATGTGAAGAAAATATCTTACATATTGCATATTTTCAATTTGTTTATTTTTTCCACTAAACATTTGTTGTAAAGTAAGTAACTGAAACTGATTAGGTAAAGTCTTATCAGCAGATACTACAGAGTATTCGTGTTTTTGTAGTAAAAATAAACAAATTGTAAACTTAATATGAAAGATTAATTTTAAAAAAGTATATATTTTCAGATCCACCCACAGACCAAGGGGTATGTTATCAAATTTTTCCTTCATTTTGCCCCCAAAATACTTCAGTCTTTCAGGCTTTGTTATGATAAGATGGTGATCAAAAATGAAATCTGATAATATGAGGAAAAAAGTGAGGTTATGTTGTTCTTTCAGTGAAGGATGACATTCTATTTAACCTGATTTTTTCTTCAGACTTTTCTAAGGCATGTCAACACAATGTTTCTCATGTAGTAATGAATGTCATTTGGCTATGAACTTTAACATCAAGGTCTAATTATTAACTTTTGGTAAGGAACTAAGCTTACATTACATCTATTAACTACAAATTTTGTTATACATGTATATTGTAGAAGTTAAGTTTGAAATGTGTTGTTTATCTTGAGTGTCATACTAGTGACCATTATATAAGTTAAACCTTTGAACTCAAGGTCAAAATAGTTTTTGGCTGAGGCCAGAACATTGTTATCTTTTGATGTAGACTTTCAGAGTCTGGCTTTGGATGAATTCTATAAAGGGACTTGTTACATACTATTATGAGTGACACATGACATTGACATTGACCTTTTGTTTTTATGCAAGTAACCTTGTAATAGTAATATAACTTTGTTATCTTTTAGACTTGTGATATTGAGCAAGATGATGTATTTCCATTAGACCATGTGTCATGTATTGTCAAAACAAACATGTCATCGACCTTTGTTATATTTTTCTAGACCACGCCAGATTTCATAGGAACAACATTAGGACCAGACTCCACAGTGGAATGTCAAACAGAAACTCTATGTCATGTTCAAATACAGACAAATCAAACAAATGGAAAGTGGTTGGTATTCATTTTATTTTAAACTTTAAGTGTTGAATAGATTTTAAGCCTATGCTCAAGTTTTTACTTTGGTCAATTATTAAACCAAAAAATTGTCTTAGTCACTATGGGTTCTTTTGGCAAACAATAATAATATTTTGAGAAAATAGAAAGAAAACAAAAGATGTTTTTCTCAATGAAATTCTAGAAAAAAAATTAGAGCTTTGACTAAGATTTCACAGCTCACTCGACATGCAAATGTGATAATGCAAGTGGGATAGCTGATAAGAATGTTAGACAATTTGTTCACTCGATTTTGGTCAATTTGATCACAAATTTTCACTCGGATAAGTCAGCAGAAATAGGATTTGCAGTAAACTCAAACACACAAAATACTGTTTTGTTATCCATTCATACAGTCGCTTGAAAAATGTGTTACCCATTCATATTCTAACAGGAAAAGGCATCTTGAAAAAGAACAGGAAATTAATGTTTTATATGGTATGATATTGGGCAATGTTTATTCTTCAATATGATTAATAAATTTTTATTTCTATTTTACAGCCCTGCTATTTTAGAAAACACAGACAAGACATCTATATCAGATGTACATATCTTCCCATCACAAACTAAAAACTGTACAACTGATATAGTTTTGAAACCTCGGGTGACAGAAACTGGACAGAAACAACTCTGTGTTCATTTTAATGCTGGGTAAGTATTGTGAAATAAATTTAGTGCATACTTAGAATGTCTTTATTTTTTGTCTTGTTGGGAAGCTGTCTCATTGCTGTATTGCCCGTATCTTTTATGCTCAATATAACATGAAATAAAATCTAGTGTAGCATGTCTTAATTTAAAATAAAGTTTGATAAAGTGGATAAAAGCACAGTGAACATTTCATTATTCCAACAAGTGGATAAAGAGAAGTATGAAAAATATAGCAACACATATATCTAATGATCAACAAGAATTACAATCAATAAACGGTTATATCAGAGCATCCATGTTGTATCTGAGTAAAATTTCACTTATGTATGATTCAAATTGCTGCTATCTGATGTAAATATGAGTTGGAAAATTCAGGGTTTTTTTTTATTTGCAACTGGTATGAAAATACACCAATGAAATATTAATCGTTAAAATAAGTCAGTTTAATTTTAAATCTTATTCTCAATAGGTATTGCCCTTATTTGTCTCTCCAATGCACCTCAATAACTTAAAGAAATATTATAAAATGATGTCAATGGAAATTTGGGCTATTTGTTCACTTTTAATGCATTCATTTGTATTTTCAATTCAGATAATTAATTACTTGCCTAGATTTATCAAGTTAAAAATAGCTATGTTTGAAAAGTTTATTGTCTTTTTAGGACTGGATCAAAACAGGAAGACAAAGAGAGATGTTTTAAAGTGACAGTTTCAAATACAATAGGTATCTTTAGTTTAAATTTTACACTGAAATATGAATCTTAATAAAAGCACTGATATGCCTTTCTTTTGGTTTTGTAAATATAATCCTGTGCACTTTTATATAGAAATAAGAAGATGTGGTATGATTGCCAATGAGACAACACTCCAGGGGAGACTAAATGACATAGAAGTTAGCAACTATAGGTCACTGTACAGTCTTCAACAATGAGCGAAACCCATACAGCATAGAAAGCTATAAAAGGCCCAGAAATAACATGTAAAACAAGAAAAAATTACATCCCTGATTTAGGTACAAAACAATAAACATAAAACAAATATAATATATTTCAGTATGTTTGATTTTTCCTGAATATTTGAATTTCTGAAGTTGTTTAAAGATTGAATTTCACATTTTGAAATTTTTTAATTTAATCCTGCATGTATAAAAAATCCAAAGGCAGTTTATAAAATAACATCAAAATAAAAATTGTGTACAAGTTGACACCAGAGACATTGTTGCCAAGGTACAATTAAACTAACAATCATACTATGCTTAGGAACTATTTTGTTTTAAATATGTACTGCAACACTTTCCAGACCTTGCCGATTTGGTGGTGTTACATCTTATAAAGTCTATCTGAATCATTTTGCAAAGAATTCCGCTCAAACTGGTGCTAGGGGCCTTCTTATTTTTGCATTGAGGTGAGAGGTTTTTTTTTTTGCTCCATGTTAAAGGCCTCACTGACTTTGAGATGAAGAACAGCAATAAAAGCGCTTTTTTGTTTGTTTTTGCTGTGCATGTACTGATTTTGTGTCATGGATGGATACTCCATATCCTTTGTTTTTCTATTATATTTAAATTATGTGTCATTTTATTGTTTTACATATAGGAGAACTTTTAAGATATTTGACTGTTTTTAGATCCTTGCGTTCCTGTATACTGTATGAATAACGGTGAATGTCAAATAAATAATGGAAAGGGGGAGTGCATATGTCCGCCAGGATTCACAGGAAGCAAATGTCAAACTGGTAAGTAGAAATTACTACTGGATTCACACCAGATAAAGTGAGAACCATGACTCCTAGATACACAGCTAACAATGTTTAGTTTGTATAAACTAAGGTTACTTATGTGCATATACGTTTACTCCAAGAACTATGGGAAACTAGCATCAAACTTTAATTGAAAGCAAAAATTTTTCCTAATTTCTATGCAGACAATCCAAGGAAGTAGTGTGTCTAGTATCAAACTGGTTATTCAGATTTATTCCTAAATTTACTAAATTCCTAGAAATGTGTGCTAGTTTGTGAAACAAAGAGTGTGAGTGTATATCTGTTCCTAGATTAACATGAAATGTTAAGACTCACAAATACACCTTATTGCTATTTAGTCCAATCCAGAAAAAAAACAGTTACTTAGACAACTTCCTGTTTAGGTCAAGTGTCGCAAAAAAAAAGGTCCTCAGTAATGAGCGGAGGAAGGAAAAAGTTTAGAAAGTGAACATTTTGAGATTTTGATAGTTTATGATCCAAATTTTTTTAGCACAAATTAAAAAGTCATAAAAATGCTTTGTATGAAGTGTTTACAACAGTTTAAACATGTCTCATGAAAATTTATATGCACAAAACATTGATTAAACAGGGCCCCAGATATCTTCAACTGGATTATGACGTCATGAAAAAGTTATAAAAGTATCAGTTACCAGAATGAATATGGTAAAATTCTTTATAAAATTTGAACACATCAGCTTTTTCATGCAAGAAAAGAAACTGACATACCAATTTAAAGTATCCATCAAAGAAATGATCAGAATTTATAGATTAGAATAGCCCTAGACCACAATGAAAATCCAAAATAGGCCTTAGTAGGCAGGCCAATACCAGCTAAGATCAGCTTTCAGTATAAATTTCATTTCTTTTTAACATTAATAAGATTTTAACTTTTCAATGTTCTATTGGAAAGGAATTAGTTAGATAAGCCCCATTATGGCCCTGATTTCTAGCTAAATTTCAATTTGGGTTAAAAGGCTATTATCAAAATTATCTTAGTTAAAACAATGATTGATATTGCTTGAAACTGTCTATGTTTCCTGATCTGTATATGGCTGTAATCAAGTAAATTATGTCAACTTTCACCAAAATCTCAATTTTTGGCCTGAATAATGGGGAGTAAGTGTCTACACATTTTAAGAAAAAGCATGACAAAAATCCTTCTTAGCAATTCCCTTTTCCCATTTGATAAATGCATATTGAACTTGGTTGATTCCAAATCTATGTTAACTTGAGTATATTTCAAAGTGCCCTAGAAATAAATGGAACATTTATTTACCCTTCTTGGTCCGAGTACACAGTTATTTCGTAGTGCATTTCTTTTAGACAATAAATGAAAATTAAAAAAATACCACCTGCGCTTTCTCAATAATATTTTTACAGTGTGTTGTACTACTTTTGGGACAAATTATATCAAAATTATAGAAAACTTCATCGGCTCTAACTCAAAATATGGACAATTTTATGTTAAGGGGGTCTTGAAATCTTTTGACAGCTTCTGAAGTGCTTATTTTTAACCTTTTTCAGCTGGACCAAATCACTACTTTACTTTAAAATTCATGACCCAAATTTTTTTACAGTGTAATTTCATCCCCCTTCTTGCTATTTGAGGCATAAAAAATGGAGAAATAAATTTGGAAGGGGTATAAAAAAAATTGGCAAGTAACACACTGTCCACACTGGGGACTATATTTGTGGACAACGAAAATCAAAGGACGATGACTGTGTACTCGGACCTCTTGCTGATGTTCAGAAATGTGGAACACATTTCACCTGAAATAATATAAATGTACACTAACTGTTATATTAATTGCAGTGGTGCAAAATGTTGTAAGAAACTGATATTTATTTAATTTTTCATTTCAGTTAAATCTGAAAAAGTAACAGCAGTAAATCTAGGTGTATTAAAACCGGCAGTAAGTTATACAAATTTTAATAATTACACCCACATTAAGATATAATGATTTTAGTGATTTACACACTCAGTAAGTTATATACATTCTGTATGTGCCTGTCCCAAGTCAGTAGCCTGTAGTTCAGTGGAAGTCTTTCGTTCATGTCTGTCATATTTGTTTTTTGTAAAGTGTTGTGTTATAAATTAGGTTGTTTTCTCAATTGATTTATTTATTCTGAGTAATGAATATAGAAGCACCTGCAATAGTGACTTATTTACTATAAAATGAGTTTATTTTTGTGCTATTAAGGGTAAAATGTGAATAAATGGACTAAATGAGGAGAAGTGGTATGATTGGTAATGAGACTACTTCCCACAAGAGACCAAAGGACCAGGATGTTAACAATGGCTTAAAGGGAAACTCCGCAAAAAAATGAAAAATTGATATTTTGTTCTTTAAGCATAAAAAACCACATGTTCATAAATAAAAAACTTTTATTCTCTATGTAAAGAGATCAAAATCGATTTTTGAAATTCACTATCAGTTCTCGACATATCGCCATCTTGTCGGTTCGATCTAAAAAGTCACGTGATATCTATAAACCACAAAGAACAAAAAGAATTGGGATTTACCGACTGTGCGTTAAAAACTCCAATCTTCAATTGGGGATTACCGTAGACGGTTATTCAGTGTCAAAATGTCTTGTCAGGCGTACGGTTGTTCTGTCAGACAAGGTTATGACAAAAGTCTACATAGTTTTCCCAATCCCACAAAAAAAGAAAGAATTGTATCAGACATGGTTGTACAACCTTAAACTAACAGCAAATAGTTGCATCTATAGCAAGCACAAGTTGGTGTGTGAAGACCATTTTGAACAATATTGTTTTGAGGGAGATTCGATGGTAATTATCCTTTTTAACTCACCTGGCCCGAAGGGCCAAGTGAGCTTTTCTCATCACTTGGCGTCCGGCGTCGTCCGGCGTCGGCGTAAACTTTTTACATTTTGAACTTCTTCTAGAGAACCACTGAATGGAATGAAACCAAACATGGCATGAATGTTCCTTGTGAGGTGCTGACCATGTGTTGTTACTTTGTAGCCGATCCATCATCCAAGATGGCCGCCAGCGGGGAACTTAGTTTAACATAGGACCCTATGGGAAATACATACAAATGTCTTCTTTTAGAGAACCACTGAATGGAATGAAACCAAACATGGCATGAATGTTCCTTATGAGGTGCTGACCAAGTGTTGTTACTTTGTAGCTGATCCATCATCCAAGATGGCCGCTAGTGGGGGACTTAGTTTAACATAGGACCCTATGGGAAATACATAAAAATGTCTTTAGAGAACCAATAAATGGAATGGAACCAAACATGGCATGAATGTTCCTTATGAGATGCTGACCAAGTGTTGTTACTTTGCAGTCGGTCCATCATCCAAGATGGCCCCCAGCAGGGGACTTAGTTTAACATAGGACCCTATGGGAAATACATACAAATGTCTTCTTTTAGAGAACCACTGAATGGAATGAAACCAAACATGGCATAAATGTTCCTTATGAGATGCTGACCAAGTGTTGTTACTTTGTAGCCGATCCATCATCCAAGATGGCCGCCAGCGGGGAACTTAGTTTAACATAGGACCTTATGGGAAATACATACAAATGTCTTCTTTTAGAGAACCACTGAATGGAATGAAACCAAACATGGCATGAATGTTCCTTATGAGGTGCTGACAAAATGTTGTTACTTTGCAGTCGGTCCATCATCCAAGATGGCCGACAGCAGGGGACTTAGTTTAACATAGGACCCTATGGGAAATACATACAAATGTCTTCTTTTAGAGAACCACTAAATGGAATGAAACCAAACATGGCATGAATGTTCCTTATAAGGTGCTGACCAAGTGTTGTTACTTTGCAGCCGATCCATCATCCAAGATGGCCGCCAGTGGGTGACTTAGTTTAACATAGGACCTACGGGAAATACATACAAATGTCTTCTTTTAGAGAACCACTGAATGGAATGGAACCAAACATGGCATGAATGTTCCTTATGAGGTGTTGACCAAGTGTTGTTTCTTTGTAGCCGATCCATCATCCAAGATGGCCGCCAGCGGGGGACTTAGTTTAACATAGGACCCTATGGGAAATACATACAAATGTCTTCTTTTAGAGAACCACTGAATGGAATGAAACCAAACATGGTATGAATGTTCCTTATGAGGTGCTGACCAAGTGTTGTTACTTTGCAGTATGTCCATCATCCAAGATGGCTGACAGCGGGGGACTTAGTTTAACATAGGACCCTATGGGAAATACATACAAATGTCTTCTTTTAGAAAACCACTGAATGGAATAGAACCAAACATGGCATGAATGTTCCTTATGAGGTGCTGACCAAGTGTTGTTACTTTGCAGCTGATCCATCATCCAAGATGGCCGCTAGGGGGGGGGGGGGGCTTAGTTGAACATAGGACCCTATGGGAAATACATACAAATGTCTTCTTTTAGAGTACCACTGAATGGAATGAAACCAAACATGGCATGAATGTTCCTTATGAGGTGCTGACCATGTGTTGCTACTTTGTTGCTGATTTACTGTTCAAGATGGCCACCAGGATATTTTATTAAATAACGGGACCAATATTAATCCAAATTTGGCCTCAATCATTATTATTTGGGTATCTGTTATGATTTTTATCTATCTTTACATGATTTCTAAAACCAAAGTAGAGTCAGGTGAGCGACACCGGCTCTTTAGAGCCTCTAGTTTAATAACAAAATAACCTAGCAGTTCTGATAGCTATAGTTATCAAATCCTTATATGATAGGATCTCGTTGAATAAAAAAAATATAGATTTGATGAGGAAGAACAGTTTCAATTATAAGAAAGACAAATGCAGTGTTCTTGTAACAATCACTGATTTACAGAAGATTCATTAGTATGCCTCTTTTATATAAAGTGCATTGATTTGTATAAAGAATAGTTCCGTATTTAGACAAGATAATTTTTCAATTAATAAAGTTATACGATATAAAATAACATTATGATATTTAACGGCTATTGACAAGGAGCAATGTTAGGAAGAGGTTTTAGCTGGGACATAATATGTTGATATAGTATAATATTCCCAGGTTATAGATATGTAAATATCGAAATATTGGACATCTCAATTTTTATTAAAAGTGGGTTTTTTAACTAATCTTTAAATTATATCAAATTGATACTGGATCAATTCGGAACGGTCACTTATAAAGACACTTAGCTTTACAGTTAAATTTGTGACTCTATCTGGTATGTTCGGTGAAAAATTTATAGATTTTTTTTCTTTTTAAATTTTATTTACGTTATCTTATTATATATATATTTTGGCTTCCTCCCGAATTGATAATAGGTATGTCAGAATTATTGATAGATGTCGTGTCAGAGCGACACATTCAGCTAGGTATTCCAAGGACGTATATTAGATACACGTCCCTGGGTATTCCAGTGACATCCTGTCAGCTAAAAATTCGTAATACACAATTATATAATACAGGTTCATGCATGGCCTCTTTATTGAGGTACCCGCTGTGCACAGGTAACATTTATTGAACCATATATTTGTGTCTAACGTTGTTTATCTTGTGTGTGTTTGAAAATTATAATTCCACCTTTTAATGAATGATGTTCTGATAATAATATTTTCCACTATTTTTGCTGATAATAAGTTTAAAAAAATTATAAACATGACCTTTGAACATTTTTGTGAAATGAATATTGTTTTGTCATGATTCTGTACCATATTTTTGAAAAAAAAATTCTTCACGCAAATACAAGCTTTTGTCGATTGGCAAACATGTAGATATATAAAGTAATGCAGCACTTATAGTCAGTATCAATATTAATTCATTGAAGATACGAGAGCCCCTTCTATGTCTAATGTCCCTATCTTTATAAGGATTAGGACGACAGGGCAAAAAGGAGCGGAGATAGAGTGGCGTAGTGAAAAAAAAATAACCGAATAGAGAACAATATAGAGAATGATGGACGAAAAGCGAAATAGTTATTGTAAAGGAGCGGAGATAAAGAGAGGCATAGTGAAAAAAAAATGTTTGCTTGACAAAGTTATTGCTCCCTTTGATATTTTTAGTTATACAAAATCACACATCGTGTTCCTAATTGGTATTCACGTGCACTAATTTGATGCTGGGAACAGTATATTAATATATATGGTCCTGCTTGATGTGTTAAGTTTCTGCATAGCATGGTTAAAAATAATTAGTATCCCATTTGTTATATCGTAGTGTCACGGTGTTAATTTGTTAAATTTATTTAGTTTGTTATTGATTGTGTAAATAAGAATAAATCTGTATAAAAACTTCATACCATTTTAGTGATTGCCTATAGGCGTTTGATTATTGTTACATTTAAGATATATATATATTTAGAACCTTTCATACATCTTAAAGTAAAAGATGTGTGTCTGAGTTAAACGACACAAGAACCCTGTAATACTAGTACGAGAGTATAGCATGTAAAAATTCCTACTCAATATGGTTGTATTGGAAATCTTTTCATACAGATTGACAACTCATGGTCCGACATGCATGTAATATTTGCCACATGACGCTCATAGTTCTTTCTACCATCATCATCTTATTCATTAAATATTGCTGTAAACATCGATGGTTCACACCCAAACAAAATGTGGGTAATATACCTTCAGATCTTCTCCGTGGTATACACTTGTGAAATATATAGACGAAATTCGGTATTGAAGTGAATCTACATCTCACAAACACAATTTTTTGAATTACGATTTTAAGTGAACACCCACCAAACCAATACAAACGTATGGCAAGATATAACCATGCAGGCATTTAGTTTTCGTCAGACACAAGATAAATAATCACTCTCATAAACGTATATATGCATGCAGTTTCAAATAACAAGAACAAGCGGTCGATGTCTATAGATCATTGTTAAGTCCGTTTACTAACTGTTCAGAGTCAGACATGTCAATGGTTCATTCTTGGAACCTTCATATACCCCATCCGACGATGGGAACTCTTTCTGATAGTGTTGACAACATAAGCTTGTTTATCTGTACAAGTGGTTGCATGGCCTCTCCTGCCCCAACAAACAAAAACGCTTCTAGTCTGCTATCTCTGGAGCTCATCCTCAATGGCGCATATACGTCAGGAAATTTACAAGTATACTAGTAAAGATTGTTTCAAGAACAACGAGGTTTGGATGAACTGTTCTAAAATCGTCAATATCAGTAATACATTACTAAGATATGCCTTTAATTACAACAACTGTATTACTAATTTGGATTAATGACGGCTATCCTAAAAAAAATCCTCAAACAAATAAATGTATTAGCTTAGATTTATAATGTATGTATATTCATTAATGAAATAAACGATAATTGGTATTCTTTTCACAAATAATTTGTCTAAGTGATTGTCAAATGAATTTAATAATGTAAGAATGAAATGTTAATAAGAAAATTTTTAAAAAATCATGCATGTTGTTCTGTTGTATTTTTTCAATTAAAAACTTTAAATATGCGATAGTTTTAAGATTGTTAGCATTTAAACATCGCCAGATTTAAATACAAGCTAATGAATTCCGGTAAAGTAAATTAAACAGATGTGCAATGATTATTAATTGGGAAATGTAACATTTAATTTTTAAGATTAAAAGTACTATTCTTTTAACTTCATATCTTAACTTTATGCTAATTGCATAGAACGTAACCGAAAATTGTTCCATTTTAATATTGTAACACTTCCGGAATTAAAAAGTTGAATGTTAATTTTCAATTAATTTATACAAATTAATTATTGTTTCTCTTTTGTCATCGGGTATTTCATCTGGGTATATTAAACACGCTATACTCTTTCTGTTAATCCATTCAAAATGACAATATTCACACCTGTGTACGCCTGAGGCTAAATTGCTGCAAGGTAAAGTTCAAACGAATTCTCCTCAAATCAAGAAATAAACAATGACTTTACAAAATAATATACACCCTCTGTTCACAAATATTTTGCATTGAAATGGTTATCAAAGTTATAACGGTAAATAAAACTTAAAATATTTTCAGTTCAATATCAGTAAAAATGTTCCATAGATATTTTATGAAATTAATTCGAAAATATTTATATTTAGATAACTTCATATAGGAAGTTTTAATCAATCAATACAAAACGGTACACACATATTCATTTTCTTTCATTCTTATATTGTGGTTATTAACTACGACCAACGGTCATCTGTGCGTTTTTAATTACGTAAAAATTCTGATAAGCAATTAAGACTTTAACAGATTTTATTTTTTCCCATGATTCAACAAATCGGGTTAAAACGTCACAACCCAGTGACGTAGGTCAACCAAAAAAGTTAAAAATACTTGATTTTCTCCGTTATTAGAAAGAACATAAATTTAAAACTTTGTGAATGTGTTTTTTATGTTAAGATGAACATATTTAGATGATAAGTAAAAAATCGCGGACTTTCCCTTTCATCTGCAAAAATGTGTTGTGGATGATCACCTTGAAGCAAAATATTTTTAAAAAATTGCTTTTTAGCTCACCTGGTCCGAAGGGCCAAGTGAGCTTTTCTCATCACTTGGCGTGCGTCTTCGTCCGTTGTCGGTCGTCGTGACCGTCGGCGGCGTTAACTTTTTACATTTTGAACTTCTTCTAGAGAACCACTGAATGGAATGAAACCAAACATGGCATGAATGTTCCTTATGAGGTGCTGACCAAGTGTTGTTACTTTGTAGCGGATCCATCATCCAAGATGGCCGCCAGCGGGGGACTTAGTTTAACATGGGACCCTATGGGAAATACATACAAATGTCTTCTTTTAGAGAACCACTGAATGGAATGAAACCAAACATGGCATGAATGTTTCTTATGAGGTGCTGACTGAGTGTTGTTACTTTGAAGCCGATCCATAATCCAAGATGGCCGCCATCGGGGACTTAGTTTAGCATTGGACCTTATGGGAAATACATACAAATGTCTTCTTTTAGAGAACCACTGAATGGAATGACAACAAACATGGTATGAATGTTCCTTATGAGGTGGTGACCGAGTGTTGTTACTTTGAAGCCGATCCATAATCCAAAATGGCCGCCAGCGGGGGCATTAGTTTAACATGGGACCCTATGGGAAATACATACAAATGTCTTCTTTTAGAGAACCACTGAATGGAATGAAACCAAACATGGCATGAATGTTCCTTATGAGGTGCTGACCAAGTGTTGTTACTTTGAAGCTGATCCATAATCCAAGATGGCCGCCAGCAGGGGACTTAGTTTTAACATTGGACCCTATGGGAAATACATACAAATGTCTTCTTTTAGAGAACCACTGAATGGAATGAAACCAAACATGGCATGAATGTTTCTTATGAGGTGCTGACCAAGTGTTGTTACTTTGAAGCCGATCCATAATCCAAGATGGCCGCCTGCAGGGGACTTAGTTTAACATGGGACCCTATGAGAAATACATACAAATGTCTTCTTTTAGAGAACCACTGAATGGAAAGAAACCAAACATGGCATGAATGTTCCTTATGAGGTGCTGACCAAGTGGTGTTACTATGAAGCTGATTCATAATCCAAGATGGCCGCCAGCAGGGGACTTAGTTTAACAAAGGACCCTAATTGGGAAATACATACAAATGTCTTCTTTTAGAGAACCACTGAATGGAATGAAACCAAACATGGCAAGAATGTTCCTTATGAGGTGCTGACCAAGTGTTGTTACTTTGAAGCTGATCCATCATCCAAGATGGCAGCCAGCGGGGGACGTAGTTTAACATAGGACCCTATGGGAAATACATACAAATGTCTTCTTTTAGAGAACCATTGAATGCAATGAAACCAAACATGGCATGAATGTTCCTTATGAGGTGCTGACCAAGTGTTGTTACTATGAAGCCGATCCATAATCTAAGATGGCCGCCAGCGGAGGACTTAGTTTAACATAGGACCCTATGAGAAATACGTACAAATGTTTTCTTTTAGAGAACCATTGAATGGAATGAAACCAAACATGGCATGCATGTTCCTTTTGAGGTGCGGACCAAGTGTTGTTACTTTGAAGCTGATCCTTCATCCATGATGGCTGCCAGATGGGGACAATGTTTCCACCAATGGGGGGACTTCCTTTAACATAAGACCCTATGGGAAATACATACAAATGCTTCTTCTAGAGGTGCACTGAATGGAATGAAACCAAAACATGGCATAAATGTTTCTTATGAGGTGCTGATTAAGTGTTGCTACTTTGTTGCCGATTTACTGTTCAAGATGGCCACCAGGATTTTTTATTAAATTACAGGACCAATATTAAACCAAATTTGGCCTCACTCATTATTAGGGTATCTGTTATGATTTTAATCTATTTTTACATGATTTCCAAAACCAAAGTAGAATCAGGTGAGCGACACAGGCTCTTGAGAGCCTCTAGTTTATGTTTTATATGTGTCATTTTTACACTTCAGCAAGAACAACCTCATTTTACAAAGACAGCTGTCCCTAAAATAATCAAATGTGTGCAAGATATGCCATGCCATTTACCATTGACAGTTACCGATCCTAGTGGGAAAAAGTAGGTATTATATATAGGCCTTCATATTTCTGCATTCAAAGACATTTTATATTTACAAGAAAAGTTATAGATTACAACATGGTACAAATGTTTTGTTTAATAGGTATCATCTCTCCTTGTATTTTTTTAAGCTTTCTACTATTTTCCCCCCTGAAGGAATAAAATCACTAATTCATAGCCTCATTGCTTTCTATGTTAAATTATGCAATTTCATGCATTCATATCTATTTTGTCTTAAGTTCAAATAAAGTGGCAGTCATTTCATGTCAATACTATACCTTATCCTGACCTGCTGAAAAATTCAACATACTTTTAATTGCATATTAGAGTGCACTAGTTCCTGGAAGATTGGTAATACAAAAACAGGTACTTCTGATCTGAGCAACAGGGCAAATATGCCCTATTCAAATTTCATATATTTTTTTATTATTCAAAAGAAACTTTCAACAAAAGTTCTACAGTGATCCTGAGTCCTTGAGCTTTTATTTGATACCAAAATCACCCAAACTCGGTAGTTTTTATACGCCCGTCAAATTTTGACGGGATGTATTATGGTATACAAATGTCGTCTGTCCGTCCGTCCGTCCTAAATAAATTGTGTCCGCTCTATATCTAGAGAACCGTTGTGATTTCAAAGTTTATACTTGACATGTATATTAACCTACACCAGAGGGTGTGTCATAATGTATGTACAACTTCCTAGGTCAAAGGTCAAGGTCAAAAACTTTGGTTTTAGTTGACAACCCCATGTCCTATGGTAAAGATCGTGTCCGCTCTATATCTTGAGAACCGTTATGATTTCAAAGTTTATACTTGACATGTATATTAACCAACACCAGAGGGTGTGTCATAATGTATGTACAACTTCCTAGGTCAAAGGTCAAGGTCATAAACTTTGGTTTCAGTTGACAACCCCATGTCCAATGATAAAGATACAAATTTTTTACCACACATTATTCACAGAGGAGCCCACAGAGATGGCTCCCATCTCAATGATATCTAGTTAAAATTATCAGTTCAATGGTAAAGGGTGACTTTCATGGTTTGCCAATTTTTGTCTCGTCTGCGACTTTCGTCGCGGAAAGCGAGACATAGGGATTGCTTTTCTGGCGACGACTATGGCGTCAACAATTATTAAGTTTTCTGCTTAAGTTAGTTTGATAGGAACTACTTTTGATAGATCATTGATATTTAATATAAAGTTGCATTACTATCAGTACATACCAGTTTGGTGACTATTTTGAGGCCATGCCCCTAGGACATTGTCCAGTGACTTTGAATTAATTAGTTATTTTCAATGCTAAGTTTTCCTGCTTAGGTTATTTATTAATTGGATCTACCTGTGATAGATCAATGATATTTTGTATGAAGTTGCATTACTTTCAGTACATATCAGTATGACGACTATTTAAAGGCCCTGCCCACTAGGACATTTTCAATGTTAAGTTTTTCTGCTTAAGTTATATATTGATAGGAACTACTTACAATAAACAACAATATTTTCTACAAAGTTACATTACTGTCTGAACATCTCAGTTTGTTGACCATTTTCAGGCCTTGATCATGGTCCAGTGACTGAATTAATAAGCAATGTTGCTGACCATCAGATTGTCTTTTTCTGAATTTTATGGCGATAGGCGAGACATATCTCTTTGGTAACAGTTTATCATATCAATTGGTTTTCATTCTGACCAACTGTTCAGATTTTCTTGAATACATTGTTAGGAACTTTCTCTAAAACAATTGGCTTAGTTTTGTTGTAAATGATATTGGTTAGACATTATGTTTGATTGACACTTTATCAGTTGGTATAAATATTCAATTTTTGTAGACCATCAGTTAAGTTTGGAAAAGTAGACCCAGGAATAGATACAGAGAAACCTGTGCTAACACCTATAAATGGTACAAAAGATTTTACTACTGATATTACAATTACTCCACAGGAACCAGGTACTAAAACTCTTTGTGTCCAGACACAGACATCACAGGGGTAAGTCTTCTTCTTTTCTTGACCTTGTTTTCATGGTTCATTGATCATTATTAGGTTTTTGTGACTTGCATTGTTTTTAGTTATTTTGACTATTTTCTTAAGGGAATCAGATGTTGGCAGTTGTTGTGATCTGTTGTACTGTCCTATATTTTGGTAATTAATGTCATCCTTTGATCTAAATGATTTACAACATATTATTCTGTCATAATCAGTTCAGTATATGAGCGGCATATGTCGCGATGACAATGGATTTTTCATAAAGACTTGTAACCATTTGGTTTTCATTCGGGTCCTCTCTAATTTTTCCTCATATGAATCGAGGATAAACAAGGTCCCGTTTGCGCTTGAAATCGCTGAATTTTAATGGTAAAATTATGCAGTAGAAGAAAATTAAAAAAAAATATTTTGACAAATGCAAATGGCGAAAATCGAAAAAGACACTGTAAATATGGAAATATTTCATCATTTCCATGGCGAAACTGAAAATGAGGAATAGTTTAAAGGTTTCCGGTTATCTCAATGTGTTAATTACATTCAATTCGTGTGGGAAATATGATTTGGTCGATCTTTACGAGACGTAGCAAAAGGGGGGAAACGGAGGTTGACTGAAAATTTTGAGGACAAAGCCACTTATTTGCGCCACGTTTACATTATACGTTGTGTATGGTGCAAAAGCGCTACGAAATCGAGCAACTGGTGTCTTCTTTATTATATGGCAGATAAAACAACAAAATAAATGAAGATTAAAAGTTGTTTATATTCAAAATTCAACACAAATACAATAATTTCAACTTTTACCTGTTAATTACCTGAAAATGCAGGTAGCTTGATGAAAATTTTGCATAACATTACAGTTCATGCTCACCTGAGCATTTTTCATGCACTAATTTTGTCTGTATCTCTAATAATAAAAAAGATACAGCAGTCTGAAAAGGAATATACTGTTCTAATGAATGAACCCAAAAAAAATGCAGCAGCAGCAGCCATTTTTAATTTTTAGCTCACCTGGCCCAAAGGGCCAAGTGAGCTTTTCTCATCACTTGGCGTCCGTCGTCCGTAAACTTTTACAAAAATCTTCTCCTCTGAAACTACTGGGCCAAATTTAACCAAACTTGGCCAATATCATCATTAGGGTATCTAGTTTAAAAATGTGTCCTGTGACCCGGCCAACTAACCAAGATGGCCGCCATGGCAAAAAATAGAACATAGGGATGAAATGTAGATTTTGGCTTATATCTCTGAAACCAAAGCATTGAGAGCAAATCTGACAAAGGGTAAAAATGTTTATTAGCTCAAGATCTATCTGCCCTGAAATTTTCAGATGAATCGGACAACCCGTTGTTAGGTTGCTGCCTTTGAATTAGTAATTTTAAGGAAATTTTGCCTTATTTGGTTATTATCTTGAATATTATTATAGATAGATTTAAACTGTAAACAGCAATAATGTTCAGCAAAGTAAGTTCTACAAATAAGTCAACATGACCAAAATGGTCAGTTGACCCCTTAAGGAGTTATTGCTCTTTTATAGTCAATTTTTAACAATTTTTCGTAAATTTTTGTTATCTTTTACAAAAATCTTCTCCTCTGAAACTACTAAGATGAATTTAACTAAAGTTGTAAACAATCATCATTAGGGTATGTAGTTTAAAAATTGTGTTTGATGAACCGGCCCTCAAACCAAGATGGCCGACATGGCTAATAATAGTACATAGGGTAAAATGCAGTTTTTGGCTCATATATCTAAACCTAAAGCATTTCTAGCAAAACTTTCAAAAACAAAATTGTTCATTAGGTCAAGATATATCTGCCCTTAAATTTTCAGACCATTCAGGCAACCCGTTGTTGGGTTGCTGCCCCTGAATTGGTAATTTTTAGAAATTTGTTCAGCTTTTGGTTATTATCTTGAATATTATTATAGATAGAGATAAACTGTAAAGAGCAATAATGTACAGCAAAGTAAGACCTACAAATAAGTCACATGACCAAAATGGTCAATTGACCCCTTAAGGAGTTATTGCCCTTTATAATAAATTTTTAACAATTTTCATAAATTTTGTAAATTTTTACAAAATAATTTCCACTGAAACTACAGGGCCAAGTTCATTATAGATAGAGATAATTGTAAGCATCAAGAATGTTCAGTAAAGTAAGATCTACAAACACATCACCATCACCAAAACACAATTTTGTCATGAATCCACCTGTGTCCTTTGTTTAATATGCACATAGACCAAGGTGAGCGACACAGGCTCTTTAGAGCCTCTAGTTTTGTGTAGCGTTGAAAGGGTTAAGTCACAATTATAAATTTCACTTTTCTGTAACATTTTGACAGTTTGAATTTATTGATTGGCAAATAAATTTCTATATACAGTATCTGATTTTAAGAAAACATGCTGACTTATTTTGTAGAATGAATGTAGATGAGATTTGTTACCAGGTTCAAACTTCAGGTAAATATTACAGATAATACCATTACTTATAATATAAGTATATATATATGCACTAAGTAAGGGTCAAATTTCCCTGAATTAATGGTTTGGTTGAAGAAACAGCTCCTTTCAAAGTTCAATACAGAAAGTTGTATGTATGTGGAAGCTATTATAGTTGTATGTATGTGGAGGCTATTATAGTTGTATGTATGTGGAGGCTATTATAGTTGTATGTATGTGGAGGCTATTATAGTTGTATGTATGTTGAGGCTATTATAGTTAGTAGTATGCATAACATCAGCAATCTTGTTAATCCCATTTCACTACCAATAGATGACACAAAGCCAATGTAACCTGTTATATAGTATCCTGCTTGTATTCCACAGTTTCCAGATATTTTAGCTCCTATTCCACAGTTTCCAAATATATTAGCTCCTATTCCACAGTTTCCAGATATATTAGCTCCTATTCCACAGTTTCCAGATATATTAGCTCCTATTCCACAGTTTCCAGATATATTAATTCCTATTCCACAGTTTCCGAATGTATTAGCTCCTATTCCACAGTTTCCAAATATGTTACCCTGCTATTTTGGTCATGAATTAAAAGGTGAAACAGACAGCACTCAGCCTACAAATTTAAAGACTAAGCAGAAATGTGAAGATAGAGGAACATTAATCCAACCAATTACCAGGTGTGTACTCAAGGTCTCAGGAATGTCTACTCCATATGTATCAACCATTATGGTGTTCATGGCATGATGAGTTCTACTCTAAAATGTTGTGAAAGAGAAAAACCTTTCTCATTTCCAAAGAAACCTTTCCCTGTAATTTCTGTAGACAATTGGAAACATGCATAAAATAAGTACATACCTTAGCTTCTACATTTAAACTGTAAACTAACTTTAATTTTGATAGTTTTTTTGGTAAGTTTAACTTGAAGATTTATGTATTTCAAATTGTAATCAAATAAGGTTAATATCAGCATCGGTGGAGCATTTTCTTTTATGATAACAAAAAGCCTGTTTTAACTTCCAGCCAAAAATTCTGAAAGTTTAACTAAAAATAGAAAATTGGATAAAAAAATCTAATTGTTATCATCATTTATGATATCCATCAAGAATTATGATGGATTTTACAGTCCTTTTCTCATGTAATTTTCAATTTAATTACTACAAAAACATGTTAATGAACAAATAATTGCAATTTATAAAGTCATACTGCTAAAATTTACCATTGAAATAAGTTTGGATTACAGTTTTCCATTACCAGCACCCCTAGCTTGTATTCCACATCCTTGTAATATTGTGTTGTTATCCTTTGTTGTAAATGTCTAACCAAGTTGATATTACAGGGTCTAATTCATGTAAGTTAACAGAACATGATAAGTTTGATGTGGTGTGATTTGAATACATATACATGGGTATCAATTGTCATGTTGTTTGCAAACAATTTATCTGTAGCTCTTTCAGTAACTTTAGGATGTAGTATTTTACCTTCTTTGTAATTGTACAATTTTTTAGAGGTTTTGTTATTTTTTACTTCATTTTCAAGGGAAAAAAATGATTGATAGTAGAAAAGGGTGTTTATAAAGGTTAACTTTCTAACTTATTTTTTGTCATATGGCAGTCAGTCATGAGACAATATCATCAATTTCTTAGTTTCTAAAGAGGTAAATGAGAATTTTCCTAATGATGGGTTGAAGACCTGATTTACATGATTGACTTCAACAAAACTACAAACCTGTCGTGAATTTTAAACAGACAGTTACATGAATTGTAAACAGACAGTTAATCTCTTTTTGTTCATATTAGGCATTCTGTCGCAACACATAGATGACAAGCTACAGTAAATACTTATTCATGAAAATTGATACCCAAACATTTTTTACAGGATATATATTTTATGTGTAGCTAGTGCTTCAGTTCAGATGAACTTTGACTTAAGTTTGATTAGGTTTTATATGCATTTCAATTTTTTTAGAAGCTTACATGAAAATACATAAAAAATAAATAAACACAGCAAAAACAATACAATATCATTAAGGTCACCATGACCTACATATTAGGTTAAAATGACATATGTTAACTTTTACATTAAGATCAATACTAAAGAAACCCTTGATGGAATATCTTGTATCACTGCTATAAAGCTATTTTATAGTCCAAAAACAACTTCAAGCTTATAAATTTCTTGTTTTTACATTTAGGTCATATATATCCACAGTAGTATATGTATGGTACTTTTATATTCCTGTTCTGCTTTTAATTAAAGGTTCTAAACAATCAAACTACAACTGAATAAATTTGTTAAGTTTTGCGTTTAGATCAAAACAACTTTAAACAGAAATATTTCTACAGTTGCTATGCATAAACTTTTTTTCGTTAGTGAAAATTAGACAGAGACTGATAAGTGCACTATTCTCATTTGGAAGGAGGGATATTTTTTTTTTTAATCTAATCCATCTTGAAATAACAAAAAAAAGTAACCCTGCATGAAAAATATGCATTTTTAAAGTAATTTTTTTTGAAGATTTTGTATCCATGCCTTACACATATATCATGTGTTTATCTTACCTGCCTCATTTGAACAGTCTGAGCTATTTTCATAAACATTTGTTTGCCACCATGAGTGTCTACTAACAAAATAGTAAAGTAAGCTATATGGTTACAAGTTGATGGGGCCTGTATTTTAGCTTTAGTTCTATGAATTTTTCTTGCATCCATTTTCTTATTGAATGATAAAGTGAAATTGTTTTAAAACAAAGCATATTTGAGGATGTTTTGCTAATTGACTTGATATGTTTTGCAGTGGAAATTTCTTCAATATCTAGCTTGATTTTCAAACTTAAAAAGATTTTGAATATTTTTTTTTTTTTTGATTGATGGAGAAAGAAAAACTTATTGGTTAACTTGAATCTAAGCTAATTTATACTATTAAAAAATAAAACTAATTTTTTTTTATCACAAAGTTACATCGCAGCTGTAAAATTTTCAATTATATTCTTAATCAGTTGAAAAATTTTATATATTTCTGTATTTGGTCCGTGGTATATAAATGAATTTACATATATATTAAATTCTAAAGTATTTACCATTTGTATCAAGGCTTAATGACATTCAGATTTACAGTGTTATTTACACAAATTACTTATGCTATTATACAATTGTAGCCTTTTTATGAGGACGATATAAGGATATATTGACCTGAATGAAGTATATTGACTGTGGAGGAAGTCCAAGGTCGATATACTTATTTGGGTCGATATATCCTGTATTGACCTCATACAAAGGCTACTATTGTTATATTATTAATTTCCGACCGTATTTGTATCAAAATCAGCAGTGTATTAATTTATTCTCTTTTCTCGATCATTTTATTTTGTTGGAATTTTATAGATATCATATTTGTCTCTTTGACAATAACAACATATTAGTTGTTATTTCAATTATTTTTTATGTACATCTTTTGTATTTGAAGATTATTTCTTGTAAATAATCTATCATAAATATACACTTTTTAAAAACTTTCAACAATACCATGAAATTAATTAGATGACGTCACAAAGTATATGGGTTTTAGATATTCTTAAAATAACCGTGCAATATCACTTTTCTATCCGCCGTTTTCAATCGACCTTTGAATGTGACTATTCCTGATTGAATCAAATTAGTCAAAATATAAAAATTAATAATATTATGATTTATAATTTTTTTGAGAGTCTGTATTTATTTGTGTATATTGTTTAAAGGACTATATGGAGAATTAATTGATAATTAAATGTGATATCCTTATTGAAGAAAAACAAATAGTTATTATGCATTCATTCAGACTGATTTACATACTTTTGTGTTTTATTTCCACTCTGTCTGAACGTGCATGCAGTATTCATCTTTCCTATAAAAACATCCATAATTGCATTTATATAACCACCTCGTTGTTAAATTAAACAAATAAGACAATTACTATATACATATTGAAAAATATTTAAACTCAATGCTTTTGAAAGATCTAATATCATATGAAATCCAAAGATTGGTGTTTAGGCTATTTTAAAGTTCAAGCAAGCACCTGGGGGAAATGATTTTGGTAAATTTGGAATCTAACAATTACTAACAGAAGTTTCATGACTATATTATTATACTAGTCTTATGAATTTTATATTTTAGCAACAAGACCTTCTCCTGATGGTCATGTAAGTATAACTTTAGTAACTATTTTTTGAAAATGATACATAAAAGGGATAACATGAATCACCAAAAATACTGTACAAAACAACAGAACACATAAAAATACTGTACAAAACGACAGAACACATAAAATACTGTACAAAACAACAGAACACATCAAAAATACTGTACAAAACAACAGAACACATAAAAAATTCTGTGCCAAACAACAGAACACACAAAAATACTGTACAAAACAACAGAACACATAAAAAAACTGTACCAAACAACAGAACACATAAAAAATACTGTACAGAATACATAAAAATACTGTACAAAACAACAGAACACATCAAAAATACTGTATAAAACATCAGAACACATAAAAATACTGCACAAAACAACTGAACACATAAAAATACTGTACAAAACTACAGAACAGAACAGAACACACCAAAATAGATAGAATGGTATACTGGAAATCATAATGATTAAAAAAAAAACCAGTTTTGAACTTACTTTCAGTTGAGATTAACACAAAACTTGCAGCTTATTTATTGTCATCTCCAGAAATAGGAAACCATGCATTCAAATGATAAACAATCTACAATTTAGAAAAATATTAAATATGAATAAAATTCAATTGGAAAATGTTGCAATAGTTGAAGCAGTATAAGAACTATAAATAGTAGACATGTCTAAAAATATTACTATTAGACTTTTTTTTTACATTTTTTTAAAACTAATTTGAATATAAATGTCAACTTATTCTAAAACTTATTTGTTTAACTCTATGATAAAACTTCTTTCAGCCAGCTTTTACAGCACCAACAGTAACGGACTCTTCCACATTACTATGTGAGATAGGACAAATTTGTCATATACCATTGACTTATGAAGGATTAAAAGGCACTTGGTGAGTCATTTCTTTCCCTGTCTGGTGATACACTTGGTGAGTCATTTGTTTCTCTTGTCTAGTGATACACTTGATGAGTAATTTGTTTCTCTTGCCTAGTGATACACTTAGTAAGTCATTTCTTTCTCCTGTCTAGTGATACACTTGGTGAGTCATTTTTTTCTTCTATCTAGTGATATACTTGGTGAGTCATTTCTTTCTCCTGTCTATCGATACACTTAGTGAGTCATTTCTTTCAACTGTCTAGTGATACACTTGCTGAGTCATTTCTTTCTCCTGTCTAGTGATATAATTGGCGAGTCATTTCTTTCTCTTGCCTAGTGATACACTTAGTGAGTCATTTCTTTCTCCTGTCTAGTGATACACTTGGTGAGTCATTTCTTTCTCTGTCTAGTGATATACTTGGTGAGTCATTTGTTTCTCTTGTCTAGTGATATTCTTGGTGAGTCATTTCTTTCTCTTGTCTAGTGAAATACTTGGCGAGTCATTTCTTTCTCTTGTCTAGTGATACTTTTGGTGAGTCATTTCTTTCTCCTGTCTAGTGAAACATTTGGTGAGTCATTTTTTTCTCCTGTCTAGTGATACACTTGGTAAGTCATTCCTTTATCCTATCTAGTGATATACTTGGAGAGTCATCTGGGTTTTTTTTGTCTTGTGTGAGACTGCAGGACCAATATAAGGTGATATGTGATATTATTAATTCACAGTGCCATTTTATAATAACTTGAAAATAATAATTATTTTATGCAGAGAATAAACCATGTTCCATTCCTTACATTACTACCTCTTCCTTTGCTAAAATAACTGCTGACAATTGTTGCTATGGTGATGACCTACTTTCTATTACAGTGAAGAAGTAAATGAATTGCCAACACATACAGCTGGAGTACACATATTTAAACCACCTGTACAACCCACAGCTGTAGATAAATCTTGCACAACAGAAATAGCTTACCAACCTACAACACCTGGACCTACAAAACTCTGCTTTAAACCAGGGTAAATATGTAACACTCAGAAACGTGTCCTTCCCCCCAAATGTGTCCACATGACGTCACTGAACTGCAAAACATGTCTAAACGTAAAAGGGCGCCAAAGCGTGTCATTTGTCTAAACGCCCAAACGTGTCCATTTTTTAATGAACACCCAAATGTGCCCAATCCCCCAAACGTGTCCATATCAAGCTTAATTTTTTTCTTTTACTGGAACTATTATTCCTGTCCATATTATAAATAGGTAGGTTATTTGGTTATTGTTTTTTCATTAACGTATACTCATTTTACTATTTCATTAAAAAATAGAAATAAATTACTTTAGGTCTTTTTTAAACCGGCAATATAACCTTAGTTAAAGTGGGGGCGTCCGTTCGGCTATGTTGGATGTAAATGTAAGCAGCCATGCTCAGTTAAATTGTAGATATTAAATCAGATACCTCGTGTAGGGAGAATGTCCCATTCTCTGCACATTAAAACCTTTGTAGCAATTCACTCTTTCATGGTGCCATCAGTTGTATTTTGGAAGGCAACATTTTTTTTTAATTTCCGCAACTTTTATTTAAAACGGCCTCTTTTACATAACGGAGATTGCAGTAGTTTGTTACTGAAGTCATAAAAAAATCGGTCTTCACTCGATCTTATTTTTTTAGATTAAAATCCCAACTAGTGTTAATCCCGAATAACCGTCAAAATTAAGGCCCAATCCTAAATTCCCGGTATGATAATAGAACCTATATACAGTATTTATTGTTAACATGATGTCGTTCAAATAATGCATGAAATATTTGGCACTGGTCGTTATTTCTCTTATTCGTGTGTCTTTATAAGTGATGCTCGAAACCAAAAATTTATTAAAAAACCTGAAAACCAGTTTATGATTTGAAGAGCTTTTAAAATATCAGAACTGTTGAAAAAAAGGGAAGTCAATTCTGCTGAAAGCCCGCCGTCGGATTAATATAAAAGGCATCAACGGAGTTTATTAGTAACACAAAATTTACATAGTAAACGACTAATTCAACTGCACTAGAATTATTTGTATGTTCTCTCTAAATGAGCATGAAATACTTGCAACTGGACAATATGCAAATTCAGTCTAAAGTTAATACATATGTTACATGTTAAATTTGCAATTATGATAATCATTAACAACCAGCATTGAACAAACTAATGCTTATAAATTACTACCTCATCAACTGTTTCCCCAATCATAGAATTGCCGTAAACGTCATTGATTTCATTTAGGACATACATGTATTAGTGCTAAAAGACGTGAGACGTTCTGGCGTTTAACCATGGACACGTTTTGGCGAATAACAATTATCGGACACGTTTGGGGGTTATGAAATCGGACACGTTTGGGCAATATTGAATATTATGGACATGTTTGGGGAGAATAGACACGTTTGGTGGAATCGGACACGTTTGGGGGGAAGGACACGTTTGGGAGTGTTACAAATATCTTATTCAAAAAATTGTACAATAGATTTTATACCTTCATATACACCACCTACAACTGTCTACAGGGACTTCTGTTTAAACTACGGTATGAAAAATTCATAAATTCAAAATGACGAAATGCCAACTGACTGACTCCATTTGTATGAATCAATTGATGATTATTAATGACTTATCTGATCAGCAGACTACCTGTAACAACAAATTATGAAAGTTCTGTTGTGACTGTTGATTAGCTTGGGTTGTAAACTTGTTATAAACTTGTAGCCAGGTAGAATTTCGTACAATTTAATTTTTTACTTTTACAAATTTAAGTGACTAAATTTACCAGAAATCTTTTGTCATTTCCAAAATCATTTCTGAAATGGCGAAAAAGAAGAGTGCTAGCAAAATCACTGCTAAGTGAGGAGCACATCAAATCTGATTATATATTGATATATATTTTTCATTTTTTCTTCACATGTAGAACATATGGAGAAAAACGATGTATCAACATTGAAGGGGAACCAACAGGGAAAAAATGTAAGTCAATAAAATAATCAAACAATACTGGTTCATATTACATAAATTTTCATTGTTTAGTTTTGATTGTAAGTGAAAACCCTTCCTTTTAGAAAAGACATTGAAAAAATTGTTTTGTTGAAAAGTATGCTCACACCAAAGTAACTTGGATATTTCCAGTAGAACCATTTAAAGTCATTATGAGGTTTCCTATCCCATTAGCTGCATAAACTACACATAGTTTGTCCATGTTAATTTACTTAGCTATCAAAATTAAAAGGTAGGTAATCTGGTGAAAATGACCATGAAGAGCTATTGCCATAGTTTCTGTTGTCATTGTTTTTTAAACTTGTGAGCCAATTTAGTATCTATAGATATAAGAAGATGTGGTATGAGTGCCAATGAGACAACTCTCCTTCCAAGTCAAAATTTATAAAAGTAAACCATTATAGGTCAAAGTACGGTCTTCAACATGGAGCCTTGGCTCACACCGAACAGCAAGCTATAAAGGGTCCCAAAAATTACTAGTGTAAAACCATTCAAACGGGAAAACCAACGGTCTAATCTATATAAAAAACAAGAAATGAGAAACACTTATGAACCACATCAACAAACGACAACTACTGAACATCAGATTCCTGACTTAGGACAGGTGCAAACAATTGCAGCAGGTTTAAACGTTTTAATGGTACCAAACCTTCACCCTTATCTGAAACAATAGTGTAACATCACAACATAGAAAAACACACTATAAAATATCTATTGAAATGGCTTAACTCAATCAAAAGACATATTAACACTAGTCTAATAAAGGTGGCAATGATACCACCAGCCACCCTACATAAATGCTCCACTAAAAAAGGAAAATTGGTAAAAAATTAGCTTCAAACATCTTGAAAACAGTTTTGAGATGTAGAAAATCTAGTTGGGCACAAATTTTCAGAATGTCCAGATCTACCAAACATCCATGTCAGACAACTAATAAGGTCAAACATTACCAAAATCATTTATCAATTTCTTGTAGGAGTTATAACTCATTTTTGGCTGTTATCTTGAAAATACAAAAGAGATATGTGTGAAACTGTGTACAGAAAAATGAAAATGTGTCCTTATTTTCCCTAGGTTTCCAGTAGAGGGATTCAGGATCTCCAGGACCTCTTGTGTGCCAGCACTTTTAAAATCTGACTTGATATTTCAATCTAGTACAATGTAAGGTAAATTCATATCACATAAACATGTCTCTGTCCTAGATATATTTGTCACTGATTGTTTACAATTAATCAATGAATCTATTTTAGTATCAACTCCTTGCCAAAGCCTCCATTGCAAAAATAGTGGTGAATGTATCGCAGATAATCAAGGAACTGCAAAATGTGTCTGTACTCTAGGAACATCTGGTGTGGATTGTAGTCAAGGTAAGAAAGATTACCTTAATACTGTAATCAGCAAACTTCTCTTGTGTCACTGTCTTATCTTCCCTATGTTCCCAGCATGCATTTTTATACGCCTGTTTACGGGACGTATTATGGTATACCGTTGTCCGTTGTCAACATGTCGGACAATAACTCAAAAAACGCTTTAACCAATCTGCATAAAACTTTGGTGAATTGTTTATATCTATTGACGTGAGCTACCTTATTTTTTTTATAAATTTTAGATTTTAAGTTTCCGAGTAATGGGGTTTTATTAAAAAAAAGGGGAATTTTCCAGTTTTTGGACAATAACTCAAAAATGCGTTCAGCAGTTTTCATGAAAGTTTGGTGAATTGTTTATATCTATTGACATAAGCCACCTTTTTATTTTTATAAATTTATAGATTTTACGTTTCAGAGTAATGGGGTTTTATTCATTAAAAAAGGGTGATTTTCCAGTTTTCGGACAATAACTCAAAAATACTTTCACCGATTTGCAAGAAACTTTGTTGAATTGTTTATATCTATTGACATGAGCTCCCTTTCGATTTTTATAAATTTTACATTTTACATTTCCAAGTTATGGGGTTTTATTTTTATTAAAAAAAGGGGGATTTTCCAGTTTTTGGACAATAACTCAAAAATGCTTTCAGCAGTTTTCATGAAAGTTTGGTGAATTGTTTATATCTATTGATATAAGCTTCCATTCGATTTTTATAAATTTTAGATTTTATGTTCAGTGTTTAGTGCACATCTGCCATAAGTGATGTTCTGAAGAAAGGAGATCATGCAGGAAAGTTTCTGCTCAGTTAACTTGAGTATGCTTCAATCACAGGATTAAGGACCACTAAGCACTTATTATGTCTGCATTTGAATCGTTTAAAGGTTTTTAAGTAATGTCCACTCAATAACATGAGTTTACTTGAACAAAATTATTTTAGATTTTAGCACAATTACTAAAACCACTAAACATAGTTTTAGTTTTTGTCTCAGAAAGCGAGACATAGGGATAGTGATCCGGCGGCAGCGGCGACGGCGGTGTTAACAAACTTCTTAAAAGCTTAATGGTTCAGTGACTACTCGAAAAAAAAAGTTAAGATTTTTAGTATTCTTAATTTCTCTATTATTATGAGTAATAGGATAACTATATTTGGTATGTGTGTACCTTGCAAGGTCCTCATGCCTTTCAGACAGTTTTCTCTTGACCTCGACCTCATTTCATGGATCAGTGAACAAGGTTAAGTTTTCATGGTCAAGTCTATATCTCAGATACTATAAGAAATAGGTCTACTATATTTGGTGTATGGAATGATTGTAAGGTAAATATGTCCAACTGGCAATTGTCATCTGACCTTGACCTCATTTTCATGGTTCAGTGGTTAAAGTTAAGTTTTTGTGTATGGGTCTGTTTTTCTAATACTGAATGCAATAGGTCAACTATATGCGGTGTATGAAAATATTTTACGATGTACTTGTCAGTCTTGCAGGTTTCATTTGACCTTGTCCTCATTTTTAGGGTTCATTGCTCAATGTAACGTTTTTGTGTTTTGGTCTGTTTTTCTTAAACTATGAGCAATAGGTCAACTACATTTTGTGTATGGAATGATTGTAAGGTGTATATGTCTGTCTGGCAGGGTTCATCTGACCTTGACCTCATTTCCATGGTTCATTGGTCAATGTTAAGTTTTCCTGGTTAAGTTTGTTTCTTAGATACTATATGCAATAGGTCAACTATATTTAAAGTATGTAATGATTGTAAGGTGTACATGTCTGTCTGGCAGGGTTCATCTGACCTTGACCTCATTTTCATGGTTCTTTGCTCAATAAATAATTTTCGTGGTTTGGTCTGTATCTTGTACCGGTATACTATAAGCAATAGGTCAACTATATTTGGTGTATGGAATGATTTTAAGGTGTACATGTATTTCTGGCTTGATTTATAGACAATTCAGCATGTGCACTCTTGTTGAAACATATCATATCTTGTATTTTCAAGGACACTTGATTTCATGGTTTGGCCAAAGTGTATATACAAGCTTAAGATAAAGTGAACTTTGTTCAACACTTAAATTTGTGGTAAAGTTATACAATCAAAATCAACACAAATTGGTATCCAACAAATAATAATGAATCCACAGTATAAGCTATTGGATTAATGAAGTTGTGCTTTGAACAGAAGCTCTCCAAATTATTTACTTCTCATTTAAAGCTGGAATGTGACATATCTGATCCCCTTTGAGCTCACCATGATAAAGCCAATATCTTTGATTCATTGTAAATAGGTTGTATCATCAGGCTAAATTCTTAGTGGATTTTAGGTATTCATATCCATAGTGTAGTGTGGACTGGGGTGAATGATTAGTTGATTGTGGCTACTGGAATATTAATACAATGAAGGGGCTGATGTTTTCCTGAAATATATCATTATTATACCCCTGCTTTAAATTATACCCCCGCTTTAAAAAAGTGGGGGTATACAGTTTTACCTCTGTCTGTCTGTCCGTCCATCCATCCCATGAATATTTTTCGTTGCATCTTTCTCAGGAACTACATCATAAGGATTTCTGAAATTTGGTTTCAGGGTTTATATCAGTTTAAGTCAGCTATACCGTGATGCATTTTCAGACTCATCACTCAACAACTTCCTGTTTACCGAACACTTGCATATTTTTACACTATAAAGATTATCCAGTTGCAGCAGGAGCATCATCAGTTAGCAGTAGCTCGCAATTTCACTTGTTTTGTCAATTCCAATTATTTTTTTTAATTTATCATTACCTACTGCCAACTGAATGTTTATATATTTAATGTACAGTGGTGCATTTTAAACTATTTTATTCTAGATCTCTGTCTTAAATCTAGGCCGTTTGTTATTAATTTATTGCAGGTTCAAGTAACTTTATAACAGACAGAGTAAACAAGACAAAGGTATGTTGAAAAGCTATATTTTCAAAATGACACTTAAATATTCAAAACATTCTTATTATTGTCATCAACTGCATTCATTAAAAAATTAGCTGCTGTAAACATCTATTACATATTTCAATACAATTATACACAGGATGGTCTTTAATTCCATATCTCTAAACCAATGCGGTTACATTAACTCAATATGAATAGAGGTTTGAAATCTACTTTGCTCTCTTCAGTTCTGACACTGGTATGCAAATTGGACAACACTTAGATTTCTATATAACTATTAGACTAATAAGTACATTTAAAAGACAAGATGTTTGATACATAAATGTTTTATATATTACAGCCTGCCTTTATAGACACAGTACTCCCACAGACCATTGTTTGCTATAAACTGGAGAAATGTACAGTTCCATTCCTTGTCACCAGTACTGGAGGGTAAATTGTCATTAAACTTAATAGAAAAATAAATATCCTACCAAAATTCTATATTTTGGCATGTTGGGCACCTGTTTACTTGAAGTTTTGATCTGAGTGATTTTAGGCATTTCTCATTCAGAAATTTCTGCTTATGTTAGTGTGTAAATCTGCAAATCCTTGAAGACAGATTAAGAAAAATAAACTAAACTTGCACAGACTCTTCTACGGGACCTGAACTTGTGCACCTACTATTTTGAATTTTGATCCACAGGATATGAAGTTGTGCAACTGCTATTTTTTTTTTTTTGATTGACAGGATAAAAAAGTTGAGTGTTGATATGAAGTTGAGCACTTAATATTATATTTTTGATCTGCCTTATTTGTGAGATTTCCAATGAAAAAGCATGAACTATTTCCATTTCGTCTTGTATTATTTTGTGATGGTAGGTGTGACACAAGTTTTCTTGGAAGACTAACAAATGTTTTTTGTTTAATAGTTTCATTGCTGAAAAAGGAATTATGATAACTAAAACAAGTTACAACCAGAATTATGGAAAGACATTTTCTGTTTGATGAGATTATATGGTAGTGTAGTATATGCAAAACTTGTGTTTGATAAGATCATATTTATATGGTACTGTAGTATACTTCTTCCAGTAGAAAATCGTATATCTGTTAAAGGAGAAAAGTTGTTTTTAAAAAAAATGTAGCATATTCAGTCGTCCAAAAGTAGAGGGAGAAGATATAAATGTACCAGAATTTCTATTCTCAGATTTGAGTACCTCTGTATAGTACTTGTTTTAAAAAAGACCGCAACAGGTTCACCTAATGATGGCCACAATTAAGTTGAAAAATGTTTCTTTTTTGTGCTTTATTCAGTTTTTAAGCTGCTCTGAGTAAAAGAATAGATAATTTTTAAGTTTTCTTCTTTCCGCTGATAAGAACTTAGTTATTATAAATAAAACAAGAATTGTTGTCATGTACACTGGGTCAAATATTTGTTATATCCTTTATATTTATCAGTCTGTTCCAGTGAATATTTTGAGTTGATTCATTTTGATTTTTCTGCTTTGCTGTTTGATAAACTGATAGCAAGGGAAACAACCATTGGTAAAAAGATTTTCTTTTATTTTGTCTTGAAAACCTTTGATTTGAAATTAATGCATTTTTGTTTTCCATCTTGTATATTTTGACTTAAAACAAGGAATATAGTCAATATGGATTTGTATTGATGTAATGTTAAACATCTATTTATGTCAAAAGTAGTGACATGTGTTTGCCAACTTTGGACCATAATTTGTATATTGTAGGATCCAACCAACAGTAGTGACAGGACAAATTGATCCAGATCTTGTTGCTACTGGACCTTCAACCTCAACACAAATCAAGAATACAGACTCTTTCAAATCTGTGATGACACTTACTCCTACTCAAAATGGAGATAAACTAGCTTGTGTACAGACCCATGATTCAAGGTATTGTTCAACTTGACTTAAAAAAACTAGCTTGTGTACCCCTCACGATACAAGTTATTATAAAACTTGTATTAGAAAAACTAGCTTGTGTACACCTCACGATTCAAGTTATTATAAAACTTGTATTAGAAAAACTAGCTTGTGTACACCTCATGATTCAAGTTATTATAAAACTTGTCTTAGAAAAACGAGCTTGTGTACACCTCACGATTCAAATTATTATAAAACTTGACTTAGAAAAACTAGCTTGTGTACACCTCACGATTTAAGTTGCTATAAAACTTGTCTTAGAAAAACTAGCTTGTGTAAAAACCAAATTCCCAAAACAAAATTGAGTACGTGTATCAATAAAACTCTCAAATTAATGACCTCAACTTTACCATTGTGAACCTTCGGTTCAATAGCTTTTTTAACAGTTAATCTCCTTTAGAAAATCTTCAGAGGAAAATGTAAGCCATGGAATATTGTATCAACTGAAAGATGTATACAGCTCTATCATACTTCCCTGCACCTATATCATTCTCCTCAGTAACTCCCTAATTCTATCACAGCTTTAAAAAGCCAGGAGAAGTTAACAGTGACAACATGGCAAATTGTAGATTGCAGCAGATATTTTATGATGTCAATGTTCAGAAAGCCCACTAATCTATACATATAATGGTGCCGCTTGAATGATGTTACATGAAAATAGAAAATGTCCATATTAAGTCAAGATATGAGGCAAACCTCTATTAGTGTTAAGTTTGAATGGGTTAATGCCATGAACCTAGTCACCAAAAACTTTATCATGTTCAGTGAGAGAATATCATCTTTATAGTGGAAGGTGAAGGATAATGTTAGCTTCTTTTTATGAATATGTGATTAATGGCTACTAAAAATAATCTTCCCTTATATCAGTAAGATTCATTGCCAATGACGAAGTATTTCTTTAAATGATGGAAAGGGGGTGGGGGTAGATTAGCCAGAAAATGTACAATATGCCATGGTATTAAGCTAAAAAAAAAAACTATTAATTTGACTTTTCAGTGGTAAAACAGTAGATGAAATATGTACAAAGGTTAATGTTATAGGTATGTACAGTAGTGATAAGACATAATAGTAATGATTAAAATGCTTTATAACAAGGAAAAATTGTAGGGTTTTTCACATGGAAATACAGAAACCATCAAATAAACAAAGTACTTTTTTTGTAATAATAAAGCTTGTAGCAGATAAATATTTATAGGTTGATGTATACTGCTATATGAACATATTTATTGAACCAAGTGCATTTAATGTGTAAAGCTGAGCATGGTTAAATCCATCAAGTTTAGATGTGAAACCAAGGAAAGGAAAAGTAATCAAATTAAGACTATGATTTTAATGTATTAGATCATTGTAGAACACCATTATTCAGCTATAAATAATTATAGAATATATTATTGGAGAATTCAAATATCTGAAGTAGTCCAGATGTGACTGAACAACATATGAACTAATAAAACGGCATACATCATGAGTGAATTATCTTTTTCTACATGTTATCACTTAATTTTAATGTAATGTCTTGACAACACATTTTGTAGTATGACAGAGGAGTGAAGTCAGGATTTATTCTATATGTGTAAAAATCAGTTTTTATTGACTGCAACAGTTTTTTATTTCAACCAATGTAATATAATTTTATTTTTATTTCAGATCATCCCAAGACATCTGCAACTGTGAGTTATAATGAGGATTTCATTTTGTATTTTATTTTCCTTTAGGAAATTTTACTGCAATAAAAAAAGATATACGTTATCAGTACTGAAAACAACATCCCTGATTCATTGATTTTTTAAATAATTTTTCAATACTTTTCATGCAGATGGATTAGAATATGAAACATTTTCAGCATCAAACTTTCAAGGTTGACAATATAATGTACTCTTTTAAAAATAAATATGAACACTTATGGCCCTACAACCTGTTGATACATATATTTTGCCATTGCACAAAGTCATACTTTCTGTTTATGACATCTTTAGACTAAATCTTTTAGATTATACTATTTGATATTTAATATGGTAAAACAGTATTTTTTTCTTAATTGAAATCAACTTTTAACTAGCTTTTGGTAACTGTGAGTTTCTTTACTGTTTAGCTCACCGGGGCCCGAAGGGCCCCATGTGAGCTTATGCCATCACTTGGCGTCCGTCGTCGTCGTCTGTCATCGTAAACTATTTAAAAAATCTTCTCCTCTGAAACTACTGGGCCAAATACCTTCAAACTTTAAATAAATGTTCCTCAGGGTATTTAGTTTATAAATTGTATCCGAAGTTTTGATCCATCGACAAACATGGCCGCCATGGCTAAAAATAGAACATAGGGGTCAAATGCAGTTTTTGGCTTATATCTCAAAAACTAAAGCTTTTAGAGCAAATCTGACATGTGGTAAAATTGTTCAGTTGGTCAAGATCTATCAGCTCTGAAATTTTCAGACAAATCGAACAATCTATTGTTGGGTTGCTCCCACCGAATTGGTAGTTTTAACAAAATTTTGCAGTTTTTTGTTATTATTTTGAATATTATTATAGATATATATAAACTGTAAGCAGCAATAATGTTCAGCAAGGTAAGATCTACAAAAAAGTTAATAAGACCAAAATTGTCAATTGACCCCTTAAGGAGTTATTGCCCTTTAAAGACAATTTTACACAATTTGTTCATCAAGTTTGCTAACATTTAAAAATCTTCTCCTCTGAAATACAGGTGAGCGATTCAGGCTCTTGAGAGCCTCTTGTTGTCTGTTGTTTTTTGTGCTTGTGTCGATCTAATTAGTGAACCCTTCAATCTGATTTTTACATTATGTTCCTGTTGTGCTTGAACCACTTTCATAGGTTTTGGAATGGTTGAGCAAGCCAAGATATTTAACCTCAGCACAGACTTTATGTTACTGTCCTAAGTTGGGGGTGTGTTATTCAACAGTTGTCATTGGTTACTGTCTGCCATATTTGTTTTTTTGTTTGTTTATTGTTTCAGCATAAATCAGGCTAATAATTTTCTCATTTGAATATATATTGTTTCACATTTTGTAATACCACAGGGTCTTTTTGGCTTACTATAGAGTATCGGTTTTGCCCATTGGTGAAGGCCATATGTGACCTATAGTTATCTACATCTCTGATGAATAGTGAAAAGTTTCATTGGCAATCATACCACATATCCTTATTTTTATATATCACTAATATATTCATCCTGATAAAGTTTTGAAATACAGAATAACTTTATGTAAATTATGAATCAAAGCTTGATTCATTAAAATAGTTATGTCTCAGTTCCTTTGACTTTGAATAATGGAGGTTCAACTGTCTTTCTTCTTAGATAGCTTTGCTCTTGAGCATTGTTTATTTCTTATTTGATAGATGACTGAGTCTGTAAGTATTTATTATGCCCCACCTAGGGTCCGTCTGTCCTGCTTCAGGTTAAAGTTTTTGGTCTAGGTAGTTTTTGATGAAGTTGGAGTCCAATCAACTTGAAACTTAGTACACATGTTCCCTATGATATGATTTTTCTAATTTTAATGCCAAATTAGAGTTTTGACCCCAATTTCATGGTCCACTGAACATAGAAAATGATAGTGCAAGTAGGGCATCTGTGTACTATGGACACATTCTTGTTTATTATTTAATTTAAAGATAGTTTTAATATTAATTTTTATAACAATTTTTATAACATAGACTTTGCCAGGATTTACTGAGAAAACATTTAAACCAGACAGTTTACTTGGCTGTAAAGTGGACCAGGATTGTCATCTTCCAATGGAAACTACAACAAACACAAACGGAAAATGGTATCAGTTTTATTTACATCAGTACAATGACAAAATGCAATAAACTGTTCTGATCCTGTCAGACACTTGTTTATACTTAAAAAAAACTTTCCAAGTTTGTCAGAATATATAATATCTAAATTTGATAGTGCACATGATTGTTCAAAAACTTCTTTAGAATTCATATGATATCAGTAAGCTTTCCAGTTTATTTTTTTTTAACCTAAGATGATATCTGAAAGCTTCAAAAAATAGTTTGTATCTTGTCATTTCTGTTTACAGTCCTACATTATCCAGAGACATACCAGATACAACAATACAAGATGTCCACCCTTTGGAGACCATATTATCAACAGTAGATAACACTTGTCAAACAGATGTTGTTATTCATCCAAATAATACTGAAATTGGAGTTCATAAAGTCTGCATTCAAATTAATGTCAGGTAGGACATCAAAGTTTGTAAATAATGTTTGGTTTATCTACCAACAGAAATTCTTCATGTTGACTTATGTTACATAACACATCAAAGTTTTTGAAACAGATGTGAATATTGGTCTGCCAACAAAAATTCATCTTGAAGGTAGAGACCGGGTGTCTTCCATCATGTTGGATTGTGAAATAGCAGAAAACAATAAGTCTAGATCTTTAATGAAATGTCCTAATTTTGACAGAAGAATGTAATTCAATTGTAAGACTTTTCACGTAAATGAAGAAATTAATGTGTTATCATATTTTTACGATTGTATTTTAAAAATACAGAATATAAATTATTTTGTTTGATTAAACTTTGCCATATAAGTGAATATAACTTAGATAATGTAACTTCTATGAAGGAATGTGTTTTGTATTTACCTGTTTTGTTTTGTAGCAAGAAAACGAGAACTGTGACCCCAACTTTTCCTTTTATTTTCTGAAACAACATTATAATAGCTCTCTACTCATATTTTATCTTAAAATTCTATCGTTTAGTTTTCCTTCTATCACACAAAATTGAGTTTTCCATGCATAATCTATACAAATTCTGACAATTTTGCTCAAAGTGTAGCTTGAAAAAAGCCCTGTTACCCATACTTTTAATGATATTCTTGAAAAAAGCATGGTATAAACTACGTTTTGGCAAATTATTAAAAAATTCTATCAATTTTAATTTAGCCCCCCCGCACATCTACCTTAAATAGAATTGATGTCAGTTAGGACATCAAAGATACAGATGATTGAACATTAATTGTATTTCACATAAAATTTATTAGTATTAACTACTAAGTATATAAAAATAACAATATTTTATATTTTAAGCTTGATTTGTTTTATACATAATGATGTAAAAAAAATTGACTTTGTGCTCTCGAATGTAAAATCCAAGGATTGATGACTTTTGAGTTTGAATTCAAGTCGGAGTGTTTATTTATAAATTTGATAAGCAACACTTACAACAGGTAATAATTAAACAGTTTAAGTAATATCTTTTAGGATGTGTGAAAACTATTTGCTTGCAAAATAAATTATTGAACATCTCTTTATATTTTTCAGTCCGTCAGAAGAACCAAGGTGTTATCAGTTAAACGTAACAGAATCACTGGGTAAGTTTTTCCAATTATATAAAGTTACCATTTATAATCTGTTTTAAATTACATCTGATGCATTTCTTTTATTAATCAACCCTTAATATTAACTAATTTACCCTTTTTTAGATACTCATTTCCAGAATCATTAATTTTACTCTAAAATTATCATTTGAAGCAGCTAATTTCCCTTTTGAGGGAAGTAGAACTGCTTCACAGTAATGAAGCTCAATGAAGAGTCAATAAGTAATTGCCATTTCTAATCCCTGTACATTTAAAGATAATATTTGGTTATTATTAAACTCAATTATAAAGCTGGAAATTTTTGTCAATTAAAGTATTAAACACATTGATTTCTATTTACTTCTTAACATTGCTCTCCACTGCAGCGCACCAGTATTTATACCAGTACACATTTGTACTTCCTATCAAGGGAAATAATTTGTATTCAATTGTAATTTCAAATCAGATTCTGGCTACTAATATATTAATAGAGATAATTAACCTAAATGATTCAAATGGTAAATCAACTGAAAACTTTTTTCAATGTATTTAACTAGTTTATTCCTATTTATACTAATGATGGAAGCAAATATATAATTAATTATTTAATGTGTTGTTAATTCCCTTATAACATTTTCCTAGCACAATTTTTGCATTCTTTATCTGAAGATTCCTTTTCTATGATTGCTGAAAATATTAAACAAGGAGATGTTGTACAATTGCCAATGAGATGGCTATCCATAGACCAAAAAACAAAGATGAGATAAGACCAGATAAAGTTCCTACCTGATATTTAAGTCTCCCAAACGAAGTTTGGGAAGACTTATTGTTTTTGCTCAGTTCTTATTATTCTTCTTCTTCTTCTTCTTCTTCTTCTTCCGCCGCTTTTAAATTTGAACTTGTCCGCACCCGTTCTCCAAAACCGCTTGTCAGATTAACTTAGGGTTTCACAATATGTTAGACTAACATGTCTAGTGGTGCAATCAGGGTTTTGTTTGTGCAATGGGGTTTATAAAGGGGTACTTTGAGGGGCAAAAAGAAAAGAGGGTTTTACTATAGAACCCTATGGGATTTTATTTTTTTAAATTTTCAAATGATTATAAATTGAAAACCGTTTGTGATAGACACAATCTTTTTAATTGAAAATGTTCTAAATGATAAAGCCCATTAAATGAAATACAGGGTTAGTCCCCAGGGGTCACCCCCACCCCCTGCCATTTAAGAAAGTTCTAATACCTTATAAGTGGTCAAGATCCCCACCCCTAAACCATATATATTTTGGTTTGTTATGCTAAGATGGTTTGAATGATATACAGGGTTAGTCCCCAGGGGTCACCCCGACCCCCTGCCATTTGAGAAAGTTCTAATAGCTTGTAAATAATCGAGATCCCCACCCCTAAACCATATATATTCTGGTTTGTCATGACAAAGCACATCAAATGAAATACAGGGTTAGTCCCCAGGGGTCACCCCCACCCCCTGCCATTTAAGAAAGTTCTAATATCTTCTAAGTGGTCAAGATCCCCACCCCTAAACCATGTATATTCTGGTTTGTCATGCTAAGATGGTTTGAATGATATACAGGGTTAGTCCCCAGGGGTTATCCCGACCCCCTGCCATTTGAGAAAGTTCTAATATCTTGTAAATGGTCGAGATCCCCACCCCTAAACCATATATATTCTGGTTTGTCATGATAAAGCACATCATATGAAATACAGGGTTAGTCCCCAGGGGTCACCCCCACCCCCTGCCATTAAGAAAGTTCTAATATCTTGTAAGTGGTCAAGATCCCCACCCCTAAACCATATATATATTCTGGTTTGTCATGCTAAGATGGTTTGAATGATATACAGGGTTAGTCCCCAGGGGTCATCCCGACCCCCTGCCATTTGAGAAAGTTCTAATATCTTGTAAATGGTCGAGATCCCCACCCCTAAACCATATATATTCTGGTTTGTCATGATAAAGCACATCATATGAAATACAGGGTTAGTCCCCAGGGGTCACCCCCACCCCCTGCCATTTAAGAAAGTTCTAATATCTTCTAAGTGGTCAAGATCCCCACCCCTAAACCATATATATTCTGGTTTGTCATGCTAAGATGGTTTGAATGATATACAGGGTTAGTCCCCAGGAGTCATCCTGACCCCCTGCCATTTGAGAAAGTTCTAATATCTTGTAAATGGTCGAGATCCCCACCCCTAAACCATATATGTTCTGGTTTGTCATGATAAAGCACTTCAAATGAAATACAGGGTTAGTCCCCAGGGGTCACCCCCACCCCCTGCCATTTAAGAAAGTTCTAATATCTTCTAAGTGGTCAAGATCCCCACCCCTAAACCATATATATTCTGGTTTGTCATGCTAAGATGGTTTGAATGATATACAGGGTTAGTCCCCAGGGGTCATCCCGACCCCCTGCCATTTGAGAAAGTTCTAATATCTTGTAAATGGTCGAGATCCCCACCCCTAAACCATATATATTCTGGTTTGTCATGATAAAGCACATCAAATGAAATACAGGGTTAGTCCCCAGGGGTCACCCCCACCCCCTGCCATTTGAGAAAGTTCTAATATCTTGTAAATGGTTGAGATCCCCACCCCTAAACCATATATATTCCTGTTCGTCATGTAATGAACATTTGAATGACGTATAGGGCCAGTCCCCAGGGGTTCCTCCCCACCCCCAATGTTCTAGTATCTTGTAAATGGTCGAGATCCCCACCCCTAAACCATATATATTCTGGTTTGTCATGCCAAGATGATTTGAATGATATACAAGGTTAGTCCCCAGGCATCACTAATGCATATAACTTTACTGGACCAAACCAATTTTCACTGGAAGTTGCCCAATGTCAGGCGACCCTGGGAATTACGAATTATGGGAGCTTCGTTTGGGAGACTTCGTAACAGCATCCTGTTACATTCATTTCTTGTTTTGTAACGATATTGTATTTTACTGTCAATGCCTTCTTTAGACAAGTTCTGTTAGATGTAAATGTTTTTGTAGTTACAACTACAACCTTCACCACAACAATAGCAACAACTTTAAATGCAAAAAGTAGTACTGAAAAAACAGCTTCATCTAGCATGGAAACAACTATTACTACAACATTAAGTAGTTTAAAAACAACAAAAGTAGCTGCAACAACAAACAATACCAAAACAACAAAAACTAAAACTTTAGCAGCGTCAAATAGTAATAAGACAATACAAGGAATAGCCACAACAAACAATTCCAAAGCAGCAGCAACAACATACAATACTAAAACAACCAAAGCAGCAGCCAAAGTAAAAACCATTACAATGGCAACAGCATCTACCAATACTACAATCACAGGAAAATCGACTGGTAATAAGACGCTGAAAGGAGTAGCCACAACAGTAACCAATGCAAAAACAAATATAGCAGCCACCACAATACACAGTACTAAAATAACCACTTTAGCAAAACCCAATGATAAAACAACAAAGATGGCATTACCAACCACCAATGGCAATCCAACCAAGGCAGTTACACCAGCAGGTGGCAAAGCAACCACTTTAGCAAAACCCAATGACAAAACAACAAAGATGGCATCATCAACTATCAATGGGAAACCAACTAATGCAGTTACATCAGCAGGTGGCAAAGCAACCACTTTAACAAAACCCAATGACAAAACATCAAAGATGGCATCAACAACTATCAGTGGGAGACCAACTAATGCAGTTACATCAGCAGGTGGCAAAGCAACCACTTTAGCAAAACCCAATGGCAAAACAACAAAGATGGCATCATCAACTATCAATGGGAAACCAACTAATGCAGTTACATCAGCAGGTGGCAAAACAACCACTTTAGCAAAACCCAATGGCAAAACAACAAAGATGGCATTACCAACTATCAATGGCAATCCAACCAAGGCAATTACAACAGCAAGTGGCAAAGCAACCACTTTAGCAGCCGCAACCAGAAGTAAAATAACCAAGACAGCAGCCACAACCAACACAAACAATGCTTTGGAAACAACATTAATAAACATCAAAAGAACAAAGGGATCAACTATTAATGCCAAAACTATGAAAGGGTCAACAGGTACAAATCAAGCAGTAATTTATAATAAAACTACCATAGTATCTAAAGGTAAATCTTACCAAACAATGCTAAATTAGGTAAAGCTTTTTTGTCTCGCCTTGACAGAGTCTAAAAGCGAGACATAGGTATGCTGTTTCCGGCGGCAGCAGCGGCAGTGTCAACAGTGTATTAGTTTGTGATTAGGTCTAGTTCATGGTGAACCACTAGTGGTAGGTCAATGATATTTGGTATGCAGTTGTATAAGCATTGGCACATCTCATTACCATGGAGATTATTTGGCCCCGCCCCCTCAGTCAAGGTCTATTGACTTTGAAACTTTTCATAGTTAACATGTATTAGTTTGTGATTAGGTCAATTTATGGGGAACCACTAGTGGTAGGTTAATGATATTTGGTATGCAGTTGTATAAGCATTGGCATATCTCATTTCCATGGAGATTATTTGGCTCCGCTCCCTTAGTCATGGTCTATAGACTTTGAAACTTTTGCTTAGTTTACATGTATTAGTTTGTGATTAGATCAGTTTAAGATGAACTGCTAATGTTAAGTCATTGATATTTGGTAAGCAAATTTATTAGCATTTGCAAGTATCGTTTCCATGGAGATTATGTAGCCCCACCCCTGATCATGGTTCATTGACTTTGAATCTTTTACATAGTTTACAAGTTAATGTTTGTGTTTAGGTTTGTTTAAAGGGAACGACTTATAATAAGTCAATGGTATTTGGTATGCAGTACTAGCATTGGCACATCTCAATCCATGGAGATTGTTAAGCCATGTACCTTTAGTCATGGTTCATCGACTTTGAATATTTGCATTACTTACATGTTAAAATATTGCAATTTTAATTTCAACATTTGCATTATCAAAATTACAAAAAGGCTAGACATATCTCTGTGATAACAGTTTATGTTAAACCTATAATCAGATTGGTAACCCTTTTTCTGCTTTCGTTGGAATGGCATCTCCTTAAATCTTCATTGTTAGCTTTGGCAAGAGTAACATCAACAACATGAGTATAACTGACATTCCTTATCTTTCCAAAACTGAATTTTTTGGGGGGGTTTTCCATTAACTGGCCAGACATTTTTACCAAACTGATGCGAAAGAGCCACAGTCAAGTCACCAACACTAGTTGTACAAAGTGGAAAAGTAAAGCATACTTACAATACTATTCAGGAGCAGTTTAGTAAAATTTCTGTCCAGCTGAACAATTTTGATTTGATGAAACAAATTGTAATTGGGACAGAATTTTGAATGACAAATGTTCTCATTGTTCTATTGTTTCACATACCTGCAGTGTGTTTCTACCTCATAACAAGGTTTCTCATTTTGCTGTTGTTTCACATAACTGTAGTGTGTTCATCACGTTTCTCATTTTGATGTTGTTCTGCAGTGTTTCTTTCACCTCATCACAACGTTTCTCATTTTGCTGTTGTTTTACATACCTGCAGTTTGTTTCTTTCTCTCATCACAATATTTCATTGTGCGATTATTTTCACACCTACCGTTTTTCTTTATCTCATCACAGGTTTTCCCTGTCAACTTATTTCCTATTATTCTTTTTAACACATCTTTTCAGTATGCTTTCTCTTTGAAAACTCTGTTTTTATTATAGTTACCTACCCTCAGTTTGACCTCTAATCACAAGCACAATGCTCCCTTACCACATACTATAAGTATGTTCCCTTCTTATGTAAGCCTGAGCATAATCCTTGTCACATACCCTCAGTTTGACCTCTAATCACAAACACAATGCTCCCTTACCACACACTGTAATGCATTTTCTTTTTCTTTCCTACATAATAATGTAAAAATGGTTTTTAAACATGTATAAATTAATTTTCTGTCTCTGTAAAATTACTCTGTAAAATTGTCCAAATAAGTTTAATTTTTCAATTGAAAATGTTAGTTGTTTGGTAAAATTAGCAAAAATTATGAAGAAGACTTCATTTTCAACCTTTTTGTTGATTGAGAAAACAGAGATATAAATGAAGTTGGTTCAAAAGAAAGTCATGTCAAAATTAAAATGTACATACAGAACTTCAGGTTTTCTCCAGATAAGAGTAAATACTAGAAAGCCATTGTTTTAATGGTGACATTGGCTTTAGTACCCATGCAATAGCTTCATGTATAAAACAGTACAGATACAGAACTTAATAAGAAAGTAATGCTATTGAAAATAAAACCTTTTGGTGCTGTGATTAAATGATTCTCTCTAAGCCTAATCTATGAGAGAAAATCTAGCACTGCAACCCTTTATTGAATATAGCAGTATTTTATCCCAGATTTAATAGTTCAAAGTGCCTCACTTGAAATCAGCTGATGGAAAAAAATAATATCTAAAAGAAATAATTTGAGAAAAGTACAAATGACTTGAATAAACAGCTACGCCATGAGCACATGATACGCCCGTTGTCTTGTGTGTGAATTTTTATACAATAAGCATAAATAGTTTCTGACATACGGCGTGACATGCGAAAACCCCCTTTTTTTTTTACAAAAAACTCAATATCTCTAAAATAAAATTTTGAATCAAAACCAAAAAGTATACAGATCTTTAGATTAATATAACTAAGAAGTGTGTAAAATTTTAAGCAATAATCATAAATCATTTTTGAGATACGGCGCGACGTGAAAACCCCCCCTTTTTTAAAAAAAAAAAAATCAATATCTCAAAAATAAATTTTGAATCAAAACCAAAAAGTATACAGATCTTTAGATTAATATAACTAAGAAGTGTGTAAAATTTTAAGCAATAATCATAAATCGTTTTTGAGATAAAGCGCGACATGTGAAAAACCCCTCCCCCTTTTTTAACAAAATACTCAATATCTCTAAAATAAAATTTTGAATCATCACCAAAAAGTATACAGATCATAAGATTAATATAACTAAGAAGTGTGTAAAGTTTTCAGCAATAATCATAAATTGTTTTTGAGATACGGCGCGACATGTGAAAAAAAACACACACCTGTTTTAGTTACTAAGTCCTGTAACTCAAAAAGTATACAGATCGTTTGACCATCATAAGAAACAACTATGTTAAGTTTCATGAAATTTGGATAAGTCATTCTCAAGTTACGGTGCGACATGTTTACGCCGGACAGACAGACGGACAGACAGACAGACGGACGGACGCCGGACATTTGTATACCATAATACGTCCAGTCAAAAATTTGACGGGCGTATAAAAATCACATTCATAGGAAATTTTAAAAGAATTTGTGGTGTTGGAGTATGTTTAATGTCTATTAAGAGGAATATATTTTTCTGTAAAGCATTTCAACATGCACTGACACTGACACTGACACTTCTAAAATTCTGACTCATAATATGTCTGTTTTGCATTTGTGAAAATGTACATAGCCTTTATATTATATGTAATATTATTAAAAGATATCATCTTGAATCGGCTCATGGTTAATGGTATATAATATATCTGTTTTACTTATACATTTTTCTTATATATTCTCAGATAGCTGTAACCAGATGAGTAAGTATTATTTCTGCCTAAAATAGTAATTATTCCATGTAAATAAGTCAGAACTGTAAATTGATAAAAAGTAGCAAGGTAATAACTTAAATGGGCATTAGCTGTCAAATTCATGATCACCATTATGACTTAAAATGTCATATTTGATACATAACATACTAAAACGTAAATCCAAATTACAAAAAGTCCAAGAGAAAAAGTTAACAATGCATAAGACTCCTTTTAATGTATCAGCATTTCGTGTGTATTTTAGACTAGACACCATCTTATTAACCATCCAGATTACCTCCAAAGACTGCCGATAGTCAATTGACCCGACATAAATATAAGTATAAGTATAAATAGAAGGAGAAGTACATGGAGTTGTGTGATTAGTATTCCCAGGTCTATTTGATATCATGTCAGATTTAATAAATGTAAATCATTGTTTTACCTGTATATGAATGATTTTTTTGCGGGTCGAATCGGTCAAAGAAATGTTGGGGTTTTTTTTTTTATATGGTTCCCTTGTTTTATTTTTCAATGTTGACATTCTTTTCTTTTTAATATCTAAACATGTTTTACCCATTTTCGGCTAAAGGTCAAGTTACATGAATACAGATTCAGTTGAGGTTGAACTATTGATATGCAAGCCAATGCCAATAAAACATTTGCAATGTTTCATATCTTATTTTGACCAAATTGAAACAAACTGACGTCTTATAGCAAAATATTATATCAATACTCCGTTAAGACACAGCTAAGGCCCTTTAAATGTGCATGATTTATTGTTGATAGAAATTTTTTGTACAAACAAAGACAACAACTCAACAGCACAAAACATAAAAGAAGTATACAAGTTTACATACAGCCTTTGATAGACAAGTGTCTTTACCATATGTTATGCTTTTACTCACCCATAAACAAAATTGTGAAACAAAGATCTGCCAACAACACTGAATTGAGGACAAAAACACTCAGATTTAACTAAAGATAAATACAGGAATTATATGATTGTGCACAGAATTTTAATACAGACAAGAAAAGAAAATAACATACTAGATGTGCTCTAAACTGTAAACTTGGAATTAAGATTAATCAACTAAATGCAAGATACAATGATTTAATACAACATGAAAATAAAGGCCCTTAAATGACTTCCTTTTTTCATATTAATGATTTTAAGATTAGTTGTATGAAAGTTTTTTTGGAGCTTAATTGTCAAAAAGAGGCAAGGTTTGTCCTGTCTACAATGAATGTAACAGAATGCCAATAAATGCTTGAAAATGAATGCTTATAAGGTCTCAGTTGCAATGCCATTAGCTTTTTTTTTTGGCATAAAGCTTGACATTACTACATGACTCCAAATAACCCCTGTGAGACATCCTGGCTAAGGGCCTGGACTCTTATTCATGTATGTGTATATAATGTACTGAAATTCAGCAGTGAGTCTAAAACTGAATATAATCATTCAGAATCAGTGTCAGGGTAATTTCCATCCCAGAATTTGGACACTTTTATATTGATCCCTGCACCAACAGAAATTGTTATAGAATTATTTAGATTAATAACTTTAGTGAAAATTTGCAATCAGGGGTCAGTTAAAGTTTAATTTTCATCATTTTCTAATCAGTTGCAAATCTATTCAGTTTTCAAGGATTACGCCCCCTTCAAAAATCCTAGATCCACTCATGATATCTTTGGACAGATTTTATTTAAAATTAAATTGACTTAAGTCGAGAAATTTTATGTGTATCAAGTTTATTTCAGGTAAGAGAAAAATGGTTTCCTTATTTCCCCCTACAATATAAATACTTGCATGAAGCGTGATACACATAAAATTTCTCCGATTAAGTCAATTTAACTTTAAATAAAACCTATCCAGAGATATCATGAGCTATACTAGTATTTGAATATTTTGATTCTTCCATAGTAGAGTGTTTTGACGTCTTATGGCTTTTTTGTAAGGACATGTTGGGGCCATGGGGCGACAGCCTTAACAAGTCCTAAAAGGTCATCAGATGTCTGAGCAATCTTGTACTTATTCTTTCACTGCATGGAGTGTGATATAATATTTCTTCACTTAAGACAAACTTTAATAATATGACAAACAATATTTCATTATATCATTAGCTAGACAGATATTTTATTTATATTTATATTTTTATTTTATTTTTGTAGCCGCTGCTCAAGCAGTAAGTATAGTATATTTTTCAGCAATTTTAGGGCAATGTAAATATAAAGATACACACAAACTGTAAAAATGATCACCAGTACAAGATCTACAAACAAGGAAATATGACGACCTATTCATTGGCTACATTGAGGAATTATTGCCAAATGAAGATTTTTTTTATTAATTTCAAAGAAAATTCTGTATGTCGAAAAACTATATTAGATAGTCAGAAAGTCTATAAACAGTCAAAAATAACTAGCATAACAAGACTTACAAAAATGTTGATAGGACAGAAGACATCAATTGAATCAATATAAGAGTTATTGCCCTTTAATAATAATTTCTATGAACTTTATATGTTTTTGAATATTATCTTATGGGCTTTAATATAGTGATGACTACTTAGAGAAGGGCCACTTGAATTTTGGATGAGTGAGGTTGAGGTCCTGGAAGATTTTGCACTAAAATTTGATGCTGATTTTTTTTTCATAAATTACTAATGTGACTGGTACTAAAGAAAAATATAATTCATTCCCCTTGATATAACTTGAGAATGAGCTTGAAAAGCTGTTAATTCAATATTCGTATTATTTTAGTAGGGCTTCCTATATGAATTGGATTTTGAATAAAACAGCATATTCACCTGAAGAAGAGTGATATTCATCGCGCTAAATGTCACATGCTTTTACCTGTATAATAACGGTAAAATGTTTGACGTACAATTTGTTTTAGTAAATGACTATCATTAAATACATTCTTTCTCTCAGAAAATGGAATGAAGCAATAACCTCATTGAATATCAGTTTTTCAAAAGTCAATAAAACCACATATTTACCTCACCAAAAGACAGCAGTTGTATAATATTTGAGTATAATTCATTTGTTTTGGTTAAAAAAAAATTCATTGCCAAAAAATGTAAAAATAAATATCGGATTGCCATATCTTTGCCAGGTGCACGATTCAGGCTCTTAGGAGCCTCTTCTCTTAAATGGTATCATTATGATGATCACTTACTGACCATGTTCTTGGTTGACAGCAAGTTATTATTAAAACATTGTTAGCAAATTAATTATAGAATAACTAATCGAAGAATTCAAATAGAGAAAAATATTCAACGAGTGACCGAACAACACATTAATTCACGAATGCGCATAGCGCATGAGTTAATTATCAGTGTTGTTCGGTCACGAGTTGAATATTTTTCGATATTTGAATTCTTTGATAAGTTATTCTTTTTATTACATTGGCAAATGGCTTTTTTTAATGAAATTAATGTAGAAAATGTAAGGAACTATATCTTTTTTTTACGCATTCACAATTTGTTTTGATCCGACGTTATCGACGTCTTGACAACGCCTATTGTTGTATGACGTCAGAGAGTGAAATAACCACGTTTATTTCACATGTGAAATTATCGATTTTTATTTAACTGGGAAATCAATGTAATTCATTGCTACCAATGTAATAAAAGAATAAAAAAAATGTTTATTTTCAACTTTGTTTTTTCAGCTTGAGGCTGCTCAGATGGGCAGAGTTTCATGTTACTGTATGGTAAATGGTACTAGGAGAGAAATCATCAAAAGTAATCCAAAGGCATCAACTGAACAATTACTAAAGGCTGCTGGGATAGGAGCTGGAAGCACATCTGGTGCCATGGTGATAGCCTGGCTTATATATATGTTGGTGTCAAAGGTCAAAGGCAGTGCTCAAAATAAACTACCACCTACACCCAGACCAAGGAAGGTTAAACCATCCAGGAGAAGGTCTCTTGGATCAGCATTTACATGAAATAAACTGGCAACTTTTACATAATTTTGTCTGTTATTGATTTTTATAATGTACTGTGATCTATTGTTAATAATTCTGTTATTTTTTCTGTGATAAATTGTTTTGAATTTAGAATTTTTCTCTGTGATAAATTGTTATGAATTCAATTATTTTTACCATTATGATTTGTTTGAAATAAATTATTTTTCACTTTATTTGTATTGAATATTGAATACTCCAAAACACTTAACTGTTTATTTCAAACCCATATTAAAAGTGTAATTTCTGGCTTTGTCCATTTCTCAGAAATTTATACAGCAAATAAATTGTGGTGTGCCAATGCATCTAGGAGATACTGACCATATAATCCATATTTCAATACTATTTTGGACCTAATTATGTGGATTTAAGGAGATGTGGGGTATGTATCAATGAGACAGCAACCCAATGGCAAATATAACCCAAAGGCATCTATAGGGCAACATACATTCTTCAAAAATAGACAGATGATAATCTCTAAATTGTCTCGAGTTTATAAAAGATTTTTTTAGTAATAAATTTATCATTCATTTAGTAGAATCTAACAGAAACAATCAAACATCTGCCATTTAACCCAATTCTCCAAATAATGAAAACCATTAAGATATGACACACTACAAGTCTTAAGTTTAATGTCAAGTTTACTTTTAAGTTCAGGGCTTATGGTTATAAAACTTGACTCAGTCTTGGGAGTACAAAATTTGTACTTGAAATACCAAAATCTGATAATTTGATAGGTTGATTTCTGAGACAGAGTTCAATAATTGTACTCAAAATGTTTATGTCCCCAAGGCCAGATCTCAGTAACTAAGTGACCTACAATTATATGACTTGGATCCATCTTTCGGTAGTACAGCAGAAACTCTCAAAAGTAGGTCATTCTGAGTCGGTTTCTGACCTATATTTCAAACTTGATTGACTTTATTGAACGAGTTTTACATGTTTGCGTGTCTTTTTTTTTTCAGAAGTGGAGGTTGTTTGTGTGGTCTGTTGCACTTTCCAATATTTTTGGTACTAAATACTATATTTATGTATTATTACATCCGTGTTCTTTGCTCTCAGTCATAAATCTTAACTCAGTACTCAGAGTACAAATTTGTGCTCGAAACACCAAATCCAGTATTTTAATTGGTTGGTTTCTGAGTCGTGAGTGAATAATAGTCCTCGAAATATTTATGACAAGGACTGTCATGTACATTCTTTTTACTTAAAAGTAAGGATTCGTGTTGGGGAGTAAAGCAGTGTCCCACAAAAGTAAGTCACTCTCACCTCATTCAATTTAGTTTTACCTCTATAAAATTTAAATCAGGGATACTAAGTGACCTACAATCACACGAAGCCATACATGTAAATGACTTTATGATGACCTATAGATGTCGTTTAGAGCAAAGACTGGTTGGCACAGAATTAGAATAATGTGTCCAGGTACGTCCATTTTCATTAAACTAGTACACATTTTTGTTTAGGGGCCAGCTGAAGCCCAGCTCCGTGTGCCGGATTTTCTTGCTGTGTTGAAGACCCATTGGTGGCCTTTGGTCTGTTTTCTGCTCTTTGGTCGGATTGTTGTCTCTTTGACACATTCCCCATTTTCATTCTCAATTTTATGGTGATATGTCTTCTTGCAGAATGTTACCTTGTGAACTAGCACCTTAAAAGTCCAGCTCAGGATGTAGGTGTAGTACAATGCAGGATTCATATTACATTAACATTCCACTAAATTTGCCACTGGATGTTGGACAGCTATCCATCATCAACTTCCAGTTATTTGTGTCATTGGGTTGCTCTCTCATTGACATACCCAATATCTTTTCATTTTGGGTAGAAAAGTAGCATCTTATAAAAAGTTGGTCACTCTGACCTAAATTTTATACTTCTTGAACAACACTTTAAAGTGATTTTTAAGTTTGATATTTCCACATTAAAAGCTGTAACAGTATTTTCTGTAGGGCTGAGGATCATGATCGAGTATTGGGGAAATACAGTATGCATTATTGTTATTACTACTGGGACAAGGCAATATTGTAGACACCTTATCAAGAAATTGATATAGATCCTAGTTATTAAATATGTTCTTATTCTATAAACTTAAGTTACCAGTGATGTTAGTTATGTAGTAGAATTTTCAGAATATTGTGCTTTTGGGGTTTTTTTTCCCCCTATTGTGATTTTCAACAATTTGATTTTTCCAGTGTCTGTATAAACCTTTGGTAACCTGTTTACTGTTTCATACTTCCCTGCTGTGAGCAAATGATACATAAAACAGATAACAGGAATTACCAAAAAATATTAGAAAGTACAACAGACCACTCCTCTGTTATATATATAATGTACTAACAAAAACAAACAACAAATGGTACAGATAACAAGACCAGGTACAGACACAAATCTTTTTGGTGTTAAACCAGTTTGCATATCTAGACTATATTTTGTAAAAGTAAAACCCAATAAAAATTACCCACACAGTGCAGTTACCAACTGGAACAATGAAATAAATGAATACACAATTTGGAAAGCAGTGTCACAATGTGATCACCATAAGGAAGTCGGCTAAGGTAGCCATAGCTGCTGGCAGAATACAGTCAAAAACAGTTAGAAATAACAATCTAAGTTTGAGCACCAGTTAGTTTATCATCCGTTTCAAATTATTGTCTGTAGCAATAGTCTTTCTGTAGTCCATAACATACAAATCCTTGGGGATTGTTGTCTAGTAAACTTTTGTACTTGGTAAGATTATTATCATCATGTGTACTATATTGTACCAAACTTTTTTACAATTTTTGTGGGAGTCGGGGATGACTTTGACCTTTACTAATTTTTTTGTCACGCCTGTGCCAGCAAGACCAGGATGTACATGCAGTCATCAACACTGTCCTGTCATCAACATTTAGGTTCAATATGTGGTTCTAGTGTTTAGATATCAATAACTTTGTCAACCCTTCATGGAATTTCATGAAACTTGGTTAGAAGCTAAGCATGCTCCAATTTCCAAAAGTAATGGCTTTTTACAAGTTTTTAAGACTACTGTGTCATTATTTCGTGAGATACCGATTTTTGTTGATTTCATAGGTGAAGGTGAAACACAAATATTTTATAGGCTTGTGGCAAAACCACCAAATAAAATATCCACGAAAATATGAATTTTCCTCAACGAAAATGAAAATCCTTGAATACACCGTATCTACCATCTACATAAGCAGGTGGTGAGTGGTGGATCCAGAACTTTTTATAAGGGGGACCCACTACAGTTATGCTTCAGTGATTCCCTATATAATCAACCAAATTTTTCCCACAAAAGGGGAGCCCCCCCACCTGAATCCGCCCATAGTGGTGAGTGTATAGGTAGCAGGACAGAAGCTACATAAAAATTATGGAGAAAATAAATTGTAATGCCAGTATAATAAAATGCTCCGCTGGGGCGCAGCTTGATACGACCGCAGAGGTCGAACCCTGAACAGTTGGGGCAAGTATGGACACAACATTCAAGCTTGATACAGCACTGAATTTGGATTGTAATTAAATATTTGACACAGCATAGGTTTCTGACAAAGAATGAAAGTGGTCTAAGAACTTAAAAATTTTCAATTTACCTATTCATACATGTGATGGACTGTGAAACTCCGATCAGGAGATTGGGAAATTTTGGTCAGGAGATTAGGACTCAGATCAGGAGGTTTTTAATCGACATTAATTTTGTTGTAAATGTAACCGTGTGCTGTAAAAATGGTCTTTTAAAGTGTGTTTTCTTCAACTTTCCATCCAATTTATTATGTTTATAGTACCCTTGTACTTATAAAGTTTCTCCATCTTTATATTCTACATGTTCAATCTAACATTGTATTTTTCCAGTATGTTCTTTAAATTTTTTACTTCATATTCTATAAAACAATCATTGCAACCAGAACATTTGTTTAGCTATCTGCAAATAGTTTATATTTTTTTTTTTCTCTTGCAAATAGTTTTTATTTGCAAACTCAGAAAATCATTTTATCTGTAAAATTAGGGTCATAGTTATTATATAAATTTCAATTTAAGCCTTGAAAGGAAGTCTAGAATCCTCAAATAATTTTCAAATTATTATTTTTTTATTTGTCCTAAGACATTTAAAATCATTTAATAACCATCCTTTTATGATTATTTGTTCAATTTATATTTTATTTATATTCTTTTAAAAATTTTCATTATTAAAAGGAAAGTAACTTAAAACAGGATAAATCAAGGGAAGTAACCCAATAAATACACAGTTTTTGTTACACAACGGCAGTTAGCCTGAGGTAAAAATCGTTGATTACCTGTATGTTTGACACCCAAGCTGACAGGTGAAGCCATATAATTATGCATGTTAATTGATTTACAGGTAAAATATAACTTCAGGTAATGTCAGTTACACCAGATGCCTGAGATGATATGTTGGGCAGAAATTTTTCATTCATGAAAAATTTCATACACGGGATTTTTTCCTCTTCAACGGGAGGTCGGGAGGAGACCCATGAAAACGGGATTATTGTACTCCCGTCGGGAGGTTCACATGTATGCCTATTCAAACCATATCATTATTATTTGCTTTTATATATAAATCAGAAATAACCAATTTAAAATGGAAAATGTTAAAGAAAAAAAAGGAAAAAAAAATCCCCCCCCCAATTTTTTGAACCCCCTTATGATTCATCACCCCCAAACTCAATCCCAGCTTTCCCTTTGTGGTATGGTACCTTGCAGTACAATTTCAGAGAGATTCATACACTTGAACACAAGTTATTGTCTGGAAACTAGAAAAATGCTTGTTTTTTGGCCCCTTTTTGGCCCCAAATTCCTAAACGTTTAGGGCAATTACCCCCAAACTCAATTCCAGCTTTCCCTTTGTGATATGGAACCTTGCAGTACAATTTCATAAAGATCCATACACTTACACACAAGTTATTGTCCTGAAACTAGAAAAATGCATGTTTTTTTTGCCCTTTTATGGCCCCTAATTACTAAAATTTTGAGGGAAAACCCCCAAAATCAATCCCAGCCTTCCCTTTGTGATATGGAACCTTGTAGTACAATTTCATAAAGATCCATACACTTACAAACAAGTTATTGTCATGAAACTAGAAAAATGCTTGTTTTTTGCCCCTTTTTGGCCCCTAATTCCTAAAATTTGGAGGAAATTACCCCAAAAATCAATCCCAGTATTCCTTTTGTGATATGGAACCTAGTAGTACAATTTCATAAAGATCCATACACTTACAAACAAGATATTGTCATGGTCGTATAAAAATGCTTGTTTTTTGCCCCTTTTTGGCCCCCAATTCCTAAAATTTGGAGGCAATTACCCCCAAAATCAATCCCAGCATTCCCTTTGTGATATGGAACCTTGTGGTACAATGTCAGAGAGATCCATACACTTACACACAAGTTATGTCTGGAAGTTACAAAAATGCTTATTTTTGGCCCCTTTTGGCCCCTAATTCCTTAACTGTTAGTACCATAACCCCCAAAATCAATCCCCACCTTCCTTTTGTGGTATTGAACCTTATGGTAAAATTTCATTGAGATCCATTTACTTAAACTAAAGTTAGAGTGCGAAAACTAATGTGTATTCGGACGACTACGACGACGACGCCGGACGACGACGACGACGACGACGACGACGACGCCAACGTCATACCAATATACGACCACAAAAATTTTTTTGCGGTCGTATAAAAAATAAAAACAATGATAAACTAATGTTTAATGTACTATAGCACCATCTATGATCTAACAAGCCATGTATAACGATTTTGCAAAAACAAATTAGTTTAACACTCCAAATGAAGGAAAGTTAATTCGAGATCTAGTACTTCAATTTGAAATATATATAATATCACTATAACAATGAGAATTGAAGGTTTAACATGTGATAATAAAATGAAAGTAGATCATTCAAACAGTGAAGACAAAACTTAATCATAATCAAATTTAGTACATTTATGTTGCATCACAAAACTAGATATAAAATTATGCACCCCCCACCCCCCCCCCCCCCCCCCCCCCCCCACCTGACTTCAAACTTGTTATATAAAGTATGTCTTTAAAACAAATTTGAACACTCCCAATGAGAAGACACTGGTTTATGATACAAGTGTATGCTTAACCTTTCTTGGGACCAAACAAAATCAAATACGAGTCCCAGACCTTTCAAAGTAAAACTGATGAAAAAGACTAAACAAAACATAGTCTCATGGATGAAGTACAAACATGTTAGTTGTTATGCACACCAATATGTGTATTGCAAAAAAAAAAACCTGCTTAAGAAAATATACAATTTTGGATGAAGTTTATTTTATCAAAAGGGAAACAATTCTGTAAAAAATCTACATATTTTCCAATAGAAATTACATTACCTCCCCCTTTACCTTTGATTCTGGAGTTTTCTCCCTTTAATTCCTATTTCATTCAATTTTCTAGACATAAAATGTATGTGAAAGGTAAATCAAAGTTTTTACTTTTAATTGAAAAATTCTTCATTATAACAAGAGTAAAATGTAAGGGAGAAATCATGTGATCCTGTCCAAAATCAGTCTATAAAGAATCCAACAAAGTATAAAGTCCTATGATTTCTATTGACCGATAAAGAACATTCAAATATTTACTGAAAGTACTGGTAAACAAAATAAAACCTTATTTCCTATTTCACAAACGTTATTTCAAATGTACAAGTATACCTTCAATACTTATGTCAAAATCTAATAAATTAATAAATGCATTGTACATATTTACAGAGTAACAAATAGCTGTCACTTTATACAGTTGAAATATTCAAATTCATAAAATATATACTGTACAAAAATCACAACAGAAAAAATTTTGACAGCTACTTGAAGTAAACATTAAAAATAACAAACAACATGTTTTTTTATAAGTAGTTAAAAACTTTTCATGAACTTAAAAAAAAATTCGTAATTTAAAGCAGCTCTCAACTTTTCAAAACAACAGTGAATGGTAATATGATAAAGTGAATGGTCCTTATAAACAAATGTTTTAGAAAAATGCAAATTGTCTTACAGTTGATTTGAACAATTATGATCAATTATGCAAGGTAGTCTAATAAGTAAACTACACATTATTCAATATATTACATGTAAATGCAAAATAATGAGACCTTACTTCAAAAATAAATGTGTTATGTTTGATGAAAGATATGATTGCATTGATGACATTTATTTTGGCAGTGTTCACAAAAATATGCCCTATAACATTGAACATGTTTTTGGTTTACAGTTTATACAATTTTTATATATTATAAAGCTACCTTTTAAACCGGAAAAAAAAATAAAGTATTATATAATAGTGTATTTGTACAAAGAACGTTTACTTTTACACCTCATTTTAAAATATCTAAAATCTTAGATTACTTATTTGTTAGAGGTTAATTTCTATAAATATAAACCCCCAAAAAATAAGTAATCTGCAATATTTTCTATAAATAAAAGGAGATGTGAACTATATGTCAATGAGACAGTAATCCAATGACACAAAATCACAAATATATATATAAACAAAAAATCTTAAATTAATAATTATTCATTCAAAAAGCACAAAAAATAATTATAAACCAATAATATTTATTACTTTAAAAATTATTCACTGGAGAAGTACTTAAACCATAATCACAACTATTTTTAATAATATTTTTAAATGAAGATGGCAAATTCTGAAAAAAGCCTGCCAATATTCAAATAACCTGTTTACCTAAATTCGGTCCTCATTGCACAGTTGCTTGTTGTTCAGTAAGGTTTTCATGAAGTAAAGAAATTCCAGATTAATTCAGCAAAATGGTGAAAAAATTTAAATATAATTTTATTAATGGCATTATTGAGGGCATAATTGGGGCCAATTTTTTCTTCTCCATTTACGATAAAATTTTAAGTAAAATACATGTGGTCTGTAATATTAAGTGTTGAAGTTATCTCTCAACACAATATTGCACAGCCTGAAATGAAACAAAATCATTAACTTGATTCACTTTTAAATGCAAACAAAGAAAATTGTGGGTAAATTAATTACACTTAACTGTTCAATCATAATAAATTTTAAAAAGGCTAAATGCCAGCAGAAATCTAACAAAAATAAATGCATTTATCAAATGTTATAGCACCAATAGTTATAGTTCCTATGTTAAAAGGCCATCCTTTATACCTGATGATGTGATTTCAAAATAATTATCCCTGATAGTGAGAAAAAATGTGTAGGAATTGCAGTCATAATGCTTCTCAAAGGGACTTTATAGGACAAAACTAGATTCCTGGTGTTGATATAAGGGACTGGTGAACATAGAAATCAAAATGATCATTTTTATTTACTGTAAATTCAGAAATTATTGCGAGGTTTTTATTAATGCGAATAATGAATGCGACTGGGTGATAATCGCAATAATAAGAACTCTCATTCTGTATTTGATACATATAAGTGTATGCAGATTTTCCTGAAATCCCAATAAAAAAATCTCACATTTATGTCTTTCTTCAAAAATCGCAATAATAAATGCATGCAAAAATTTCTGAATTTACAGTAGTTTTGGACATTATACACTTAGTGGTAAGATCCAAGTGAAGTATGACTTTGCCTTGGGTCTCTAGGATAGTCTTGAGGTCGTCTTCCTTGATCCCATGACCTTGAAGTTTCTGGTGGATAATCTAGAATTCTTTCTCTGCTTCTTTCACGATTCATGGGATTAGATCTTTGCGGGATGTTTACATCTTGCTGATCTCGACGACTTCTTTGATCGTTGTAATTGTGTGCCATTTCTCTCGAATCAACTGGCTTTCGTGGATCAGACATTGATGTTGTTGACACTCTATCAGCTCTCAATGGCCTATCATAATTCTGCTGACCAAAGGAACTTGGTTTCTGTGGAAGAGGTGGTGGGATATTTTCATAGTTCTGATGAGAAACTGGTGGAGGTGGTGGTCTTTCCTGGTAATGGTAATTAGCAGGGGGAGGTGGAGGGCGGTTACTGTTATGATTGACAGGTGGTGGGGGCGGAGATCTGTACTGATGATGAGGTGGTAGGTTCTGTGAATGAACTGTGTGTGTTATTCCTGGTGAAATGTCAGAACTCATTGGTTCTTCATGGTAAGGACCGAGATGGCCAGTAGAACTTGAAGCAGTTGGATGGTTATGACTGTATGATGGATGGTTTTGTTGTTGTTGAGTGGATTGCTGACTATTGTAATATCTTCCTGATTGATGAGGCATGGGTGGAGATCGCACCTGTTGACGTGATAGTATAGGTTGAGAAACAGATCGCTGTTGAGATGATGAGGGCTGAGATGAAGGTTTAGTTGACTGTCGAGCTGGAATATTTTCGTACAGATTAGCTGACCCTTTTTCTGGATTCGCATCACCAAGTTTCCTCCACACAACCTAAATAAAATAACAAAAGTAGACACACTAAAATGTCTGGCCAATTGTAATTTTTAAATATTTTGATGATCAATGAATGCTATCTAAAGACCTTTTCCCAAATTAAATACATGAACAATAGTTCTAGGGAGACTAATTTCTGATGGAATAGTGCCTTACTTCTTATTTGGTTGACAAGCTTTTTATAGGCTTAACTAGAGGCTCTAAAGAGCCTGTGTCGCTCACCTTGGTCTATGTGCATATCAAACAAAGGACACAGATGGATTCATGACAAAATTGTGTTTCAGTGATGGTGATGTGTTTGTAGATCTTACTTTACTGAACATTCTTGCTCCTTACTATTATCTTTATCTATAATGAACTTGGCCCAGTAGTTACAGTGGAAAATATTATGTAAAAATTTACAAAAATTTACAAAATTTATGAAAATTGTAAAAAATTTACTATAAAGGGCAATAACTCCTTAAGGGGACAATTGACAATTTTGATCATGTTGACTTTTTTGTAGATCTTACTTTGCTGTACATTATTGCCGTTTACAGTTTATCTCTATCTATAATAATATTCAAGATAATAACCATAAGCTGCAAAATTTTCTTAAAATGACCAATTCAGGGGCAGCAACCCAACAACGTGTTGCCTGATTGGTCTGAAAATTTCAGGGCAGATAAATCTTGACCTAATGAACAATTGTATTCACGTCAGATTTGCTCTAAATGCTTTGGTTTCAGAGATATAAGCCAAAATCTACATTTTACCCCTATGTTCTATTTTTAGCCATGGCGGCCATCTTGATTGGTTGGCCGGGTCACCGGACACATTTTTTAAACTAAATACCCCAATGATGATTGTGGCCAAGTTTGGACAAATTTGGCCAAGTAGTTTCAGAGGAGAAGATTTTTGTAAAAGATTACAAAAATTTACGAAAAATGGTTAAAAATTAACTATAAAGGGCAATAACTCCTTAAGGGGTCAACTGACCATTTTGGTCAAGTTGACTTATTTGTAGATCTTACTTTGCTGAACATTATTGCTGTGTACAGTTTATCTCTATCTATAATAATATTCAAGATAATAACCAAAAACGGCAAAATTTCCTTAAAATTACCAATTCAGGGGCAGCAACCAAACAACGGAATGTCCCATTCATCTGAAAATTTCAGGGCATATAGATCTTGACCTGATAAACAATTTTACCCCAGTCAGATTTGCTCTAAATGCTTTGGTTTCAGAGATATAAGCCAAAATCTACATTTTACCCCTATGTTCTATTTTTAGCCATGGAGGCCATCTTGGTTGGTTGGCCGGGTCACTGGACACATTTTTCAAACAAGATACCCCAATGATGATTGTGGCCAAGTTTGGTTAAATTTGGCCAAGTAGTTTCAGAGGAGAAGATTTTTTTAAAAGATTACAAAAATTTACGAAAAATGGTTAAAAATTGACTATAAAGGGCAATAACTCCTTAAGGGATCAACTGACCATTTTGGTCAAGTTGACTTATTTGTAGATCTTACTTTGCTGAACATTATTGCTGTTTACAGTTTATCTCTATCTATAATAATATTCAAGATAATAACCAAAAACGGCAAAATTTCCTTAAAATTACCAATTCAGAGGCAGCAACCCAACAACGGGTTGTCCGATTCATCTGAAAATTTCAGGGCAGATAGATCTTGACCTGATAAACAATTTTACCCCCATGTCAGATTTGCTCTAAATGCTTTGGTTTCAGAGATATAAGCCAAAATCTACATTTTACCCCTATGTTCTATTTTTAGCCATGGTGGCCATCTTGGTTGGTTGGCCGGGTCACCGGACACATTTTTTAAACTAGATACTTGAATGATGATTTTGTTTAAGTTTGGGTGCATTTGGCCCAGTAGTTTCAGAGGAGAAGATTTTTGTAAAAGTTTACGGACGACGGACGTCAGGTCAGGTGAGCTAAAAAGCTAGTATCAAAGAAGAACCTGAAAACAGACTTTAGTTTTTTCTTGGTTATGCAAGAAAATGTGCACCAAAAGTAGTTTCGTCACACTTTCTTGGTTTTTTTTGTATCTATTCAGGTTACTTTGAACATTTGTTTTGTTGATACAACACCTAAATTATTAACATAACTGTTTAGGTATTCCATTAATTGAATTGGTTTATTTCTTTGTAAATGATAAAAAAAAAAAAAAGTGTATAATCAGGCATTACAGAGATTATAGCTAGTTCAACTAAAGCCATGACATAATATAAATAAACTGAGACCTGTTTAAACTATTCTGTAAAAGTTTTGTCAGTGGCGGATTCAGAAATTTTCATAAGGGGGGGCCCACTGACTGCCAAAGAGGGGGCCCCGCTCCAGTCATGCTTCAGTGATTCCCTAAATAATCAACCAACCTCAACCAAATTTTTCCCACAAAAGGGGGGGCCAGGCCCCCTGCACCTCCCCTAAATCCACCTCTGGTTGTACATAAAGTACATTTTCCTGACGTTTTATTAGTTTAATTTCTATATATTTTTTTAAATTCTAATATTACGAAATCATGTGTTTAATGCATTATGAAATTAAATTAAATAGGACATAAGTTCAGAATCTTTCATTTTGTTCATGATTTCTATCCCAATAAGAATTTGTAAACATTGGCAAGAAAAGAATATTGTAAATTTCGAAATTGATAAATGTTTTTGTTAATGCGAAAAATGCAACAGAATGAATATCTCAATAATTGAAATGCAAATTTTTTATAGTATTATTGCGAACCAATGAAACTTTTCCACAAAGTCATCTCCAATTGGTCAATTTATTTAAACATTTGTCAGATTTGTTGTCCCATTGAATAAATACAACTGATTGATACTGGTCAATTGAAATTTTCAAGGTAATCTCTTTTATTAATTCCAGTAAAACGATGGTCAATTGAAGAAAATTGCATGATCAGAAAAAAATTTAATCTACTGACATACATTAAGAAAGCTGTCATGTTATATTGCATGACATAAACTCATTTACCATATCCAATTTCATTTAATGGCTTGTTTTCAACAAGTTAGCCAACTTTATCAATGCTACCATTGTATAAAAGTGTGACAGTAGTGAAACTTTTAGTTTGTCCTGTGTCTTTTATCACAATGAAGCTGACATACTTCACCTATAAACTGATGCTATTGGTGTTTGCAGAAATGGTTATGGGATCTTGTGACACAAAATTAGGTAATATAATTGTACTATTTGTTAATTTATAGGATAACTTACCAAAAAAAATTTTTTTAAGAAACTAGTTACTTGGACTAAAGCTATTGCTTGGAATATTTTAAAATAAAGAGGAGCAAAAAACCGTTTAGTGTGTCAAAGAGAATATTTTAAGCATACATTATACATGTCCAATTGTGAACTTCCAAAAAAGATTTTAATTATATTGTTTATATTCATACATTTTATGACTGTATTATGATACTTTTAATGCCCCCTCCATAGCGGAAGGGGCATTAAGTGTTACCCTTGTCCGTCCGTCCCGTCCATACATCCCTAAAATTGGTTTCCATTCTCTAACTTTAGTTTGCCTCAAACAAATGTTATAAAACTTAAACACAATGCTTATTACCACAAAAACAGATCAAGTTTGAATTTTGGTGGCGTCACTTTAATCGTTCTAGAGTAATGCCCCTTTATAAATGGAAAAATTGCAAAATTTTTAGTTTCCGTTCTCTAACTTAAGTTTGCCTCAACCAAATGTTATGAAACTTATACACAATGATAATTACCACAAAACACAGATCATGTTTGAAATTGGGTGGCATCACTTTTGACTGTTCTGGAGTAATGCTCCTTTAAAATGGAAAAATTGCTAAATCTGTCGTTTCTGTTCTCTAACTTTAGTTTGCCTCAACCAAATGTTATGAAACTTAAACACAATGCTTATAATCACAAAACGGTCTTAACTACATGAATCCTGCATCTGTATGTTGAAGTTGACTCATGCATATTTACAAGGGGGGCATCTGTGGCCCATTTACACATTCTCCATTTATTTTATTTTCAGAGTGTTCTCTCCTAAGTGATCTCCTTGAAATGGCAATGAAGCAAAAAAGTCCAGGTAAGTTTCATATCTAATTTCTTAAATAATTTTTTTTCACTTAACCTTGTTACTCAAAATGTGGAAGAACCTCTGATCAAAACAAACTGTTAATAATCGTTTGATGGGTTGTCTTTTAATTATAGTTACACAAAATATCCACGGTGTCTGCATTGAAAAATTGAATATACACCAATATCAAGTTGTTTATCATGAACGAGTTACACAAATTGACCCAGGGTCAGTCTGCCTAAACTATGTCATCGAACAATTGGTTCTTACTGTGACGTAATAACATACGCATTGTGACATGAGAAATTTACAGGAAAGTGCACAATAAAACTCATCTATTAGATGGTGGTTGTAATTGCTATCATTGAGACATTTAACATGAAAATTATTTCCATTAACTGTTTTGTTACACTTTTTGTTTTATCAATGCACATTTTCTATCTTTATCCTCTCTATTTTGTTTTTGATATTAACACTCCCCCTTTTACAATTAACAGCTGTAACTTGACAACATTGACACTTTCTCTTGACACATAGAAATAGAAAGACTACGTTGACAATAACATACACTACAATATTTTTTTACAAAGGATTTTAATTTAAGCAATTTTTCAATTTTTCAATAAAGTAATAGTCATTTTATTTTTTCTTAAATTCATTTTAGGTAACGGTTGTCAATGTCCCAGTAGAAAAAATATTCCAGCCTTTTCATCTGTTCTGACAAAAAGTCAATCCCTTGGAGCCAAAGATGTTATTAAGTTTGACAAAGTTGTCACCAATAATGGAAATGGTTATAACCCAATCACTGGTATTTTTACTGCACCTATTGCTGGAGTTTATCAGTTTTCCTATACAGTCATGAGTGACACAGGAAAATACCTGGCAGTCTATCTTTCTCATAATAACAAGAAACAACAAAGTATATGGCTGAAAGATACAACTCATGACACAGGATCGAACAATATCATATTAAATCTGCAGAAAGGAGACAAAGTTAAAGTAAAGTCCCATGGCAATTATACTATTTACAGTGATGGTAATTTGTATAGCTCTTTTTCTGGCTACCTTATTGGACAATAAAAATAAATGCTACTGTCATTATATATTGTGAAATAAAAAAATTGATTTAATTACAGCTGAAAGTGTTTCCATGAAAAATATTATAGAATTAGAGTCAAATCTATGTATTTATAAAATATTTGGATAGTTAATAAACATGTCATTGATATGTATCAACATATAGAAACTGTACTGCTCATTTTCTAAGTGTGCTCACTGTTAGAGACAAGAGAATGTATTGTAATAGACTTGTATAGCTCATTTTCTCATTGCACAATGAAAGATATCCAGTTATATATTTTGAATTAAAAATGAAGGTTTAACTTATTATAATAGTTCATTTTCATCAAGAGTTTAAATGCCTTGCTTGAAAACTTTGTTAAGATGTTTGCTCAGACATTGTAATTAAGATTGACACCTAAATTCAATGGGTAGGGCGGAGTAACAGTCTGTTTACTATATACAAAGATTTGATTTAAAAAAAAAACAAGTACTGTATCTTAAATTTAAAAAAAAAATAATACATACATTGCACATCTCTCTGACTATTGCTTTTTCTGTATCATCAAGGTTTTCCCCACCAACGTCCACTTTGGGTCTCTCGAGATTCTCATGAACCTCTAACACCTGTTAACAAAATTGTGATTGATTACAGACTGGACGGTCAGTGCTTTTAAAATTAACATATCATTATTATTAAAAATGAAGATTAGCCTATTGTTAGCTGGACTGTGCAGGGTTTTTTTATTGTGTCTTTAACTTTTAGGACAAATTTTCTAGATTGGCAAAAAGGAGGTTTTTGACCATGTAAAACTGGGGTGCATACAACACTTTGTGCCTGTACCAAGTTCTTTGTTATTTAGTCTTTGTGGTCAGTTTGGTCTGTAGTACTGTGCCCTTCTTTTAGTGTGTCCTTTCAACTTTTTTATGCATACCAGGAAAAACAGGATATTTAAGGAATGACTGTAATGTTTTTTCTGTCTATGAAGAAATAACTTCAAAAATGTGGTGCACACTGAATAACCCGTGTAGTGGGTTATTTAAAAGTGTGCACCACATTTTTTATGTTATTTCGAATAGACAGAACAAATATTACAGTCATTCCTTATTATTTAATTCTAAAAAAGGAGTAAATAATGATAAAAAATTTGATGACGTCACGGTCACATGACAAAATTATGTCTATGAGCTGATAGACAAAACACTTTCAGCCAATCAGAAGACGTGTTACATCCAAAATTAAATTATTAGGGGGTATACATGAAGATATTCCCTAGCTATTTAGGTAGCTAATCCTTTGAAAAGGAAACAGCACTTTTAGTCTTAATGTTGTTCTTCTGCAGCTACTTGAAGGTCTTCATCGATGAGCTTAACACATGTACTTTACATAAACACCAAAACATACCTTGTCTGTTGTTAAGCAAGTGAGTGTGTTGCCATAAAAATGTAGCACCATACAATCAACAATAAAAAAAATCAAATTTATCTTCTTTTGTTCGAAGTTCATGTGATACAGTTTTTCTGATTCTTTGGTTTAAAAAAAACATTTAATTGAACTGCCATTTATAAGCAGAATCTCTGTACATAATTTCAAGTAGATTTACAAGTTTTTTGGTCATTACAAATCTATAGACATGAATCAAACAGTTATCATACCAAGTTTAAAACTTTACGTTAAACAAACCTTCATTGCATGAACAACAGCTTCAGGTTTTGATGGACTTGTATTATCTCCCCTTGGTGTAGGTGTGGCTGACTTCCTGCCACTGTAATTGTCATCATTATTACCAACTGGAGCAGATCTCTGAATAAATAAAATGTAATCATTTACAGAGAAAAAGTTTTTCAATTGAAAAAAAAAAGAAAGATCATGTAATCTTGCAATAGGCCATTTTTTCATGTAGAAAGATACATTAAAAATAATTAAAATCACACAAATTCAACACAAGTCAAAGTCAAAATAAAATAATTAGTTGCACTCATTATTATTATCTGATGCAAAAATATAATGGCAAATGTTTCTGGTCATTCCTTAAGGCTGTTATGTGTATATGTTTGTTTTTACACACAAAGTGTGTTTTATATTCGATCAAGACTAAAGCTGTGATATCTTTTAAACATGTGAGACATTCAACATCTTTTAGCAATTTTCCATTAGCCTAAGTGTTTACCAAATAAAATACTACATTACACACATTCAAAAATATACCCCTATCTTGAATGTTGACTTATGTTAAACATAACTTTCTACAATGTACTGCTGGTTTAAATGTACTTACATTTTCTAACTTTTGTCTTGGACCCTTCCGGTCTACTGGAGGTCTGTACCCATCTGCTGCATTGCGTTCAGATTTCTAAAACAAGAGATTATCTAATTACTTTATACATTGAGATTATATATCATATCAAACTGACAAAACATTTATCTACAAAATGGGATACAACTCTGTTTTTTTTTTCTCTTAATATATTACATTTGGTTTACAAATATTTTACTTGTGTTTCAGTTTTATTTTCCATACTCTTCATGGGGTAACCATCCTGTAACTTTTTCTGTTGCACTGCTGATGCTATTGGAGATTATTCATTGATGTTAATCATCCATAGTATTATTAAGCTTTTATTGTTATTTGCACCATATAATGTCATTAAATATTATTGGGCAGCCTGCATTTATCATATTTATCTTATAAAAAATTACTCTCAAGAACGGTATAAGTGACGCCACCCAATTTCAAACTTGATCTGTATTATGTGGTAATAAGCATTGTGTATAAGTTTCATAACATTTGGTTGAGGCAAACTAAAGTTAGAGAACGGAAACGAAAAATTCAGCAATTTTTATGTTTATAAAGGGGGCATAACTCAAGAACGGTTAAGAGACGCCACCCATTTTCAAACTCGATCTGTGTTTTGTGGTAATAAGCATTGTGTATAAGTTTCATAACATTTGGTTGAGGCAAACTAAAGTTAGAGAATGGAAACCAGCTTTGGGACGTACGTACTGACGGACATACGTACGGATGTACAGACGGACAAGGGTAAAACTTAATGCCCCCTTTGCTGCGGCGGGGGCATAAAAAGGTCCAATTCCTAATAAACCTTCGCCTAAATTATTGAAAGCCATCACTTTGTATTATGCAATTTTGTAAAGGTGTATTGTGTTCACTCAGCTAACAGGTATATAAGATGGTGTTCACTCAGCTAACAGGTATATAAGATGGTGTTCACTCAGCTAACAGGTATATAAGATGGTGTTCACTCAGCTAACAGGTATATAAGATGGTGTTCACTCAGCTAACAGGTATATAAGATGGTGTTCACTCAGCTAACAGGTATATAAGATGGTGTTCACTCAGCTAACAGGTATATAAGATGGTGTTCACTCAGCTAACAGGTATATAAGATGGTGTTCACTCAGCTAACAGGTATATAAGATGGTGTTCACTCAGCTAACAGGTATATAAGATGGTGTTCACTCAGCTAACAGGTATATAAGATGGTGTTCACTCAGCTAACAGGTATATAAGATGGTGTACCTATATCTTACTATAAAGAAATATACCTTGCATACAAATACATCGATTCCTTTTTTGTAAATGAACCCATTATCTTGTAAATTTCATTTGTATAAAACTAACCTGTGCCAACTGTTTCTTTTCTTCTTCAAGATTTCTAACTTGCTCTTCCAGCTGTTGGATATACTGTCTGGTATTGTCTAAACATATAAATACATTAAATATCACTACAAAAACTTTATATGAAATATTATAATTATAATAATAAATAGAAAACAAAAAATTAAACAGCAGATTAGACTTAACTACCTGTGCAGATAATATAATGGAGTTAGGATTTGCTACTATATACATGTATATATAAATTAAAGGTAGTGCCCAAATAATTATTATGTTTTGTAGTCATCTCAGTAACACCTGCTACAATATGTAGTGACTGGCCACAATTTATCATATGTATTTGGATTGACAACATATTTTCAATCATATTTATGAAATAACCATGGCCTGCCACCATGAAAAATAGTGGAAAGGATTAACTTATCAATCCAACAATGAGAAATCCTAAATCCACTAGTATACATTTAAGTGCAGTGTTTATTTTTTCTGTTCTATTTCTTTTCAAATCTAAACATTATTTGAATGTTTAAAATTAACAAATCATGATCTATCAGTAATAAAAAACAACATTTAAAATTTTGGGCGAGTGTCAGGTTTTTAGATATAACTTTTGAAGTTTTTGTGGGTTTTTATCTTTCTTAAAACTGTTGACTAAATTTCAGTGTGATGGGGCAATTATTTATATCTATTGTGGAAAAAGTAATTGTATAAACAAACCCTGATTTGGTCTTTGTTCTGTAGGTGTTGGTACATCTGACCCTGTACCATTCATAATCACACCATTATCTTCCAGTCCGGCAGTTGTACTATTACTACTACCATCCCCGTCATCTCTTAAGTTTGAGTTATATCGCATTCTCTCTTGGTCTAAATATAAACATAGCTCTTTCAATTCAGAATTTTCTGACACCAACTCTTCCTGTTTACTTTCTAGATCTGCCAGTTTTTGCTGATAAGTAGAAACTTCACTTCTCATCACACTTGATGTGTATCGTCCAAATCTCTGCCATTCTCTAGCAAGTTTACGACTTCGTTGGCGGTCATCATCAAGAAAACAACACAAGTCCCGCAACTCTTGGTTGTCATCCTGTAACTTTTGATTTATGTCTTTCAAACCTCTGATTTCTAGCATATATATCTGCAAACGTCTATTCACATCTTTTATTATGCAACTGTGTTCAGCAACTAAAGATCTACTTTCAGATTCTAATCTGCGAATAATTCTAACAAGTTCATCTGACTTTTTCCCTCTTAATTCATCATCCTCAACTTTAGAAAGGGCAACAAGTGAACTGCTAGGTGAAAGAGTCTTGTAAGGTGCTAAACCTGGAGAAAGTGACATGTTAGTGGATACAGATGTACTCCGATTACTAGATCCACTAGTGGCAGACGGCAATGAAGAAACACTCATTCTGATGATTTCACTGTTATCAATTTATGTATATATATAACACAAGAAAATTTTATTGCATCAACATAAATGCCAAGGTAAATCTCTACACAATAAAAGAATCAGCACATAATACAGAAAGGTGTGATTAAGCTGTAAATCAATTATAACCTATAATGTTTTCTCACTTATTTATTGTCTATATTGCTCCAGGTGTTTATTTAATGTTGTCGTCATGTGGTGTCAGATGACCTAATTGTTGATCTTTGAACATTTCTTCCTTAAAAAATATTATAAACTTGTCTGCATAATTTGTACATCTTTTGTCCACAGGATAAATAAGAAATTTGTTCCCCTCAGAACTGTTCAGAATATCTGAAATAAAAAAAAATGAATTGTTTTATCATTTGGGTACATTGCATAAATTTATACATGTACTTGGGATTTCTTCCAAAAATTCTAAAGCAGTATTTTATAAAAGCTCATCCTACAATCTCAAAAGTGTTAAAAACTAAAGCCTTTTTTCAGTATGAAAAATAACTTTGTCAGGCAATAAATAGACTGCTGAAAAGCATGTACATGTTTACATGACAATGATGTGTTATTATGTTAATGACTCATCTGGATGAATTAAAATAAATTTTAACTCTTCTGTTAAAGGAAAAGGTCTGCTAAGGGCTAATTTTGGCCTTAAATTTGAAGTACATCTGATGAAAGATTTTTGACATTTTTTAAGCACTTAAATGTCTACTTCAGTCGATTCAATTAGTTCATGCAAAGGATTTAAACTGATTTGGTCTTTAAAGAGGCATAGATATGAAAAATACAGTTAAAAATCAATCAAATATGCCATAAAACATCACTTTTCGGTTGGTTTTTGTCTAAACTGTAAGTGGCCGCATTCGTATTAACTCTACCTTTATATATGATAATGTTATGTATTATCATCAATCACAACATATATCTAAATATTAAGATTGAACCAAAGTGCGGCCACTTCCATTTAAGACAAAAACCGTCTAAAGATTTGCACAAATGCTAAAATTGTGAAGATTTCAGTAATTTTTCATGAATCAATAATGCTAGTACCTGGTGCATGTGCATTGTATTGTCAAATAAATGGGGAATGTGTCCATGGGACACAGATGATGCCCCCGCTTGCATATCATATAAAGTTATAAAGGGACGCTACCCAAATTTGTACTTGATCTAAGTTTTGTGGTAATAAGTATTGTGTATAAGTTTCATAACATTTGGTTGAGGCAAACTTAAGTTAGAGAACGCAAACGAAAAATCCAGCAATTTTTCCATTTGTAAAGGGGCATTACTCTAGAACAGTAAAAGTGACACCACCAAAATTCAAACTTGATCTGTATTTTGTGGTAATAAGTATGTGTTTAAGTTTCATAACATTTGGTTGAGGCAAACTAAAGTTAGAGAACGGTACAAAAAATTCAGCAATTTTTCCATTTGTAAAGGGCATAACTCTAGAACGGTTAAAGTGACCCCACTAAAATTCAATCTTGATCTGTGTTTTGTGGTAATAAGCATTGTGTATAAGTTTCATAACATTTGGTTGAAGCAAACTAAAGTTAGAGAATGGAAACCTACTTTGGGACATACGGATGGACGGACAAGGGTAAAACTTAATACTCCCTCTGCTACGACTGGGGCATAAAAACAGTCCATATTTATTTAACAAAAGTATTCTACTTTCCAATAAATAGCTAAAAGTTTATATTTGTTAAGCTGAATAAGTTCTGGGTATCAAAAGACCAGGGATTTAGCCAGTATATGACTTCCTATCTTTAGGTGTTTTTTTTTTAATTTCAGTACAGTTTCACACTTATGACAAAATAATATACAAATGAATATACACAGGACACTGATTAACATGATTGACTGTATATCCCAGGAGCAAAGTAAATAAAATATTAAAATTGTGTACAAAAAGAGGTAACACCTAGTTCTAGATTTGCCCCCTTGTTACTTCATCCAGTTTTAGTTAATATGTGGTTTTAAGCAAGAGAGCATTTTCCAGCCACTTTTTCATGTATTTGATATTTTTTTAATTTTTAACATCTTGTAACTTTAATAAATTAATACCTGTGATAAGGATGCATCCCAATTTGCTTTACCTGTCAATTGCAAGTTATTGCCTTTATCTAGATCTGCTTTGTTGGAATGTTTCAGAGAGTTGATTGCTCTTGTTGGTTAAGACCCTTCAGTTTATTCTTTTCATTTGTTAAGACAAGGCGGAGCTACGTTAGCCACAAAGGCTGGAATTCCTGGGAGTTTATTGAAACATCATGGAGACTGGTTATCTGACAGTTTTTAGACTAACATCAAATAAGCCAGTGTTGATATGTATGGTTGTAGGGTATGTGTGTGTGTGTATTTTTGTTTTATTTTTGTTTCCCCCCGTTTGGCGACTTCGTTTGGGTTCAGGTGCTTCATATTAACATTTTGTTCATTGTAGTTTATTGATACCATGTTTGGTATAACTATATATGATTGCATTATTATAATAATAATATTGTAAAAACAACCTCAAATTAAGCAAACCATATTAAACAGTAGTTTATTATTTTTAGCCTGCAGCCTTAATTTTGTGACATCATACAGGTAACATTATACTTAAAACTTTCATAAAATGTGCACTTATCAACAATAGTCCTTGACAAACACAGTATATAATTATTAATCATCAAATCACCTTTTTTTTTATTCAAAAACTTGATGAATTATTAGATGTTTTTTAGATGTTTATAATATCAAAATATTTTTATTTTCATAAATAAAAATTCAGAAATTTTTAAATGAAATATTGTTTTAAATTGATTTGATGATTAATTATTATATGTTACTTATGTATGATTATTGTTAATATGGTGTTTACAGCTACACTTGGTGTTATTCTGTTTATTTACAATATGCATATTAGTTTTTTCGTGATATCTTAACGTAAATATTTTCACATATGTCTGAAGTTTTAGATAAATGTAAATATTTTTTACTAAACATTTTTATATATTTTTTCTTTCGTTTTATTCATCATGTTGAAAATACTCTTAAATCGTAGTTATTAGTTTTAAATATAGTATTTCAAAGTATTGTTGGATTTTTAAGAACATGTATATATTTTGTGCAATGTGTCTCATTAGCTAAATTGAAATGGCTGGACATTGATTTTTCTATGTATGTCTTAATGTTATTGTATAATATGTATGTCAATCAATATGTGACACAATAATAAAATAGATTATTATTATTTTTTATTATGTTATTGTTATGTGTTTGAAAATTGTGATTGTTGTTTTAACTAGTTTGATGTAAATTCTGCATGAAGTTAGCATGTATTTAGCTTTGTATGAGTAAAAACAATGAAGATTGAGTTTAATAATGGTTTGGTATCTTAACATTAAAAAAATATTCAACACAAAAAATTTTTTTAGAAAGTCACTTTATTTTGAAACAATGAAAAAAAAAATATAGCAATACACTAACCGAAACACAATTAAAAAAATATTCAACACAAAAAACGTCACTTTATTTTGAAACAATGTAAAAAAACTTATTTATAGCAATACAATAACCAAAACATGATTAAAACATTATTCAAAACAAAAATCATTTTTAGAAAGTCACTTCATTTTGAAACAACCAACAAAAAAATATTTATAGCAATACACTAACCTAAAAACGATTGAAAAATTATTTAACACAAAACCAATAAAAAGGGTGCGAACGGGTTTTGGGGCGAATGGACTCAGATTCATCATCCAGCCATTTTGCCCAACTTTTTGGATTATTTATTTTTATCCCTTATTTTAACTTTAAAGTTGGGTCTCGCTAATTAGCGACAAGAAGCGTCACGAAGTGACAAGAAGAAACAAATTAGCGACAAGAAGTATAATTTAGTGACAAGAAAACAAATTTAGCATAAAAAATCTAAATACTAATTATTTTAAATAAATAAATATTGAAACATACATTAAATTGTCTTTTTTTAACATTCGAGAAACAAGAGAATAAACTTTGTATTCTTTTATTATCAAGGATATGTTTAAGATAGTATACCTTCAGTTTACAGCATAGTGTATAGATGAATGAATCAATATGTATGTAGAGTCGGCATGGTTAATATATCAAAGATTCAAAATCAAATTGTAATATAATATAATTTTGATTACTTCAGACTCAAAAGGTCAAAATATATATATATATAAAAACATGACTCATTTTTTTTCTGTCTTAATAGGATAAAGGTTCAAATATTTACATTATTAATAAAAAACAAAAGGTATGTACACGAATGTTTGGATAAAAAAGGGGGTCAATTTTTTTATTTTTTTTATTTTTAAATGCCATTTTTCTCTATTTTTTATGGACCCTAGAATAATCAGATGATTTATATTTATAAATCTATTGTTAATTAATAGTATTTTTTCCTTATCGCTTCTTGTCGCTAATTAGTGAGACCGTTAAAGTTCAGTGTGTCCAAAATCAAGAAAAACAATACTGATTACACACAGACTTGGGGCAATTGAAAAATGTAATTGTAATTGCTGGTAATTCATTACATTTTTTTTTTAAGTTATTGAATGTAATTTGTAAAAGTAATTGACAACATTTTCAATTACAAGACATTGTAACCACAATCATTTCACATTTGATTTTTTAATAAGTATTCTTCATGATCATGATGATTCAGATAAAATAAAGAAAAGATCATAGAGGGGTTAGTGTATTCGGTCCGAGTTGTATTGTTTTTAAAGGTATCCTTTACCATTGTTTTCTGTGGTCAAAGTTTTTTTAGTTTTAATAGAAATTGTGGTGAGTTGCTGTCGTACTGTAAACTTCTTCGCGCATGATGACAAACTTATCAAACAAAATATTTGATTTGTAACTGTGTCAGCCTCAGTCATTGCATTTACTTCGCATATTACGAAATTAGATTTTTTTTGGTGTTTACCTGAATTTATCAATGGCGGATATGCACCTATTACATCCGGTTTACCTGCTGATACACATAATCACCAACTGCTTCTTCCATACAATAGTAAACCATAAAGGACCGTGATGTAAATGGTATGGAGTTTCCGATTTTCCTGTTTGTTAATTCAAGGAGATATATGAATACTTTTAATAACAGTGTAAACTATTAGTACAGAGCTTTACATTTCTTAAGACAGATTCAAGGTCCGCCTGAAAATGGTTCACGTGACCTCAACCTCATTTCATGGATCCGCAGTGTCTGTCACTGAGTGGCAGTGATCAACGTTAAGTTGTCGTGATACGGTACGTTACGAAGATACCATAAGCAATATGTCAACTTTATTTGGTGTATGAAATTATTGTAAGGTGTTCATATCCTTCTGATATGGTTTGTCAATCATCTGACCTTAACCTTATCTCATTTAAGCCGATTGAAAAAAGTAAAATAACAAAAATACTCGGAACTCCAGGCAAAATTCAGAACGGAAAGTCCCTTATCAACTGGCAAAAGCTCACACACATCAAACGAAAGGAAAACAACTGTTATATTCCTTACTTGGTACAGGCATTTCCTTATACATGTAGAAAATGGTGGATTAAACTTTGACCTGGTTTTATAGCTAGCTAAACCTCTCACTTGTCTTCTTTTTGCAATTTCATACAAAATGTGCTTCGTTCAACACTTTTATAACCCTTTGAAATGGCAAAAACCCCACTCAGTTCTTATAATTACGTGTTATGCCTCAACCATGAAATTACGTGCTATAACATTTTTTTCCCTCTGCAATGTCACGGGAAGCACGTGCTGAATATTGAATTTTTATTGGAATAAAATCTAATTTGTATATTTCTCTTGGTATTCTGAAACATACATGTTATGCAATTATTAATCAATGATCCTATCAGCCTTGACTTAGTATAGAAAGTCCGTGACTTAGTTGACGTCATTGATTAGGTCTGTTTCTCGGCACTGTGGGTTCTTTATTTGGAAATGTCTTCTGTTTCTAAAGATAAAACGTAAAAAGCGAAACATGTGAATGGACGTTGTATAGCAGCACGAAGATTTTGCACAGATCACAGATCCAAATACGGAGAGTTTCTAAGTCTTTATTTGCACTTGCATCCACACAATTTAATATTATAGGTCACTATACCTTGTTTTAACTAATAACTTCAGGCATTTTTGTAAATTGCACGGTGTTTCCAGCTAACTTTTCTTGCAGGCCTTGCCGGACGGCCATTTAATTTCCAGCGCCATATTTGAATTTTGACAAAATAAAATTTTATATTTTCAGACAGTAAGTCTAAGTCTTTTTGTGACTTATAAATAATTAAAATAAATAATTCAGACATCTTTATAATCATTTCGAACAGTTAAATAATTTTTTTCCATTCTAGTTAAGTTTAAATTTTTGACCACATAGTCTGTAGTCTAGACCCCCCCCCCTCTCTTATTTTATTTTCTTGCTACATCTATTTATTGCATATATATATAGTTTAATCAAACCTTTAAACACACTGTACTTGTGTTTCAACCAATATCCTGTGTTTGAAAGATAAAAGAAAATTTAGTCCTCTGTTCCCACAAAGACTGATATATGTCTGAGACTAAAGTTGTAAAGTCAAGCAGATACTTCAGAGTAAATAAGAGAGATATTCAGGATAAAACAGCCCAAAGCCAACCCATAATTATATCTGATAGTAAAGGCAACTACATAAAGAGAGCCATTACAACTGAAGACTTCCTAAATATAAAATTTATCACAAAAAAAGGACAAAAAGTACAGCAAACTATTGATTGGGCCGAAAAAGAATTACCATCTATCTGTCATCAACACAAAAACATCACATTTTATATTTGGCTAGGAACCTGTAATTTAACCGAACTTAACAAAACTACCAGATACATCTCTCTTGTGAACCAAAACGATTCAAACGTCCGATATCTAAGAAGAAAATTTATTGAACTTAAGGCTGTCATCACCAAAATAAAACCAAAATCAGAAATCATCTTCTTAGAAGTACCGCCATACTCCATTCAGTGCAGGAACAGATCACAAGGCCACAAAAACCCGGACATTTTCAGTGAAGACGATCAAACACTTCAAAACCAGTTATATCAATTAAACACCTTCATCCAAGAAATAAACCAATCTGCAGAAAAATCACCAAAATTTGATCTAGACATTCGAAAAAAATCTAAAAGAAAAGGCGGTACTGACGAATACTAAAAATTTAATCTATACAAAACTGACGGTGTACATCCAAACTCTTTATTAGCAAAGCTCTGGATGAGAAGAATAGCGACCAAAATTCTCCACCAATGTTATAGATAAATATATATCATCAATACAGTAGAATAGAATACTATATACATATATATATAAACTTTATAACAACCATATTTAATTGCATTCATATATAGAAATATAACAGCTTTTATATAACCCTAGTCCATAGTGTATAACTAACAAATATAGAGATATATATCTACATACTCATTAAACCCTGACATCAGAAGATATAATAGTTAACTGGAAAATTCTTATTTGAGCAATCTTTTAGTGTGGACGCCCCGCTGAATGCACATTAATCTACATAGAACTTCCTCGTTAAAAAATAAATAAATATCTAAAGTGAAAAATGAGTATCCAGACTAGAACATCAGCAAGAACCAAGAGCAAACCTCAGCCCTATACACCAGCTAAATATGAAAACTTTAGTATCAATAAAACCAGGGCCTTGGACAAAAAGCTAGAAGCATGTAATAGAACAATGGACATACAAATTGAGCAGAAACATCAAAACTACATCCTAGAGCTATCAGCAGCTGCTTATGAAATTATAAAGGGGGAAATAGACATATACTTTGAACAACACTCTACATACAAGCTCTTGCCAAAACACCAGCATGATAATCAAGGGCTATGCATCAGAACATCACATTTGGTCAGAAATAGAAGTAGTAACAGACAACTCTATCGTATCAATTTATTCCATACTACATCAAAGGTAGAGGTTAATGGCCAAGGTATGGAACACTTCCTGACACACATTGAAGATATAAAAGAAAGAATGAAATCAAGAGGGAACTATAAGATATATAACAAACAGATAGAGGAACAGATAAACATAATCAAGAGAAATGAAGCCGATATAGAAATAAGAGCAAAACAGAATGAGTCGCTTGTAAAAACAACAGCTCATCAGCCTAAAACCAACCACAGTAATAGAATACTAGTATCCAAAGGGGCAGAATGTATACAAAATACTGACGAAGAACTTCTAAGTAACTGGAATAGAGCCATTGAATGGTGAGAAGATGAACCAACACCAAGTCCGGACACAAGTGCAGTCAGCATGTCTACTATACATAACTACTGTGCCACATGCAATCAGACAGCACAACCAGAAATATCCATGGACTGTATTGCATGCGGCCAACTGTTTCATTATACATGTGAAAACATTGATCCTGTAAGGATAAGCCAAACTGAAGAAGAACAGTATTCATGTAGGAGCTGCTCTATTATGGACATGGACATGGTTAATATATCAATGAAAAGCAATAATTCAATTATAGATACAGAAGAAACAATACCAAAAGTAAGTCTAGAAGAACAAGGCTCGACAAAGGAATATAGTGAAATGGCCCATATAGTTAAAAACGTGCCAGACAATACATCTAAAGACTGTCCAACTAGAAATGATGTTACGAAGGAAGAAGCAGGAAATGCAAACACAGAAGAATTAGAAATGAACAAAATGGCTACATACAAACAGCCTAACCAAATATTACAGAATGGCAGAAATGAACAAATAGAAAATGTAGATGAGCCAAAAAACATGAAAGCAAAACCGAAAAGGCAATATAAGTGCAAAAATATAAATGAAACTACTCAACAGCTGGAAGATCAATTAGCACAATGCAGAGCAAGACTAGTCATAATGGAAGATACCAATAGAGACTATGGAAATACAATCAATTTACTTAGGATGCAAACAGAAGAAAGCACCATTGACAAAAGTAATTTAAAATCCTATCAACCAAATTGTAACTGTAGCAACAACTCGCAGGAACAGACTATAAACAAAGTGGATATGATGCTGAACAACTTCAGGCTAGAAATGGAAAATAGAGACCTAAGAATTAAACATCAAATGGAAATGAATGAATTAAGAAATAAACTGCAAATAATGGAACTACAGAAAGAACTAAGAATGTGGCAAAGACCAGGAAGTCATGAATATTATCCTTATAACCAGAATATGGATAATACTAGGAACACAAACCAACACCAAATGAGTGATCAGCATACTGGCGTACAGCTAACAAATCAGCAATCCAGGATTCCTAATCAAGCCAATCCACTATTCATGAATCATTTGGCACCTCCACACTATAGCCAGATACCAACAGAGCAGAGCAGAATAAATCATGGCCATATACAAGCGCCAATGTACCACAATAGCAGAATACATGCTATACCTGCAAACGGCCAAAGCAGCCACTATTACACTGGCTATAGAGGTATACCAACTGGCAGTATCAACACTAACATGATACAAAATGCACATTTATACAAACAGCAATATAGGATAGCTCCACAACCTATACCACAAAATATAAATTACCACCAAGGATATAGTCAACAACAGACAAACAGAAAGGAACAAAGTCAAAGAAACACCAATAAAAGATCCTATGACCAAAGAACAAACATGCCAGTAATAGCTAAACAAAGTCAGGCAGAAGAAATTGAAAGACAAAATCAACTACAACAACAACAAATCAGGCTGATAATATCAACCAAGTAGATAAAGAACCAACAGAAGAAGCTAGAATGAACATCAATCTAACAAATTCAGCTGCTTTGACTACCGCGAAAAATGATGAAGATAAAACCCATACAGAAGTAAACCATCAAGCAGAAGTCACTTCCAGAACTGGTCTTATAACAACGGCTTCTAGTGGGGACGCCCCGCTGGAAGCGGACTGCCATCAGAAGTTTC